AGGAGGCAAGCAAACCAACATACCATGTCTTCTGCATACACACACGCAAGCACGCCTACGCTACACACATGGAGGCACGTCCTTAAATGACCTTAGCTGTTAATAGGACGTTAAACAAAATGAAACCAAATCAAACCAAGCCACAACGCTGTGAAAGCTGCATCTGGCTCTGTAAGCGAGAAATAGCCTACTACGCTTCATTGTTCTGACACCAGGCCAACTGGTCCTCGTTGCTAGCCATATACTGCTTAACGCCGAGCAGAGAGTAGAAAGTACTAACTTTAATACAACTCTTGTTTGTCTCAGTCATCGGGTCAGAATCCAAAACACTTCTCTCTTTGGCGAAAGCTGAAATCCCTGCAAAAAGCAAGGTATTGCCAAGTTTCGGAACGGATAGTAACTAAAACATCATCGATACTCCAGGAGTTACGTATACGCTCACGTACGCTCTCTGCACCCCTGGAATATGTCATCACAAAATTGAACTCTCAGTATGTGTCACCTTGCTGATGAGACAAGAAGTCTAGTTTGATGTTTTGATGTACATCAAAAGAATCCCGCGGTCGCGTAACGGTGAAATTGACTGGCTTTGAAGTCGGGTGACGCTCCTCTGTAATCTTCAATGAACAGGTATCAGCCTGGCGACTGGTCAGGCATTTTTTAACCTGAGACAAATCATACAGCTATCTATGTGTCTTCAATTTGGCTATGACGTACATGTATTACATGTGTGCAGAGAGCGTAAGTTAACGTGACCCCTGGAGTACCTAGGATGTATCTAGAAGGAAAGAACAAGATCCATTAAAGATTTGGAAGGATAAACTTTTCCAATGGATTCAAATGTGTTGGGTTACTACCTCTCTTGGTATTAACGAATTTAGCAAAGAAAATGAAAAATAGTATAAAACCCTACATGAAGAAAATATAACCTTTCTAGATCGCGTATTAGAACGGTATTAGAATTCAATGACTGGCGATATTTAGTGCCAATATACATATACTTGTATTTAAATTATCTCAACTTATTTAAGCATCTTCTAAAACATTTTAGATTCAACATTATCATAATTAAAACAATAAATGAAAATATTGTGATTTCTAATTGTAACACATAGGGAGAGAAAGAGAGGTGGGTATGAGGGGTAAAGTATTACTATAATCCGTTATATTTATGATAATAAACTTTATTTATTGAGGATAAAATACATGTTTAGCCAAAGGCTAATCTTCCACATGGTCCTCTTGTTAGTAAAATACATGTGTTAGATTAAATGACATATTAAGGCAATCGATATATTAATAAACATGGTAATCTTGCTAGTAAAATACATGTGCTAGTTAAAAGTTACATATATATTGATGCAATCGACATATATAAGGTTATATCACAGTTATCTTAGGTAAGAGTATCACAGAATGCATAAAGTTTCATGCAAAGGTATTTCATCAATTAAATGGCATGTGCCTAATATACATACATGCTAATATAGCAAACCATACAAATTGACATAGTTAAACGCTAATATAGCATAATCTAAAATATTAAAATAATTTAGATAAGAAGTCTATTTAGAAAGTTACAAGTTTTGGTTGCATGGAGAAACAAGTTAAAATCTAAGACATTGCTATACAGTATTTAGTAAGTTTTCGTTTGAAAGAGGTAAAATTGTCTATTTTCTTTAAGTCACTGGGTAAAACATTCCAGTCATTAATACTGTCAATAAAAAAAGTGTCTGGAATAAAAAACAGTTCTATATTTTGGTACATTAAAATTATTTTCAATAGCAAATCTTGTTTTCCTACAGTGACCATCTCGCACTAGAGACACACTATTTGATAAATATTCAGGTACAACCTGATGATAACATTTATAAAGCATGCACAACCTTCTGTATTTATAATATTTTTCAATCGGCATCCATCTAATAAGTTCAAACATTTGCTTAGAAGGTGTGTCAAATGGTACATTTAAAATTAGTCTAGCTGCTTGCTTCTGAGTCTTGAGCAGCTTGCCCATTTAATTTGCGGTACATCCTGACCATACCGTACTGCAATACATAAAATGTGGGAAAACGCAAGAATTTTTTTTTTTTAGCTTTCCTTCCGTAGGTAGATATGGGCTTATACGTCTCAATAACCCTAACCTTTGCCTTATTCTAGATAAAACAGATGTAACATGTCTTCCCCAAGTCAACCCATTATCAATATGTACACCAAGCCGTTTTCCACTGCAAACTTGTTCAAGGGTTTCATTGCTCATAAATAATTCTAAATTTAAACAGGTTCTTTTTTGCTTTTGTTTTGAGGCAATGGACATACATTTTGTTTTCTTGACATTTATCATCATTTTATTTTCAATACACCATTCACTAACATTGTCTAAATCAGATTGTAATAGACTGTTGATGTTATCTAACGACTTATCAACAGCAGATAAGGTAGAGTCGTCTGCATACATATTAGTGTCAGATACAAGATGTAGGGGCAAGTCATTGATAAAAATTAAAAACATAAGAGGACCAAGAATTGATCCTTGAGGCACACCATGTGTAATTGTACGGCCTTCCGACATATGACCTGCAAGAGATACTACTTGAGTCCTGTTGTCAAGATAAGATTTAAACCATGACAATGAATTCTGTTCGATTCCGTACAGAGCCATTTTTCTAAGTAAAACATCATGGTCAACCAAATCAAACGCCTTTTTAAAATCTAAAAGTATGACTATTGTATTAAGACAATCATCTATGTTCTTTACCCAGGAGTTGACATTATTCAAAAGTGCAGTTTCACCTGAGTGACTTTCACGGAAACCTGATTGCGATGATACTATAAGATCATTAGCAGTAAGATATCTGTAAAAAGTACTGTGCACATGTTTCTCAATAATTTTAGACAGTACTGGCAAAACCGATATTGGCCTGTAGTTGCTAACATCAGCAGGACTACCATTTTTATGAAGGAGGGTAACTCTTGCCATCTTCCACTGTGTTGGAAATTTACCAGACCGGATACTTAGGTTTATAGTATAGGCAAGTGACGGTGCTATTTCAGCATGAACCATTTTTAACAGCTTAGCACTAACATCATCAACACCAGTAGCTTTATGTTTGTCCAAACCCTTCAAAAACTTAATTACAAAATCATGAGAAACATTGGGAATGACAAAGTTGATATTATGATTCAGTTTATCACATATATACTCTTTCAACTTCTGGAAAGAGGCCGTAACATGTTCAAGTTGAGACGTCAGTTTACCAGCAATCTCAGTGAAATATTCATTGAACTGGTTTGCCATTTTACTTTGAATTTACATCAGAATGTGTCTTTTCGCATACTGTAATAAGTAACTTCAAACTACTTATATTGAATATATCTCAAAGATGGTCATATGTTAGTTCGAGCACACTATTCCTGGCTTTCATACTTTGTTCATTTAACCACAATTCGTTAATTTAAAAAAAAACACCACTGTACTTCACCAACTGACATCACCCCAAATCACTCTCGCTTTCAAATTGAACACATGACCCATTTGGAAATGAAAAAAAATGAAAATAATTATTGATTATACACAGATGTTAACGCACCTAATTACACATTATGACAGGAATTATACATTAATAGTAATGTTTATTATTCTAAAATTGATGATGGGTTATAGAGGGTTGTTGGATATCTGTTATGTAAAGTTAAAAACGATAAGCAGCATTATACCAAAGCTTCGGAGTTTGCTGAATTTCTGCTTGGCGGTTTTGATTGGAAATGAACTCGCTGATGATATTTATACATACAATCTATTTCGTCTTCCGTTATATATTTGGACAGACTGACAGAGCTGTACATTGTCTTTAGCAATGAGAGTGGGGTCTCCACGCAGAAGACAATCAGCAGTCAGATTATTAGGATAACACCGTAGATTAACAAGTAAACTGTTTCGTGGGGAGACGTATTTCGGAAAATTAAGAAAAAAGTGAGAAGAATTCTCATTTACATGTCTGTATTCAGTTTTGATTTTGTAATGTTGTCCATTATGCTAATGTTGAAGTTATTTTTTCCATGGCATCACTCAAAATTGACATTACAAAGCCTGATGGCGTAGTCGTTTTAACATTAATGATCAGTACAAGTCACATGTACAATGTAAGGATTCCTGTGCATTTCTTGCGTAGTAACATCCCTTTAATTCCGGTCTGGATAAAGCTGTAGCGGGGCAGGACACTTACGTTGACAAGGTATATCAATCAGTAAGAGCGATGGTATAACAAGCTGATGTCCAATACAGTTATTGTAGTTCGGATCCCTGACTAGCCCCTTTAAATAACTTGTTTATTTCATATTTATTGGGAGGGGGGGGGGGGGGGGGNTCCACTAGGTATGGGGTTTTCTTTTCATTAATAATTTATTAAAGCTATAATCATGTCGGAAAAAATAGTTTCCAGTGCGTAGTTTCATGTTTCGACAGTGGTGTGGGAATCCTTCCAGCTATATGTAACGCCATTGACATTTTATCCCGCTTTATATACGTGTACACGTGTACTGAGACAATTCTGATGTCTTATTGTTGCTTATGAAATACAGTCTGCAGATACCACAGTGTGTACCACACAAACTTCTAACGATTGTTTATTGTGTGTTATTACTAAAGTTTGATAATTTTAGCATTTTGGCAATGAAATATGTTTACACTAATATACACACTTAATTGAAATATCCGTTTTAGACCCGGTAGTTTCTGAGTTCGTTAAAGACTTGTTCTGAATATTACTTCCTGGTCTTGCCTGATTGGCTTTGGTGAAGTAAATGTTTTTAAATGATAAGCATTATCGATCACGTTGACCAGTAAAGCCAAAGCGACGGTAGGTATTGCGTATATATATATACACACATGTACACGTAGTATCCATGTACCTGTCTGGTGCCACCCTTTAACAAATGTTAAATACAAGTTTATGTATACAAAAATACACACTTTGAATATACGTATTGATATTTTTTAGCAGTGAGTACCCACCCTAGGCCTGTTGTAAGGGATACACAGATCATGACAGAAGTTAAAGTCTCGGGGAAGGGATCAAACAATGACACCCCTAGTGAGGTTGTCCCGGGGGTAGAGGATGTCACCGTATCCAGTCACCTCTCCCACTCAGGTACAGACAAAGCCATTGTGGCCGCCATAGACTTCGGCACAACGTACTCCGGGTACGCCTATACCTTTAGGAATGAGTACGAGAAGTCGGCTGGGGCCAGGGAGATATTCATTAACAGATGGACACGTAATTCGGGGGCAAATATGTCGGCCAAGGCCCCCACTACCGCCCTGTTTGACACCGCGATGAACTTCCACTCCTTCGGGTACGAAGCAGAGGAGAAGTACGCGGAACTGATCCAGCAGAAACAACATCAAGACTGGCATTGCTTCAGGAGGTTCAAGATGAAGCTTCACGATAGAATGGTAACGTTGACTTATATTATTTTGAAAACATTTGAATCGGTATTGGTATTCTTCGTGATGAGATTTATTTAACTCCATAGATATTCTGTTGAAGTGTCTGTACACTCCGTGTGACAATTACAGGGTAATGTTTGTTTGTTAAAGGTTAAAAAACACCAAGCACTGATGTACATGTATATCGCCTCCATCACGCACAAATACATGACACACATATGCATGAAAGCACGTCCTTAATGACCGTATCTGTTAATAGGAATGTAAACCCTTTAACGAAATCCATACTATATGTACACTGTACAACTGATCGGCCGCACAATCACGAAGACTTGGTCATACATGTCATTGATACGGAACTTGGGGGTATTGGCGAGTGTTTGAGATAATTATATACACTCCGTGTTTTGTGTATACCATTTTACCGTTGTCTTTCATTGTTTAACTTCCCACTAGAGGGAAATCCCGTTTAGTTCAATTAGTAGAGCGGCAAACTGGGATGATAGGAGCACACTATCATTTTTCTGTTACATGCGTTCAAAAAGGAACCAACGATTTCATGTGACAATCTTACAATAGTTTATTACAAATCATATCAAAGTTATTGTGTAAAATCTATGACGTCATACATGTATGTGTATTCAGACACTGAAGCGTAAGCTGAAGATAGCAGACGAGTCTGGGCGGAAGTTTTCCGCCAAAAAGGTGTACACAGAGAGTATCAGATACCTGCGCAAGAAAGTGCTGACTTCGATCAAGGCTACCAATCAAAAGAAGGACAAAGACGCAATTCACTGGGTGCTCACAATTCCCGCCATCTGGACAGAGCCTGCCAAACAGTTTATGCGCGAGGTAGCAATTGAAGTAAGTTAGAACACTCAAAAAAACCTATTGAGAAGTCATCAACTCTTGTGGTGTAGCATTTATTTTTCGGCTGACTATTATTTTGAAATAATACAGTTGTAAGTCGCACATTTGTATAAAGGAAGCATATACACATAGAAAATACAGTTCATTTAACTGAGAAATATCATTAGTCTGTACAATTTATAAACCAGAATATCGTTAATCTTTACAATTGATACACCAGAATATCATTAATCCGTTAAGTTTATGTATATATAGAAAAGCCGTAAATGCGAATAATCCTGAAGCTTAACTTCTTGACACTGAAGTCTTCAAATATCATAACTTCTTTTATACGTGGATTTCGACGTTTAAACAATACTGAACATCATCATGCGTGACCAACTTCACTTATCTCCCCCAGGCTGGAATCCCCACTTCGGACCTTCGGATAGCTCTAGAGCCGGAGGCAGCCGCTGTCTACTGTCGCTCCCTCCCCGCCGGCACTTTGGTTGGCTCTCGGGATCGCGGAGTAACGGATGCCTTCCAACCCGGAGGGTGCTACATGATCGTCGACATGGGAGGTACTTTGTATATATTTATGCAATATGTACGTTAAAATGGTTAAACTGCCTTAGTATGGTTTCTCTCCACTATGCCACACTCTTCGATGCTTCTGAATATTCGAAGCGAAGCCTGGCGTAGCAGAAAACTACTGTAAGGTAGACAATCATATCTTCGATATACAGTTGTGCAAAAATTACTATCACGAGGACATAAAAGGCAGTCAAATTGTTTTTGTTGTGATAACATTGGAATACGTATCATTCTCAATGACGCTTATGCTTCATATATTGTTAACGTCAGTTTACGTAAAAATGTCAAATTAGGATTTGAGTATGCTGGGATAACGTAACACGTGTCTACCTGTCTATTTCTGTAGGTGGTACGGTCGATACGACGGTGCACGAGGTGGCTGAAGACGGCCGACTGATGGAGGTTCGACAAGCGTCGGGCGGACCCTGGGGAGGAACCTCTGTCGACGACACTTTCTACGAATTCATTGTTGGGAAGTTTGGCAAAGAGTTCATCGACAAATTCAGAATCGAAAGGGCTGCAGACTGGATAATGTTAACGACAGAATTTGAAGCACAGAAAAGAAAACTGAGTTGTGACAAAAGTTCAAAAATAAGCATTCAGATTCCTTCTCGACTGATTGCTGAGAGTAAACTGAAAGAGAACCAACTGTCCGATGGTAAAATTGTCATCGACAACGATGCCCTCGAAAATTTCTTCCGTCCATCAACTGAAGATATCGTTACCCACATCCGGTCTGTTCTGTCAGAAGTGAGTAAAATAGATCTCATTTTACTGGTTGGTGGATTTGCTACATCCAATTATGTCATCCAAATCATTACCAATGCTTTTCCCGAAAAACGAGTCCTGGTTCCCCTACAGGCGGAAGTGGCCGTTCTGTTTGGTGCTGTGCTGTTTGGGTTTGAACCCCTGACTATTTGCGCTCGCGTGTGCAGACACACATATGGAATCGACAGTTTTGAAAGATTTCGTGAGGGCGATCATCGACTTGACTACAAAGTGATGGTTGACGACTTACCACATTGTGACAATATATTCAATATCATTGTGGCCAATGGGGAGAGGCTGAGCTCGTCTGAAACACGTGCACATGCGTATTCCTCTACACATCGCGGGGACCATAGACGACACACCACAATGGTCGTTCCCGTGTTCGCCTCTACCGACCCAACCCCTAGATACACAACAGAGGATTCTTGCGTGGAGCTCGGCTGTATTCGCGTGGAACCCCCAACAGACGGTTGGCCACCGGAAGTCCACTATTGTATAGAAATGTTCTTTGGACATACTGAATTCGACCTCCTGGTGAAAGATGATGTTACTGGACAAATTTATCAGTCTCACTTTGACTTTTTGAAATAGAATAAATACCTTGTAGCCTTTGAGTGAAAGGTATACGCAGGGGAGTGGCAGATTGAAAAATTACATTTTTTTTTATAATTTATTACATGTAAGTATATTCAGTTGGCATTAAATTTTGCATACATATTTGTCTATGCATGCGAAAGAAAATACTCAATTGCGTCATTTGTTTTCAACTTCACATCTTCATTTTTCTATACAGGAGCAGATTCATTAAAAAAAGAAACCATATTTTATAACAATCTAGCTAACACTAGACTTTTTTTCTGTCAAAATAAAAACCCAGACCTGTTATGACAACCAGAAGAAACAAATTAGCATCCTGCTTTCATCGAAATCAGACAACATCTTAATTCGGACCCCATGTTTAGGTCCCGGCGGCCTCGATCCTTGTCAAATAAGGAAACGGAAGTTGCAGTTTAGGTCATTGTGCCACAACACAAGATAGAAAACAGTAAAGCTATCATTTTAGAATCAAAATTTCGAAACGCTCAACATCCTAAAGTTCGGCATATATGCTTTGCACATGTAACTCAATTTCGTACTCTTGGTAGTGACACCAAAAATGTACGCAATGCAATTCAAACTTCCTGGTCTATAACTTTAGCCTGTTAATTTTGCGATATCTTTTGATTACATACACCATTTCTATTTCGACAGCCGACTCAAGACATCTATCTGTCAAAATGTCTGGCCTAAACCAGCCGTATATCTGTCAAAATGTCTAAGTCTCGCCCACACCAGGCATCTATATGTCGAAATTTGTAAGTCTGGCCCAACCAGACATCTATATGTCGAAATTTGTAAGTCTGGCCCACCCAGACATTTATCTGTCAAAATGACGAAGGCTGGCCCACCCAGACACTTACAGTCTGGCGTACATTAGTACATCTCTATGTGAAAATATCTAAGTCTGAACCATACCAGATACCATTTACGGTGTGCATACAGCACAGCTGCGTTCAAAAATATCCCTTGTGCGAGCTAGCAAAACAAAGAAAAGTGTCCATGTATTTATAGTCTATTGGCCGGGTAGTTTCTGTTTGTTCCGGGTACATTTTTAAGAAGCTTTATTTTACCAAATGGTTGAACAGCCATTTTTTTGCAGGATTCAGTTCGTGTGTTCCATGGCTACCTGGCCAGACAGGCGACGGGATTTAATCGAAATTCATCGGGAATACCCGTCATAATTTTAATTTAAACTCACGCCGTGATTGGTCCTCGATTACCCTTGACATCATATATACCAGAAAGACCTGAACAGTTCCTGGTCGGAAAACACCCACCTGTATAATAGTATGTGTATAAATAGGACTATACATCCATTATACCAGACGGGAAGTATTTTTTTAAGGAGTGCCCATATCCTTTGTGGCTGCATATACTTGTAACATCATTTAGTAAACATAAATAAATATATAAAGCTTCTTTACAATTAAGAACTATTTGCTAGTGGTATAAACAAAATTCGCTCAGGTCCAGTATGTAGTTTCTAAGCCCTTTAAATGTATTGCACTAGTATTTCCGTCACTATAATTTTGTTGTTGTTTCTATATAACTCTTTCAAACTATTTAATTTACAAAATAACAAACTATATCAATCGAACTAAATAAGCACTGAACATCGGTATGTATATGTATTCCGTCATTATACAAGCAACAAGGTATATTATATTGTACATGTACATGTATCACCCACGCACCTACAATAGGCGAAAGCGTATACAATGTACGTTGTTTGTGTGAAGGATACACACCGCCGGTATATATAACTATTCTGTTTTTGGAGAATACAATAGCGAAGTCATACGTTTATACAAACATTATTTATTTTACAACAATTATTAAACAAGTTATTTCGAAGAAATTTATATACACGTATACATGTAGCCTATATAAATTATATAGACAGGGATATGTGTTGTGGTCCACTACACATCCCTGATACAGATGATCGTTCGATCCTGTTCATACAGGCAAAGATAATATAAAGTATGTTTTTTCCCCATCGGACAACTGTATTAAAAGAAAGTAAAAGTTAATCCAATGCATATGAATATTTTTATAAATTATTATTAAATAATTGAGTTAATTGATTTTCTCAGAGACATATAAAGCTGTAGTATATACATCTCTGATTTTCTAAAATAACTGTTTGCCAGATCGAGACACTAGAAATGTGGACCTGTGCAAGTCTATACTCACACCCCGTCCCTACAAAAGACGAGACTTGCTCTAACTGTGATATCAGTGAGGCTTAAAACATGACATGTTGCAGACTACAACACTACTGCGTTCTAAGATATCGTTTCGTTCAATTGAAATATTTCGATGCACTCCGTATCATTTCCATTCCTAATTTTATATGTACTTTCGGTTTCGAATTGGCCGGATTTTTTGTTTGGATGAAAATTCCTAATTCCTAATTATGTATTATAGTTTTACCTGTGATACAAACTGTTTGGAAATATTGACCAGCTGAATGTTGTAAGCTGAAAAGTGGTGCTTCTTTTATTGAAAGTGAAATAAGGTACGTATATAATTAAAAAAAATGAACATATTCAATCTGGACAAGTAATTAGTAGAACAGATCTAGACTCAACAGTAGACAGGGGGCTCGATTTACCCAACACTCCCGCCCGTCGATTTACCCAACACTCCCGCCCGTCGATTTACCCAACACTCCCGCCCCGTCGATTTACCGTACACTAAACACTACCCCCGACTAATATTACCATAACAATCCGTCAATTTAACTAACACTACCAAACATGCCACAAGTTTCCTTGGTTTTCTTCGATTACACCGGTTTCCTCCCACAATAAGACTCCCAGCACGCTTACGCTTACATCTGTTACATCAGGGCCAGCAAGAGTGATTATAAAAGCTTGTTTCATAATTGTTGTAAAATTAATGAAGTTTATATTCAATTTTACACGATTAAGGGGTTTAATATATCAACTTTCGGTCAAAATGTAATGATTGTGTACATAAGCAGGGCCTGACATAAGGAATTGAGGCAAGCTAGATCGATGTACAAAAAAATGCTTCTAGTTAGACCACAATTATTGATGGTTAACAATTAGGAGGGCTCAGATATAAATTGATAAATTGAACCGTTCCCCTGTTGTTTGTCAGCTCCTTTTTTCATATAAATTAGATAAATGATGTCGGCCACGGCTGCCAAAGCATGTGATGTTGATTATCTGGATATTTAAGGAAAAATGGCCGCACATTTTGGAAACACACCAGCCAGACACGTACATATATACGTCTCTGCACCAGCTAATCACACAACATTTTTTTATTGGCACTTGCAATTGGCTGACTTCAACCTATAGCTATCAAAAGTGGCTCTATGACGGGGAGAAATTTTGATACTCGGAAATGGTGTACTGTGTTTTGGTGGAAACAGAGATCATGTTTGCAGAAGGAGAATACATACATTTTACGTGCATTTAAGAGTTTTATAAGCATGGGGGGGGGGGGGGGCATTTTTACAGAAAGTTGAATCTAAAACTCTAAACACTAGCTGTCGATCACCTTGAATTTCTCACCATGAAGCAACTCAAGACATGTGACTTTTTAATTCTGGATTTTCACAACAATTTGGTTTCAATATTAGTATAGACATGTTAACTAAGTACTATAAATACCGTCACGATTTTCCGGTAACAGTCAACAGCTTGACTGCATATATATTTGTCAGATTTTATGAAGAGACAATAAAACAAGCATAGATGGTTTTAGAAGCTTTATTTGGGCGAGGTGTCCGGTAATATGTGGATATCCCAAAGGTTGCTCATCAAATTTGAACCAATTCCCCAATGTACGCTGAAGGTACAGGGCCCAATTATTGTCTATTTCCTCGGGTATGAACTATAACTAAATGTTACTTGACACCCTGTATATATGATAAGTGGTTCGGAGGCACTCCTGGAATGGAAGGATGGCTTAAGCTAAATGCATACCCAACATACATGTTCGTATGTACATGTTTAATAAGAACCAGGGTTTTTAGCTCACCTGGCACTTCGTGCCAAGTGAGCTCATGCCGTGGCGCTCCGTCCGTCCGTCCGTCCTCGTCCGTCAACTTTTCCTTTAAACAACTTCTTCTGAAGAACGGACAGGCCTAGAGTCATGATATTTGGCTGAAAGCTTCGTTGGTAGGAGCCCTACAAAGTTTAAGAACGAAAATGACCTTGACGTGTTTTTAAGGTCACAGGGGTCAAATATGTCAAAAACTTCAAACGTCTTCTTCTAAAGATCTAAAAGGTATAGAATCTTCATATTTAGCTGATGACTTCCTGGGATAGAGCCCAACAAAGTTTGAGAATGAAAATGACCTTGACCTACTTTCAAGGTCACAGGGGTCAAATGTGTCAAACACTTCAAATGACTTCTTCTGAAGAATTGAAAAGTATAGAATCTTCATATTTGGCTGATGGCTTCCTTGGATGGAGTCCAACAAAGTTTGAGAATGAAAATTAGTTTGACCTACTTTCAAGGTCACAGGGGTCAAATATGTCAAAAACTTCAAACGACTTCTTCTGAAGAATTAAAAGGTATAGAATCTTCATATTTGGCTGATGGCTTCCTTGGATGGAGCCCAACAAAGTTTGAGAATGAAAATTACCTTGACCTTCTTTCAAGGTCACAGGGGTCAAATGTGTCAAACACTTCAAACGACTTCTTCTGAAGAACTGAAAGGTATATAATCTTTATATTTGGCTGGTGGCTTCCTGGGATAGAGCCCAACAAAGTTTGAGAATGAAAACTAGTTTGACCTACTTTCAAGGTCACAGGGGTCATATATGTCACAAGCTTCAAATGACTTCTCCGGAAGAACTGAAAGGTATAGAATCTTCATTTTTTAATTGATGGCTTTCTTGGATAGAGCCTCACAAAGTTTGAGAATGAAAATGACTTTGACCTTCTTTCAAGGTCACAGGGGTCAAATGTGTCAGACACTTCAAACGACTTCTTCTAAAGAACTAAAAGGTATAGAATCTTCATATTTGGCTGATGGCTTCCTTGGATAGAGCCCGACAAAGTTTGAGAATGAAAACTAGTTTGACCTTCTTTCAAGGTCACAGGAGTCAAATGTGTCAGACACTTCAAACGACTTCTTCTGAAGAACTGAAAGGTATATAATCTCTATATTTGGCTTGTAGCTTCCTAGGAAAGAGCCAAACAAAGTTTGAGAATGAAAATGACCTTGACCTTCTTTTAAGGTCACATGAGGCAGATATGTCAAACACTTTAAACGACTTCTTCTGAAGAACTGGTAGTTATAAAATCTTAATATTTGGCAGGTGGCTTTCTGTGAAAGAGCCAAACAAAGTTTGCAAATGAAAATGACCTTCACCTACTTTCAAGGTCACAGCGTTCGAATACGTCAAACAGTTCAAACAGCTTCTTCTGAAGAATTAAAAGGCATAAAATTATAATATTTGGCTGGTGACTTCCCGGGATAGAGCTCACCAAAGTTTGCAAATGAAAATGACCTCAACCTACTTTAGAGGTCACAGAGGTCAACAACATTTTAATGGATTTGTTCTTGAGAACTAAAAGGAATGGATTCATAAGATTTGGCTGGTAGCTTTTTGGAATAGAGCTAACCAATTTGAGAAGGAAAATGACATTGACCTACTTACAAGATCACAGGGAAAAATATGTCAAGCAACTTCTGAAGAAGAATCAAAAAGCATAGAATCTTATAATAATATTTTGCTGGTAGTTTCAACAGAAGGAGCCAACAAAGTTTGTGAGGGAAATATTTTTAGTGCAATGTAATATTTAATGAGAATATTTTGCTATGACTGCTTAAATATTCAGGTGAGCGATACAGGCCCTCTTGGGCCTCTTGTTAGAATTTACTAGACCTTTCAAGTATGATTTCGATTCCTGGAAATTTGTTTTAATGCTTGGAAGAATGTGTCAATTTTAAGCTTATCACTGCTGAATGGTTAGCTAAATACAGCAAATGCTATCCAAAGGATTTTTGCTGAATGCATGAACAATGAACAAAATTTGTTGCAGATAAGGGATTTTAAAAATAAAATAATTATCGATTGTACATGATATCTTGGAATTTCTCAAGTCATCAAAACAACTCAACAGCATGCCGTGACATACACGACACGTGGGATATAAACAAACATAACACTTAATTTGCTAGTACTTACATACACCCTTCAATGTACATATAAATACAACAGGAAATATTATTTATAAAGACGTCCAGAAACACACAGCATCTAATAACAAACACATTTGGACTGCAATAATTACACAGTAAGTAAAAACACACCCATAAACATGAAACAGTTAATTTCCAGATTGAAGCATTTATTTTGTTTATTTATTTTTTATTCATTTCCTTGTCGTTGAAATGTGAATGAATACATTACATATATGCTTAAATTATGGTGACTAATGATTAATATTCAATAAGATTTACCATATAATCATGTACATTTGTGAGTCAGAGTTACGTGTCACTCTGAAAATATTTTGACTTCCTGTTAGACGAAACTTAGTGGTAAAACATGAACTTAAATGAGGACATTAGAACTAATATCACAACTTATTAAAGATTTAAGGGTTAATAAGCATATAACACAACATGGATTGAGGTGTGCATGTGTGTAGAGCAAATGTAGACTTTTTTTAGATATTATTTACACTATATACAATGTATATATATAATCATTATCAGTTTGAAGTGGTATTGCAACTTGTTTTAATATTTTTTCACAATAATACTTTTTTTTCTAACACAATGTAGAGGACTGTGTGTCGAACGGAAGCGGATGAGTCTGTTTACATATGAAATATATCTGTCTATATATGTTTATTACTAAATACTAAAAAACTGATAAAAGAAATTTGACATATGAAATGGATGAAAGGTGTAAGGTGCGAGAAAGACCTCCTGTGTGAGGACAACTTTATTGTTAGTTAGGCCACTTCTGTGTACAAAATGTTGCTGTTCAGCCAATTGAACAACAACTGAGTTGCCTGGAAACGTTACGTATCTGCTAACAAAGTTGTAGCAGGAAAGGGATATTGCTTCAGCCAGACTGGGATTCAAACCTAAGACCTCCAAAATCAGGAGGGATGCTCTAACAAATTCAGCTACCTGGTCGACGATGATTGACCCAGTCCAGGTCTGTTACACAGTGACCAGCTACCTGGTCGATGATGATTGACCCAGTCCAGGTCTGTTACACAGGGACCAATGAAGTCTTTACAATGTAATTGCTTTATCAATGGAGAGTTCAAATTGGGAGTGGGAGAAAGAGGAGACTCGTGTCCTTGCCAAAGTGGGAAAATAATCAAAATACAGAATGTACCAGTTATTGTTGTTTAAAATGGAATAATTATAAAAGATTCTTTGCCAAATTTCCTTTTTCCACTGATAAATCAATGAAACCTCGAAAAAGTTTCAGTGATTTAGAAAAAAATAGGAATGACTTAAAACGGAACGCCATTTTCAAGGTTTAAATGCTTGACTATTTCATGTCATATGATTTCAGTGAGAAAAAGATATTTCATTTGAGCACTCAGAATCCGTCCATGAACGTGAGAAAAGTTTCGAAGACACCAGCCCTGATTTTGCTTGCAGATAGTGAAATTGTGGTATATAATGGTTTTTTTTTCATCAATATATTTACAAAGCACCACATTTGTTTTTAGGTAAAAGCAAATCAAAATGTGAATTTGTACAAGTACCTATAAAATTAAAATTTAAAAGAGACTGTTTGTGTTCTTAAAGATCTAATTGAAATTCCAGGAAAATTTTACAGGCTTTGAAGAACAAAAAATAATTTAATGGTTTTTTTTCATGAATGGATACAATTATTTATAAACAGTCATGTTGTTACGGTGGTACATGTTAAAATATAGTGTGGTTTCCTCTTCCTTGTTCCTCTCTGGTTAGGACATATGTAAGTAGTTTCCTGTACAGATGTGATTGTATTGTGTATAGCCAATTGCAATTGAAAATTTAGGTAATTTAAGACAAAAACACTTAAAACAGCTGACACAAACAAAAAACGAAATGAAAAAAGGTAAGAAATAAAAATAATTATGGCAAACAAATTGGTTAAATGTTTCTTATGGTAAATTGAACAGTAATGATAAATAGATTCATTAACTGTAAGAAATGGATTTTCATGTTTGTTTCACCATGATAATTAATTATCAAAAATTAAAATATACACAATCGAGTCTCCATTGGGATTATATCGCGAGACGATGTAAATAACATTGCTGAATTGTCTTTTAACTCAACAAGAGACGTTTTTGGAGCAAAAAAAGTGCACAATGTGAAAAAAGTATTCACCAAAGAGGACAAACCCTGGTTTACCCGTGAATTTGTTATGAAAAGAAAAGAATTTCATGAATCTAAAAGAGAGATTACAAAAACTTTAAAAGTCAAAGAAATCGAAAAAAAATATCAAAAAAGGTAGAGAGTACGGAAAACTCATTAATAGTAATATAACTATAAAAAGTTCCAAGAAAATATTGAACAAGAAATGAGGAAAGCTTCCAAATTTAAACCAAAAGCCTTCTGGGACATTTTGAATAGAATTGATAAGCCTAAAGGTCGTCGTAAAGTGATCTGACAATTGACGAACTACATGATTATTTAAAAAAAATGAGCTTTAATAATGAAACAGAGGAGGATTTGAAATTCCACTTGTAAAAGAATGTTTGTATGATAATATTTTGAATGATAGAATTACTACTGATGAGATTGTTCATGCTATAAAACATTTGAATAATATAACAAAGCTTGTGGTATTGATGATATAGTCAATGAGTATATAAAGAGTACGGTTGACACAATGTTACCTGTACATACATGTTGATATGTTTACCGGTAATATAATATTGGACACCGGTATGATACCGAAAAGTTGGAGTACAGGAATAATCAATCCAATCTATAAGAACAAAGGTGATCGCAAAGCTTTGGATAATTACAGGGCTATTACGTTGGTCTCATACTTGGGAAAAGCTTTTATGTTGATTTTAAATGCAAGATTATACAAACTATCTGATGAAATTGAAATCATAAGTAATGCACATGCAAGCTCAACAACTTCAGTTTTCAGAAAAGGTCACTTAACAATAGACATTTTTTATTTTACACGTTTTGACAAAGTTATATTTATCCTCCGGTAGAATATTATACTGTGCATTCGTTGACTTTAGAAAAGCCTTTGATTTGGTGTGGCGAATGGGCTTGTGGCAAAAACTACTCAAATGTAACAAAACTGGTAAAATATTTAAAGTTTTAATCAACATGTATTCTGATACGTAATCTTGTGTGAGAAATGGCAATGAAATGTCAGAAATGTTCACTTCGAATGTCGGACTAAAACAAGGGGAAAATTGCTATTTTGTTATTTTATATGCTGACGATACAGTACTAGTGTTAATGTCAGAGACAGCAGATGGTCTACACTTAATGCTAAATAAATTTCAGAGTTATTGTGAGAATTGGAAACTAACGGTAAACACACAGAAGACAAAAATTGTTATCTTTTCCAAACGAAAGAATACTAGCAGATATCGATTTCTATTATATGATAATGAGCAAGACATTCAAAATTCTTTTCCATACTTTGGTGTTCTATTTTACTATAATGGAAGGTTTGTAGTGGCAAAAAAGCAATTAGCGGAACAGGCCCAAAAAGCGTTGTATATAGAAAAATAAGAAATGTTACGTTACCCATTGATTTACAATTCAAATTGTTTGATTCGCTAGTTTTTCCTATTTTGCTATACTGATCAGAAATATGGGGCTATATATGAGGATGTTAGTATACTTGAAAAAAAATAACCTCCAATTCTGTTAACAAATTCTTGGTCTACGTAGAAATACTTTTAATTTTATGGTACATTTTATATGGAGAAACGGGCAGATACCCTATTGAGGTTGATGTCAAATTAAGAATGATTAAATTTTGGTATGCACTTATACCTCTAGTGAAAATAAGTTGTCTAGTCGTATGTACAAATTTATGTACTCATTACATGAAAATGGACAAATCGAGTTTAAATGATTGAATTATGTTAAACATATCCTGGATAGCGTAGGTCTAAGCTATGTTTTAATCCATCAAAAAACCTGTCTGGTCGATATTGCTTATTTAAAAGCTGCAATTATACATAAATTAGACGATCAGTTTATTCAATCCTGGTTTAATAAAATTGACACCACATCCAAAGACGATTGTACTCTGCATTTAAATATCGCTTTGGTTTAGAAGACTTTTTGATACGATTAAACTCTAAAGATAGGAAAATTATCTGCAAATTTAGAACTTCAAATGTTAAGCTTCCAGTAGAAATTTTAACAGGAAGATGACTGGGAATTTAAAGACAGGACAGAATATGTACACTCTGTAATACTGGTATTGGGGACGAGTTTCATTACTTATATACTTGTAATAATGATATCGCCACTTTAGTCAAAATAAGGTAAAAACATATTCTGACCTTTCTGTATACAAAATCTTGAAATAAAGCCAGTCAGGGAGGGTGAATATACATTTTCCTAATTAAGGAAATTGTATTTTTTTTTTGCATAATCCAGCATCCATCGTTGAATGTTAAAATTAAGTGTTATCGATTATCCAATTGTAATACATGTACATATTCAATTTTTATACGCCCATCAAATTTGACGGGAGTATTATGGTTAATGGCATATTCCGCCGATAACTTTTGTTTGTCCAGCAATCTCCTCCTACATTTTTCGACCGATCTCTTTAAAACTTGGTATACTCATGATATAAAGTTGTGTCTCCCTTAAAAGAATTTTGATCGACAATTTTTCCAAAAGTTATTGCCCTTTGTTCATTTCAATATTTGATTTTTTGTCCGGAGATCTCCTCCTACATTTTTATAGCATGTCAGCTAACCACTCTTTGAATGATGCAGATCTTATTTCAATGTAAGAAAGTATATAACACTTTATGGCATTCGACGGGCGTATATTCTTCCGCCCCATTAAGAGAGACGGGCGTATATTGTTTGCCCGTTAAGATCGACGGACGTATATTGTTCCGCCCGTTAAGAGAGACGGGTGTATATTGTTCCGCCCGTTAAGAGAGACGGGCGTATATTGTTCCGCCCGTTAAGAGAGACGGGCGTATATTGTTCCGCCGGTTAAGAGAGACGGGCATATATTGTTCCACCCGTTAAGAGAGACGGGCGTCTATTGTTCCGCCCGTTAAGAGACTGTTACCCTCAGGTAGTCCCAGAAGTGGTCTTTCAACACAAGTTGTCTCATCGTAGTTCATACAGATACAGTTCACAATGAATTGACTTTTTGATAGGAAACATTAAAAGTCAGGTATCTTAACATAAGTGATCTCTTTATACAAGTTCAGTTCAAAACAACATAACTGAAATAAAGTACATTAATTACAGTCTTTTGACACAGGTGATCTCTTAATAGGGAGGGTCGCATGAGCAGTTTAGACTGTGTAATATAATGAGTATTTATCAGATATTTTTGTTAATCTGTTTTGTAGATAATGACTATAATTTGACTAAATGCATTTTATTTTCTGTTGTGAAGAATGAGTTCCAACAATTTTGGACACGGCCCCGGAGGAGGTAGAGGGCCGCCAATGTCAGGAAACCAAGGAGGCATGGGTGGAATGGGCGGTATGCCTGGAATGTCAGGAATGCAGGGACTGTTTTCAGGAACAGATCAGCTGCCCCCAGAGTATGCAGGCTTAGCAAACATGAGTGAAGAAGACAGAAATGCGGCCTTGGCAGCCTTACTGGGTCCAGAGGGTCTGAAACAATTACAGCAGCAGCAGCAGCAGATGGGGCAAGGCAGGGGAATGGGTGGGCAGGGGAACGTTTTAGGAATGCAAGGTGGTATGGAAGGGGGCCATGGAGGCTTGAATGTGGCTGGGGGCATGAGTAGAGGTTTGACAAATCCCATGGGTTATGGGGGCATGGGTGGGGATGAGGACTTGACAAATTCCATGGGTATCGGTGGCCAAGGGGGAACAGGGGGATATGGGGGCAGCCAGATACAACAATACCAGCAGGGGAATACAACTTTTGGCGGTGGGGGAAGGATGGACTATGGAAATAGAACTCAAGGACCTACAATGAGTGGAAATTCTAACTTCAGAGGTGATATGGGACCAGGAGGTAGTATGTATGGTGGAGGAGGAGGAGGTGGTGATAATGGACAACTATTCACTACTCCTCAAAATTTCATAGGACAAGGAGGTGGATCACAGTATGGAGAGTCACAGTTACCACCCACTATGGCAGGTGAGTTTTGCTTATGTCCCACTGGTTAACTCTGTAGCGAAACGAGACTGGGTCGATCATCGGCAACCAGGTAGCTCAATGGGTAGAGCGTCGGTCCTGCATTTTTCCGCTCCCATTACAACTCTATAGAATTTTTAGGTGTTTTTTTTAGATATTGCAGTTAACTTAATATTCGTCTTTGCTATCCAAGGGTTCCAATTCAGTCTACTATTACTCACTAGAAGAGTAGATCAGCTAGGTTGTATCCCTTGGCTAGCGAAGATGTTTTATATTGCATTAATCTATTTTCAAACCTCGATTAATGAATTTTTCAAAGAGAACAAAAGTAAATTCAGCTATACTTTTCAGTAGCAAGAAGTATTGATATTACTTGCTAGATAAGTTTATATTGTATATTACACAGGAGGCAGAGGAGGGAGTGGAGGGGCTGGAGGTCACATGGGAGGGAACAGTGGCCAGGGAAGTAACCAAGACCCCTATCAGCAACTTATAAGCTACGTCAAAACAACAGGTAGGTATAAACAGTAGGTAATTAGGTGTAATACAGGTAGGTATAAACAGTAGGTAATTAGGTGTAACACAGGTAGGTATAAACAGTAGATAAATGGTTGTATTACAGGTAGGTATAAAAAGTTGATAAATAGTTTTATTGCAGGTAGGTATAAACAGTAGGTAATTAGGTGTAACACAGGTATGTATAAACAGCAGTCTAGGTAAATAGGCGTAACACAGGTAGGTATAAACAGTAGATAAATGGTTGTATTACAGGTAGGTATAAAAAGTTGATAAATAGTTTTATTGCAGGTAGGTATAAACAGTAGGTAAATAGGTGTATCACAGGTAGGTATAAACAGTAGGTAATTAGATGTAACACAAGTAGGTATAAACAGTAGGTAATTAGGTGTAACACAGGTATGTATAAACAGTAGTCTAGGTAAACAGGTGTAACACAGGTAGGTATAAACAGTAGGAAAATAGGTGTAACACAGGTAGGTATAAACAGTAGATAAATAGGTGTAACACAGGTAGGTATAAACAGTAGGTAAATAGGTGTATCACAGGTATGTATAAACAGTAGGTAATTAGATGTAACACAGGTAGGTATAAACAGTAGGTAAATAGGTGTATCACAGGTAGGTATAAACAGTAGATAGATAGGTGTATCACAGGTAGGTATAAACAGTAGGTAAATAGGTGTAACACAGGTAGGTATAAACAGTAGGTAAATAGGTATAACACAGGTAGGTATAAACAGTAGTCTAGGTAAATAGGTGTAACACAGGTAAGTATAAACAGTAGATAGATAGGTGTAACACAGGTAGGTATAAACAGTAGTCTAGGTAAATAGGTGTACCACAGGTAGGTATAAACAGTAGGTAAATAGGTGTAACACAGGTAGGTATAAACAGTAGATAGATAGGTGTATCACAGGTAGGTAGAAACAGTAGATAGATAGGTGTAATGTAGGTAAGTATAAAGAATAGATAAATAGGTGTAGTACAGGAAGGTATTATAGTATTTTGGGTACTGTGATATAAGAGGAAGTAAAGAATGTCTGTCTGTCGGTAACATTTACAATATTAAAACAATGTTGTAAGCTGATTCTACTTTAAAATCACTTTTTCCTAAATCAGGAAATAAGATAAAGAAACTGTGTAGTTATCATACCCAAACACAATCATGGATATCCTGTATAAATCCTTATAAATAAAGTGTTTTTATAACTGCTTCCTCATTTGTACAGTTGTCTACGATGTTGTCATGACTTAAGGACTTCCCACCCTTCGTAATACACATGTTTTTCTTGTCGTATTTTCGTGTTGTCTTTTCCGTATTGTGTATGGGACATTCCATTACCGTACGTAGTGTAAATGATAGTTACACCGGGTAAACAATAGTACACGTGCGTGACGATGGTATGTCAACACCCGATATCGAGACTTAACTTGGAAATGTGTAATCACACGTACTTCAGAAATAAAGCTTATGATACAAAGACATTAATTAACTCACAGGAAAACACTAACATACGATCAGATGACTTCAAGAAGGTCGTATATGAGGCGCATTGGAATGCAGACTGGTGTGTTTTTTATACCGACCTCACCTTTACGTATCACGTGCTAACAGTAGTTCACAAGCTCTTGGTCGCTACGACTTTTGTCGTCGAGCCAGTTACGCTCTGGTTTGTAAAATATCAAGATCCCTATAAAATGCAAGTCATGAACCTCACTGTGTTATGGATGGTGCCTTATCATGTCAGTAATTGATTGTGTCATGAATGGCATAGATCTTTTTATGTCAGTAATTCATTGTGTCATGGATGGCATAGATCTTTTCATGTCAGTAATTCATTGTGTCATGAATGGCATATACCTTTTCATGTCAGTAATTCATTGTGTCATGAATATCATAAATATTTTCATGTCAGTAATTCATTTTGTCATAAATGGCATAGATCTTTTCATGTCAGTAATTCATTGTGTCATGAATGGCATAGATCTTTTCATGTCAGTAATTCATTGTGTCATGAATATCATAAATATTTTCATGTCAGTAATTCATTGTGTCATGTATGTTATCTTGTTATCATGTTATTCACTGTGTTATGAATGCAATCTCTTCATGTCATTAATTCACTATGTCATGAATATCATCTTTTCATGTCTTTAATTTACTATGTCTTGAATGTCATCTTTCATCTCAGTAATTCACTTTGTCAAGAATATCATCTTTTCATATCATTAATTCACTTTATGTCATGAATGTCATCTTTTCATGTCATTAATTTACTATGTCATGAATGTCATTTTTCTTCTCAGTACGGGTCGTATATGGTATGGGCTGCGTTGACAGACTCGGATGTCCGACCGCCCCTCTGTCTGTTAACTTTTCCTTGTTATTGCTCTCCTAGCTGCCTTCATACATGAACATATCTTGATGAAACTTAGTACATGTATTACATATCAATAACACTCAAACGAGATCGCATTTCAGACAGAAGTTTACTGCATTTGAGTGGAGTTATGGCCCTTCTATTGCCAAATAAGGGCATTGTGTAGTAATGCAAGAACTTTTTTATTTTTAATCAATTCCTTTCAAATTTTGTACGGTAATGTTAGAAGCAATAATATTCAACACTTATTACTGGTCTTTCTGTCGAGTATCAATTTTCGGCGTTTTGGCATATTTCATTTGACATATCAACGCTGTTCATCGCTTTTGCCCTTAATACTTGCTTGTTTGTAACCCAATAACCCAAACAATTATTCTTCAAATTTTGTCAAACTTTTTTTGGTGGGATGTTTCATTACCTAAATGCATTGGATGAGTTATTAAATCGTGATATTTAAATGTTATTCCGCAGCGTTTTGTCCCTTTTTAGCTCACCTGGTCCGTAGGACCATAGTGAGCTTATACCGTGGCGCAGCGTCTGTCGTCCGTCGTCAACTTTTTCTTTAAAAACTATCTCCTCCTAAACGCCAAAGAGGATTTCAACCAAATTTGGACTGATGCATCACTAGAGGAGGGCAATCATTTCTTACATAAATGAGGTCGGTTCGATCCTTGCGGTGCTCTTGTTTAACTAATTAGTGTCATGAACATCATCTTTTCATGTCATCAATTCACTATATCATGAATGTTATCTTTTCATGTAATTAATTCACTATATCATAAATGTTATCTTTTCATGTCATTAATTCACTATCACCTTTTCATGTCATTAATTCACTATATCATGAATGTTATCTTTTCATGTCATTAATTCACTATCACCTTTTCATGTCATTAATTCACTGTCACCTTTTCATGTCATTAATTCACTATAACCTTTTCATGTCATTAATTTAATATCACCTGTTCATTTCAGTAATTCACTGTGTCATGAGTTTCATCTTTTCACTGCGTACCTCACGAAATAAACACTATTTTTATCAGCTGTCAAGTTAACATTTGTTGTAAAATAATGGTTTGGTGTTATGTTTGACAGCGGAAAGTTGTACAGACCCAATAGCACAGGGGATGAACACCATATTAATCCTAGATACGTCCAGCAGTATGCAGGGAGAGGGCATGAAGCAGGCCAGGACTGCCATAGAGGACATCCTTACAGGTAGGTCCTTATCCACAAAAGATATCGGGACACTTACATTAGCACCGCCTATGAAATAAGAAAAAGTTGCCTTTAACTCGTTCACCCCTGAAGACACATTTGAACTCTTCCAATTCAAAGGTTGGAATAGTTCATTATGAAATTTCAGGGGTGAATGAGTTGAACTCATTAATTATAAGTAGTCTTAGCTTGTTGATGTTTATATATCAATTAGGGAAGGAAATTGGTTCCGTTTTCGCAATCGATTATTGGTTAAACATATTGATTATGATAGATTTTCTAGACTAACTTGAATATAATTGTATTTGTGAGTTTCTTTGATGATTGCAAATTAATATATTTTGAGAGAAGTGTCTTGGAAGCTTGAATCTGACTATATTCCATATGTTCCCTCATTTAATATTGAACACTATCAGTTATTAAATGAATTTTGGTCTTAAATTGGAAATGCCACCTCTTCGTAAACAATTTTATGCTATTTCAAACAGTCATTTTCAAGATAAGAAAATGCCATACTGCATCATTCTTGAACTTTTTCAAATGTTGACAATTTTTTCCGATTAATTTATCATCTTTTCAATTTTGACATAGATTTAAATTAGTTTCATTTCATAATCATTTTCATTAATTTTGTATTATTTTCTATTATCAGCCTTTCACATCATACATTAAAGGTGATGATCATACATTCAGTGTATTGATTGTTTAGGATACCTTCCATTTTCATTTTTTTCATTCTTAACTCATTCACCCCTGAAGACACATTTGAACTCTTCCAATTCAAAGGTTTGAATAATTCATTATGGGTTGGTAGGTAACGATGTTGTTTTTTTTACTTTTAGAAGCATCTTATTTCTATAAAATAAATCCTAAATTTTTCATGATTTTTCATCTTGCATAAAATATTGGCAAAAGTTCAATAATAAATTGAGTACAAATGAAGGTGTAATTTTCAGTAAGTCAGTTGGGAAACTGAAAACGAACAGTTTTTCTATGGAAGGCCTTAGGTACACTTGTATACAAACAAACCTATAGTACATAATAGCCATTACCAAGATTATAAGAGTTTCAGTGATGGTCACTAGATATGTTTACGGTAAGTAGTAATAATAAAATTGAACTTACTGTACAGGTATTGAGGAAAATGTTATGGACAACGGTCTGGAGGAAAACCTGGCCCTGATTGTGTTTGGGAGGGAGTCCAAGGTGGTCCAGCATCTGACCGATGACTACGCCAAGTTCAGGGATGCCTTAGGTTGGTACTACATCAGAGCCTTATCACCCCTCTCTTTAAGACAGCTATAAAGATCCTGTTTCCTGATTGAAAATAAGCCCCTTTCTCTCCCCCAATTGGTCCAGATAAATTACCAAATTGTTAATTGTTTTAATTGTCAATCATTTTGGGTATTTTATAATCTACATGGAGAAAAGTTTGTTAATTTTTTAAAGTGATCAAACCATTTAATTTCAGTATGTAATGCATTTCATTTTACAATTTCGTCATATGAAAATTCTCAGTTTTGATGAGGAGTTTTCCAATTTTGACCAAGGGTCTGTTTCCCAAATACCCATATAAAGTACCTGCATATGTTCAGGGTCAACAAATGCTTACCACTGTAGGAGGATATTGCAATATATAACCAGCCTATTAACAGATTGTCACTGAAACCCAAAGTTCTGGTCCTATTATTATAATTAGCTATGTTTTATAAGCAGAACAGTAGGAACATTGGATAAGCCTTAAGGGGGCCAGTGCACTGAAAAGAGTCAGTGAACATTTTGGGGATATGACCTCCTGGTTTGGTGCATAGTTTCTGATGTATATTGATAATGTAGAGGTTCCAAAACAAGTGATGATTGGTTATCATGAATTTCTTACTTGAATAAATTAATTTTCAAAATGTATAAAGACACAAGGTTATCCGAGTGTCTTTTATTATTTGAAAACTAACTAAAGAGAGTTAGACAAACATTTACGTTACTCAACCATCAGAAGTTTGGAGACATTTTTCTCTCTCAATGTTCAGATAATACATTTGTATATCTAGAAAATCAAATGTTTCTGTTTTGAAGACATTATTCCTGTTTCCGATCAGGGAAACAATTGCCGTCAATTATGACATCACAATAGACTATGAGGATACTTGATGTCATAATTGAAAGATTGACCAATGAAATAATGTCAAGGGTGTTACCCATTAGTTGGTAACCAAACAAGTTTACCCTCTCTAACAGCTTTATCCAATGAGTCGCAAATGTGGAAACCTATTGTGGTTGTTGGAGAAACGAGTTTTGACTTTGTTGTGGACTTATAAGACAGTCCTAGGTTGATGGATGGTTTTGTGACATTAACTTTGTTTCCTGCACTTGTAGATCTCTTGCATCCAGAAGGACCCTCCGCAATTGTGGACGCTCTAGTGATGACCCTTGGGTTGTTAGACAGAGGTAACACTTATCGTAATACAGAACAACATGTGAAGAACATAAAATAAAGGAATTGTACTGTGTTATATATCTTTGATAGGATACTGTACACAGAGAAACTCTTTCTGCTCAGTCTGACTGGGAAAATCCATATTTGCCCAGTGTTATTTGTGCCCTTCTCATGTAATGCCTATATAGAATATGGTGTTATTCAAGTTTTCAGTGTCATGATAAATTTGCCCGCTGTAATAAATGTGGAAGTTAAACTGCAGCAGAATTTTCGTGGCATTAAGCAATTATTTTTTAGGAAACTTTTTAACATTGATCTTAAATTCTTGCCTCAATGTGTATGATATTGATTGACAATTTAATGAAATTTTACTCCAAATCTTAACAAAATTTAACAAGCTTAATTTTTAGGACAATTTTACCAAAATAATTATCTTAGAAGTTTCAAATCTGACACAACTTTTATGATACATTTGCCATTTAATATTCCATCTGTTAAAATTTCAAAAGATACAGTAAATCTGTTCATATCATTTATAAAAAAGGCTCTGTTTTTCATGACACTCAGACCTGCTTAAACCATATACATGTACAGTACAACACGTGAAGGAATTTTATACTGATTCATTAAATCATTCTCACGCTCAATCTCAGGTTTTGTGCTCAGTCCCAATTTCTTGTTCTATTGATAAATAAAAAAAATCACATTTTGACCATGATTTGGAGAAACGTTGAAGTCACTTTTAATTAAAGCCAAATACTGTTTTCTATGTTAACACTTTTTATTTATTTTTTATTTGATCGTTTTAAATAATTTAAGCGAGTAACAAGAATGTTGACTTGAGCACAGAATCCATACTTGAGCATGAAAATGGTTTCATGAATTACGGGCCCTGAATTCACATTGATACTGTTGACTTGTTTACAGGTGGCCATATAGATGTGGGCGGCCATGTTGCTAACTCACGTATAATCATCCTGTCTGATGCACAGTTTACAACAAATGACCCCTCTACATCCTTCACTGATGTCCTTGACCCCAGACATGCTGAACAGGTAAAGATGGCTCTCATCAATCTGTTATTTTCGGCTGGTTGATTTCTGATTTTCTGCTAAGGATGGTCTCTATCATGCAAATAAAGTGTGTGGTCATGCAATTATAATTGAATTTTGGACTAAAATATACACTTTTCTTTTTTAGGTTGGTTGGGGAGAGGGAGGGGGTTTGGCAGGGTGAATGGATTCTGCATAGAGTAAACTAAGGCAGCCATCTTGGATTTGATAGTTCCAGTTTGTTATTGCTATTTCTCAAAAAGTACTATACCTGACAGATCTTTCTCATATTTCTAATGTAGGTTCCCTATATTTACCATAGTTGTGCATGTTGTATTTTGAGATGGATTTGAAAAACAAGATGGCCACCAGGCAACCATTTTGGATGTTGACAGACCACTGATTAGTTTGTTTTGTTATTGTCATCATCTCCCAAGAAGTCCTAAACAGATCTTTCTCAATTTGCATATGTACATGTAGGTTCCCCTTAGTACATAGTTGCATGTGCATGCTTTATTTTGAGATGGATTTGAAGAACAAGATGGCCACCAGACAGCCATGTTGTATTTTAACAGATCAAGTTTGTTATTGCTATTTCTCAAGAATGCATAACAGGTCTTTCTCAAATTTCTTATGTAGGCTCCCCTTGGTCCATCATCATGTATGTTTCATTTTGGGACTGATCAGAAAAACGAGTTGGCCACCAGTAACACTTTTAAAGGTTTAAATATTAAAATTCTCCTTTAATACAAAAGAAAAATGAAGTACATATAACAGTTAATTTAATAGTTTAAATACCATACTATACTGATTTTGATGAGTTAAGAAATTAAAAAATACTGAAGTAATCTCAAATTAGCAGGGTTGACTTGTATTTTGACCGTCTTTGATCCTGGCTTCGTTGCCGAAAAGACACTGGTAAAACTTTGCGATACTCAAGTGTAAAAGATGAGGATTAATTAGGTTGCCTTACAAGCGTCAGCTGTAGGGAATTTCCCTTTAGCTTAGCGGTGGAGCATCGGGCTGGAGAGCCAAGGGTTGTGGGTTCGAGCCCCAGCGACGGCACTATCTTTAACACTATTCCTCGTCCTATTACAAATTGGTGCCATTGACCATCCCCGTTCAAGGTAGGAGAACCCTTGGCGGGGAGTCAAAGAACCTGGGTTGGTGTATGAAAAAAGGGGGGAATAGTGTAAAAGATGAGGATAAATTAGGTTGCCTTACAAGCGTCAGCTGTAGGGAATTTCCCTTCAGCTTAGGGGTAGAGCATCGGGCTGGAGAGCCAAGGGTCGCGGGTTCGAGCCCCAGCGACGACACTATCTTTATCAATATTCTTGTCCTATTACACCAGTATGCTGGTTGACTTAAGGAGCAACAATTCATGAAGTACACTGTATGTATAAAAGTTTTAATTTAATGTATTATCATCCTCTTGGATCTATGTCGTTATTGAACTCTTTCAGATGGCTAATGAGGTGTCCCATCTAGCGAATCAAGTGACTAGTTCATCAGGATACCAACTGTTCTTTATACCTGTTGGCAATGCCAATAGTGTAAGTGTTTATATCATATACAACTGTACGGACACGTGATGAATGTAAAATAATTTGAATGGAAAACACATTTGAAAAATAAAAGTTATCTATGACTACAAAAATAAGTACAAGATGTCAAAAGTAATAATAAAGGAATATAAAGTTCACTTATAGTTTTGTTTTTACGAAATACAAGGTAGACATAAATAGAAGAAAAATGATATTCAAAGGACTATTTATGGTTTGGGCCTTTTTTGGCCCCAAAATCCATCAAAATTAAAAATCTGCAATAGAACTTTCAAACGAATGTTTCTTTAATTTTGAATAATTCCCCAATACTGTTATGTAAACATTTATTTGTTTTTTCAATTTTGGCTGCCATGGTAACCAGGTCATATTTGCATAAATTATTGAAATTTGATTATTCAGTCAATTTTGACACTGGTTTTCACCTAGTTTTTCTCTTAGCTACCATAGAGTGCACTCTTGAACCAACTGTATATTTCTCCTAAAGATGTATTACAGGTGCCAACACATTATCCTTTGATATTAAGTTTGTTCAAGCATGCGCTCTATAGTTTCGAGGAGAAAAACTATGCAAAATATCACAATATTCACTGAATATTCAAATCTTTCTAATTTATGCAAATTTGCACTTGTTACCGTGGCAACGATAATTAGAAATATAAATTATATATTTTCATAATAGTATTTGGGAAGTATTCGAAATTAAAGAAACAGTCGACATTTCAAAGTTCATTTAAAGGTTTTGAATTTTGATGGATTCCGCCTGTGCATACGAATGCACTTATGTGCGTATGTTAACTCTATGTCATTGCTCTAGCGACTTCATTCCTCAACAAAATTTCATGAAACTTCATTCAAGTGTTTAGTATGTCAATTCCTTGAACAAGTACGCGTTTCGGGTTTCTATGTTGAATTTCAAGGTCACTGTTACTATTTTTAGAAACCTTGTCATTGCTCTTAGTGACTTCATTTCCTCTTACATATATGTGTCACGATGTGTGAATGCGAGGGGATTTGTATCACTTATGATGCCTTGTTTTTAAGACAATTTAGTAAAAATGTGCAGTGCAATACAAGTATTCTGAAAATTGTCTTGCTCATAATTTCATTAGCATTCTCAAAACTGGAAAATTCAAATTTCATGGGACATTTAGACTAGTGTACTTTTGGTATACCTAAATTTTCACTGGCTCATTTTTTGTAGATCATTATAGACGCTGTGATTGGAGTGACAAATGGACAAACATGTTCTCCTGGTGATGCTAAGTCGCTGAGCAAAGGATACCTACATCATGTAAGTTACTGTCAAGGGTGGGCTTTTTAGGGGTTCCGATTTTAACGATTTTTCACAGTACAATTTTTCAGCAAAATTTATAACCTGAATTACTAGAAGAAATTAAATTTGTCTCTACCATAGAAAAATGTGCATGGTCACTGTATGTGAAATCTACAGAAAAAATAGATAATTCAAAGGATGAATAGGATTTGAAGACACATTTTGTTATCCATCTTGTAGATGTGTTGTAACTGGATGGTATTCCCATCTATTTTTCATTTTCTGTCATGGGATGGAAAGATGTTTTGCAGAAATGCAATGGTTTGCTTTCTGTCAAATTCAGCTCATCAATTTTTATAAAAGGTCATTGACATTTCAGACATGTCAATGGGCCATGGTTTGATAGTAGAAAATTAAAGCGTAAGGGAAGATCAGGGCTTACCAAAATAATATAAGAACAGCTAGCTGTTATAGAATTGTAGTCAGAAGAAAGATTCAAATATTTCTGTTTTCAAATAATTTTGAGTATTTTACAGGTGATTGCAGGATGCGTTTTAACACAGTCACCAGGCATGGTGCCAGATCAAACCATGGTAGCGGCAATAGCTAAAGAAAAATACAGTGGGGTAGAGGATAAAGATATTGTAAGTCTGACCCACTGCTCTCTGTAGAGAAACTAGATCTGTTTGTCTATCTCCAACCTCACCCACCTCTCTGACTACACCTCTATCTCCAACCTCACCCACCTCTCTAACTACACCTCTATCTCCAACCTCACATACCTCTCTGACTACACCTCTATCTCCAACCTCATCCACCTCTCTGACTACACCTCTATCTCCAACCTCACACACCTCTCTGTCTACAACTCTATCTCCAACCTCACGCACCTCTCTAACTACACCTTTATCTCCAACCTCACCCACCTCTCTAACTACACCTCTATCTCCAACCTCACGCACCTCTCTATCTACATCTCAATCTCCAACCTCACCCACCTCTCTGACTACACCTCTATCTCCAACCCCACCCACCTCTCTGACTACACCTCTATCTCCAACCTCACCCACCTCTCTAACTACACCTCTATTTCCAACCTCATCCACCTCTCTATCTCCAACTCTATCTCCAACCTCACCCACCTCTCTGACTAGACTTCTATCTCCAACCACACCCACATCTCTAACTACACCTCTATCTCCAACCTCACGCACCTCTCTATCTACACCTCTATCTCCAACCTCACGCACCTCTCTATCTACACCTCTATCTCCAACCACACACACCTCTCTGACTACACCTCTATCTCCAACCACACCCACCTCTCTGTCTACACCTCTATCTCCAACCTCACACACCTCTCTGTCTACAACTCTATCTCCAACCTCACACACCTCTCTATAACTACACCTCTATCTCCAAACACACCCACCTCTCTAACTACACCTCTATCTCCAATCTCACGCATCTCTCTGTCTACACCTCTATCTTAAACCACACCCACCTCTCTGACTAAACTTTTATAACAAACCACACCCACCTCTCTGACTACACCTCTATCTCAAACCACACCCACCTCTCTAGCCTTACCTTTATTTCAAACCACAATCACTTCTCTTTACCTGTCCACATCCTGAATATCTTCAACTACCATACCCTCATCTTCTATTGTTGTAATAAATTGCATGGCACATTGATTTCTTGCTGCAGGAAGCTGTGATGGGACTAATATTGAAGCACCAGAATCCACAGAGCCAAGGCAAGGGTAGGGGTCAGGGAATGGGCCGGGGTCAGATGATGGGACAGATGCCGGTAATGGGTCGTGGTCAGGGAATGATGCCCACACAGCTACCTAGTCATGGAGGTCCCCCAGGCAGCCTTCCAGCAGGCCTATTTAATGACCCAGGTTCCTCTAGCACACAAGGTAATATCTAATGACCATATAATATTGAGGATAAATACCTCAAAGAACAGCAGATAATTTCGTACTGCCAAGAATAACACTTATCAACAAAGAACGTCAAAGAATGACAAAAGATGAACAAAGAAAAACAAAGATAGACTTAGAATAGCAAATGAGTTGTACTTTTACCAAAAACATTAAAAATACCTTTTATATACACTATAACAAGCAGGTTTATTATGCACTGTATTGTCCATAGTTTTGTTGGTAATAAACTGTATTATATATAGTATTATGTTTGTTTATGAAAGAATTGAACTAATGTTACGTCCTCAGATTGATACTTCATTTTCTTAAAACCAATGAAAGCTCTCAAAACTATCCAGCTACTCAGTCAGTCTTCTTATAATTAACAGAATTGTGCTATATTTAAATTTACGATGAGACATTAAAAATGCCTACTTGTCAGTTTTGGATCAGACATGGTAGTGATGGTACAAATGTTTGCCTGAAGGCCCTGAACAATTAAGTGTTGATGTTATTCTGAATGTTTGGGAATCCATAATGATCGCCATGGCCTCTAATTGGATGACATATTTTCGACTTTTCTCCAGTTCTTGTCAGATTTGGATCAGACTTGGTAAAACTGTTTGTCCTATGACCGTGCACAAGTGCTTTTTGTGTCGCCTGCAATGCGAGGCGACATATAGGTATAACTTTATCGGCGGCGTCGGTTGTGTCGTCCGAAACAAGGTTTTCATGCAATAACTTGAGTACTCTTGAGTTGATTAAACTCAAACTTGGTACACATATTCCATACCAATATAGCCCGGACAATTTCGCATTTCAGCAGTTAACGTGCATTTTTGGTGGAGTTATGCCCCTTTTATTGCCAAATATTGGAAACATAGCTAGGTAATTATTTAAAATCCTTTTTCTTCTGTAGGAATGGTCAAAGGGGAACAAATTTTGTATCATTGGTGTGTCTGACCCCCCAGGGGGCAGAGAGGTGGGGCCCAATAAGGGATAAAGAGGAATAGCTTTAATATCCTTTTTCTTCCATTGGAATGAAGGTATTTTAACCAAATTTGAACAGTAGCATCCTATGGGGAAGGGAAATCAATTTAGTGTAAGTGGTGGGTCTGACCCCCTGTGGCCAGAGGGATGAGGTCCAATAGGGGTAATTTAGTAAATTTAAAAAAAAAATCTTCTTCTGTAGAAATGACAGGGTTTTGTCCATATTTGGTGTAAAGCATCATTTGGTGAAGGGGACTTAATTTTGTACATAAAGGGTGGGTCTGACCCCCCTTGGGGCAGAGAGGTGGTGCCCAATAAGGGATATAGAGAAATAGCTTTACTATCCTTCTTCCTTTGTGATGAAGGTATTTTGACCAAATTTTAACAGTAACATCCAATGGGGAAAGGAAATTAATTGTGTATACCGCGGTAAATGGTGGGTTTGAACCCCCTGGGGGCAGAGGGGAGATGCCAAAAAGGGAAAATAGAAAAATATCTTTAAAATCCTTCTTCTGTAGAAATGACAGGATTTTGTCCATATTTGGTCTAAAGCATCCTTTGGTGAATTGTATCAATGGTGGGTCTGACCCTCTGGGGCAGAGGGGCTGGGCCCAATAGGGGGAAACATAGCAAATTCCTCAAAATCCTCCTTTTCCTGTAGGAATGACAGGATTTTGTCCAATTGCATATAAATATAACCCCTGTCTAACCATGTTAAACATGTTCACTACCAGCAACATCTGGCTATTTCAACTTTAATTTTGCTAACATTTCCAGGTGACCAATACAGGCCCTCTGGGCCTCTTGTTTTCTTTAGTTATACTTGTCAGATTTGAATCAGACTTTTGTCTCATGGCCCTGAACAGTGTTGTGTTATAGCTTGATTAGGAATCAAATATGGCCTTCCTAACATCTGATTAGCCGACACATTTTTACTTCTTCTCCAAATGTACTGCTCAGATTTGGCTTAGACTTGCTAGAGCTGTTTGTCTCATGGCTCAGAACAGGTGTGGCTATTTTGTTGCTTGATTTAGAAGCCAATATGGCTATCATAGCTTCTAAATGGCTGACACATTTTCAACTTATCCAGTTATTCCGGTCAGATTTGGATCAGACATGGTTCAAATGTTTGTCACATAGCCCTGAAGAGGTGTTTGTTATTTTTTCGTCTGCATTATTTAAGGTCACATGTACAGGTGGTCAAATAGGTTATAAACTTCAAACAACTTTTGGATAACCAAGAGGCCAAGGATGATAATATTGGGCTATTAACATGCTGATATGAACGGCTAGTAATTATAAGATTGTTCAAATAAATCACTTTGACGAACTTTCGAGGCAACAGGGATCAAATGTATTCAAACACTTCTAGATAACAGAGAGGCCTCAAAGCAGGGTGATGATATTTATTTTTCAACAGGTGAACGATTCAGGCCCGCTGGGCCTCTTGTTTGACTAATTGTTTATGATCATTTTTCAGTTTTAAGGATCATGTAGTTTAACAGTGTACAATTTTTAACACAGTGAAACCAACTACAACCCTTCCAGGAAACCATGACCAATTGCCATTCATGTCAAAACAATCTCCGTACAATACATCACCTGAATTTTCTGGCCTAGATAAGATGGGAAAACACTTACCAAGTGGGACTGGTGGTTCCGACTATAACCAATTACCAATGAAGACTGCAGAAACTGAAGGTACAGAATTACTGCTGGACCTTAACAGCAAGCTCCCGCCTGGTCTTCCTAGTGCTTTAATAGGAGGGGAGGGTGCAAGAAGAGCTCCTCAGGAGAGAACTCCCGCAGTCATTACAGCTGAAGTTATGAAGACAATGAAAATCCCACCGGAGCTGGAGGAGACTAGAAAGCGGACATGGACACTTTCTGAGGATATCCTTGAGGAGATGAAGAGGGATATGGTAGCTGGAAAAGATGATCCAAAGCCTTGGGATTCTCCGTGTCTTCAAGAATTTCTGCTGATCAGGAAAGACGGGACCAAGATTGAGCAGGATGGTGATGGAAACATTTTAGGTGACGATGAGGAGGCTGTAATACGACGGGAAGAGAAAGCAAAACAGAAATTATTGTTCGAGGAATTGAAAAAAGCTTGTGAGGGTCATCCTGAACTACCAACCCTGTTATCTTTGGATGAGGATGACATCGGAGACTTGACAGAGGAAAGGGTCAATGAGCTATTGGACGATTTTGGGGGAGGTCCACCAAAGATTGAGAACCTTCCCATCATGCCTGTTATTGGATTGAGAGTGAAGCCTGGTCCAGACTGGATGTGGAAATTCAACGGCGTTGGTATCTTTGAGAAGGGCACAGTCATCGGTATTGATGAGGAAGATAAAGGTTTGTATAAAATATTTATTTGAAATGACTTTTGTGTCTTCACTATATGATAAAAAGGCTGCCTTACATAAATGTACATGTAGTTTCACCCATGTCCATCTGTTCATTGTGCAATGTCATTTTGGTACGTAGCACCAAAGGTCAAGGTCGACACTACTGTGAGTAGAAAAATCTTGCCAGCATTTGCTTTAATTAATTTGTGGTTGGATTTCCATAAAACTTTTAACACCAGGTAATAAAACGAGGTTGCATGACGAGATTGCATCTCAAGAAAGTCAAGGTCACTGTTGCATGTACTTTCTTTATACAGAAAAATCTTGTAATTGATCTGGTGCCTTTAGTTGTGGTTAAATTCTATGAAACTAATTTTATATATTGCATCTTACATCTCTCACAGGTATTCTATCTTATATATATAGTTGTGTTGTATTATAAAACACCTTAGTACTAAGATTATAGGTTATTTTTGTGGGAATATATGTATGAAAACTTCGCAGATCAATATTAAAAACTTTCATTGTCTTCTTACTGGCATTTTTGCTTCTTATAATGATTGATGGGCATGACTTTGTGTAACTTTGATATTAGTACATGTAAAGTTGCGACGGATTCGTGTTATTTTGTTACATGATATATACATTTGTTACAGAGTGGTGATGTGTAACTTTGTTATAGGGTGGTGTGGTGTACTTTTGTTATAGGGTGGTGGTCTGTAACTTTGTTATAGAGTTGTGATGTGTAACTTTGTGATAGGGTGGTGATGTGGAACTTTGTTATAGAGAGGGGATGTGTAACTTTGTGATAGGGTGGTGATGTTTAACTTTGTTATAGGCTGGAGATGTGTAACTTTGTTATAAGGTGGTGATGTGTAAATTTGTTACAGAGTGGTGATGTGTAACTTTGTTATAGGGTGGTGATATGTAACTTTGTTATAGGGTGGTGATGTGTTACTTTGTTATAGGGTGGAGATGTGTAACTTTGTTATAGGGTGGAGATGTGTAACTTTGTTATAGGGTGGTGATGTGTAACTTTGTTATAGGGTGGTGATGTGTAACTTTGTTATGGGGTGGTGATGTGTAATTTTGTTATAGGGTGGTGATGTGTAACTTTGTTATAGGGTGGTGATGTGTAACTTTGTTATAGGGTGGTGATGTGTAACTTTGTTACAGGGTGGTGATGTGTAACTTTGTAATAGGGTGTTGATGTGTAACCTTGTTATAGGGTGGTGATGTGTAACTTTGTTACAGGGTGGTGATGTGTAACTTTGTTACAGAGTGGTGATGTGTTACTTTGTTATAGGGTGGTGATGTGTAACTTTGTTATAGGGTGGTGATGTGTATCTTTGCTATAGGGTGGAGATGTGTAACTTTGTTATAGGGTGGTGATGTGTAACTTTGTTACAGGGTGGTGATGTGTAACTTTGTTACAGAGTGGGGATGTGTGACCTTGTTATAGGGTGGTGATGTGTAACTTTGTTACAGGGGGGTGATGTGTAACTTTGTTACAGAGTGGTGATGTGTTACCTTGTTATAGGGTGGTGATGTGTAACTTTGTTACAGGGTGGGGATGTGTAACTTTGTTATAGGGTGGTGATGTGTATGTTTGCTATAGGGTGGAGATGTGTAACTTTGTTATAGGGTGGTGATGTGTATGTTTGCTATAGGGTGGAGATGTGTAACTTTGTTATAGGGTGGGGATGTGTAACTTTGTTATAGGGTGGTGATGTGTAACGTTGTTATAGGGTGGTGATGTGTATCTTTGCTATAGGGTGGAGATGTGTAACTTTGTTATAGGGTGGTGATGTGTAACTTTGTTACAGAGTGGTGATGTGTAACTTTGTTACAGAGTGGTGATGTGCGACTTTGTTATAGGGTGGTGATGTGTAACTTTGATACAGAGTGGTGATGTGTAACTTTGTTACAGAGTGGTGATGTGTAACTTTGTTCCAGAGTGGTGATGTGTAACTTTGTGATAGGGTGGTGATGTGTAACTTTGTTATAGGTTGGTGATGTGTAACTTTGTTATAGGTTGGTGATGGGTAACTTTGTTATAGGGTGGTGATGTGTAACTTTGTTGTAGGGTGGTGATGTGTAACTTTGTTATAGGATGGAGATGTGTAACTTTGTTATAGGGTGGTGGTGTGTAACTTTGTTATAGGGTGGTGATTGTAATTTTGTTATAGGGTGGTGATGTGTAACTTTGATACAGAGTGGTAATGTGTAACTTTGTTACAGAGTGGTGATGTGTAACTTTGTTATAGGGTGGTGATGTGTAACTTTGTTATAGGGTGTTTAATTTTGTTATAGGGTGGTGATGTGTAACTTTGTTATAGGGTGGTGATGTGTAATTTGTTATAAGTTGGTGATGTGTAACTTTGTTATAGGGTGGTGATGTGTTACTTTGTTATAGGGTGGATTCGTGTTAAGTGGGATGAACACAACGGCTTGGTGGAGGACTATCGCTGGGGGCTGGACTACGAATTTGATGTGGAGCCTATCGAAGGGGGCATGGAGGCTGTCTTATGGCCAGAGGGCAAAGGTCAGTACTGATATTCTTTTCGTATGACAAATCTTGCTTTGTGTTTTGCTGATTGTTTCCTTGCTATATGAAGATGATTGTCAAAGTGCACAGGTAAATCAACCTTCATTTAGTGGTTTAGTTTATATTTATGTTTAATTATTAACTTTTAGTGCTATTTTAAATGTGTATTACTGTTATATGTATGAATAGAAACTTTACTTAGTGCTGTATTAAATGTGTTTTACAGTTATATGTATGAATACAAACTTTTTATCCATTTTATATTTGATTTTAGTATCATATCTACAAAATAAGTTGACATTCTTAGTTGAAACGGGCTATAACTAAACTTCAAAGGATTTCCTATATAAACACCTTCCTTTCAATTCTCCAGAGTTGGTGTTCGGGGAATGAACCACTTATATATATAGACAATAGAGGATTAATCCCCTATTGTTAGCTCACCTGGCACGAAGTGCCAAGTGAGCTTATGCCGTGGCGCGGCGTCCGTCGTCCGTCCGTCGTCCGTCTGTCCGTCCGTCCGTCCGTCCGTCCTCGTCCATCAACTTTTCCTTTAAACAACTTCTACTGAAGAACGGACAGGCCTAGAGTCATGATATTTGGCTGAAAGCTTCGTTGGGAGGAGCCCTACAAAGTTTGAGAACGAAAATGACCTTGACCTGTTTTCAAGGTCACAGGGGTCAAATATGTCAAAAACTTCAAACGACTTCTTCTAAAGAACTAAAAGGTATAGAATCTTCATATTTGGCTGATGGCTTCCTGGGATAGAGCCCAACAAAGTTTGAGAATGAAAATGACCTTGACCTACTTTCAAGGTCACAGGGGTCAAATGTGTCAAACACTTCAAACGACTTCTTCTGAAGAACTGAAAGGTATAGAATCTTTATATTTGGCTGGTGGCTTCCTGGGATAGAGACCAACAAAGTTTGAGAATGAAAATTAGTTTGACCTACTTTCAAGGTCACAGGGGTCAAATATGTCAAAAACTTCAAACGACTTCTTCTGAAGAATTAAAAGGTATAGAATCTTCATATTTGGCTGATGGCTTCCTTGGATGGAGCCCAACAAAGTTTGAGAATGAAAATTACCTTGACCTTCTTTCAAGGTCACAGGGGTCAAATGTGTCAAACACTTCAAACGACTTCTTCTGAAGAACTGAAAGGTATATAATCTTTATATTTGGCTGGTGGCTTCCTGGGATAGAGCCCAACAAAGTTTGAGAATGAAAACTAGTTTGACCTACTTTCAAGGTCACAGGGGTCATATATGTCAAAAGCTTCAAATGACTTCTTCTGAAGAACTGAAAGGTATAGAATCTTTATTTTTGATTGATGGCTTCCTTGGATAGAGCCCGACAAAGTTTGAGAATGAAAATGACCTTGACCTTCTTTCAAGGTCACAGGAGTCAAATGTGTCAGACACTTCAAACGACTTCTTCTGAAGAACTGAAAGGTATATAATCTCTATATTTGGCTTGTAGCTTCCTAGGAAAGAGCCGAACAAAGTTTGAGAATGAAAATGACCTTGACCTTCTTTTAAGGTCACATGAGGCAGATATGTCAAACACTTTAAACGACTTCTTCTGAAGAACTGGTAGTTATAAAATCTTAATATTTGGCAGGTGGCTTCCTGGGAAAGAGCCAAACAAAGTTTGCGAATGAAAATGACCTTGACCTACTTTCAAGGTCACAGCGTTCAAATATGTCAAACAGTTCAAACAGCTTCTTCTGAAGAATTAAAAGGCATAAAATTATAATATTTGGCTGGTGACTTCCCGGGATAGAGCTCACCAAAGTTTGCAAATGAAAATGACCTCAACCTACTTTAGAGGTCACAGAGGTCAACAACATTTTAATGGATTTGTTCTTGAGAACTAAAAGGAATGGATTCATAAGATTTGGCTGGTAGCTTTTTGGAATAGAGCTAACCAATTTGAGAAGGAAAATGACATTGACCTACTTACAAGATCACAGGGAAAAGTATGTCAAGCAACTTCTGAAGAAGAATAAAAAAGCATAGAATCTTACAATAATTTTTTGCTGGTAGTTTCAACAGATGGAGCCAACAAAGTTTGCGAGGGAAATAGTTTTAGTGCAATATAATATTTAATGAGAATATTTTGCTATGACTGCTTAAATATTCAGGTGAGCGATACAGGCCCTCTTGGGCCTCTTGTTAAGAGCATATATAGATATTCAAACTGCTGGCAATGGGAAGCCATAGAAAATCATAGTTCGAGGGATGGTTGATATTAGGAGGAAATCCCATATGAAATAGAGGAAAATCTTCAAAAACCTTGGTCCGGATTATTTTTGGACACAAAAAAAGGGTGTTGCCCAGGCAAGTAGGATAATCAACCCCCCTGGGTCCGCCACTGGAGTATCATGAACAATTTTAACTCCAAGAAAGTTCTGAACTTAAATATTCTTTAACATTATATATTCCATCTCAGATGTTCTAGTAATAGATTTTCTGAGATTCATGTCATGTTTTAAATCAAGATGTGAGTTATTAGCATAGATTTTATAAATATTTTACTAATCAATTGACGTTTGAGGAAATATTGCCCTTCAGGATCCCAGCTGTCCCACTGCACAGTGAATTTTTTGTTTTGGATATAACTATAGCATGGTTGGCCACAACTTCGGGAGCCAAGGGTGTTCAATACGATACTCTCCTATTCAGTATTGTATTGAACACCCTTGGCTCGCAAAGTTGGGTTGGCCTGGACATAACCTGAGTTTCCTCTCGCTCTAACAGTAGACTTAGACATTTTGACAGATAGATGTCTGGTGTGGGGCCAGAGTGCACTGCTATATGAAAACTTGGTATTCTTTGACAATGGTTGGTATCGGGGAGTGAGTGATCAACAAAAAGATACAGTCTGGAAATCTTCTAAACAAAAAAAATATTCTGTTTTCGGTCCGGATCAGTACAGTTTGTTGATTAGTCACCCTGTGACCTACAAAAATGGTGTTCGCTCAGGTGGGACATTTTTAACGATTGAAAATTGAAGTCTCTGCTGACGGAATTTAGCAGCTGTTGGTGATAATAAGAGCTTATTGGATCAATAAATAATCCATTTATAGATATATGTGAGGTATGTGTTGTGTCATAGTAGATTTTTGTTGTCAACACCTCATAACTCTCCAATACCAAACGGTGTTGGAGAATTCCACATTTAATGTAGCAGTGCGCTCTGGCCCCACATGTACACCAGACATCTATCTGTCAAAAGGTCTAAGTCTGCTGGTGTCGGGCCAGAGGAAACTCGGGCTAGGCCAATTCTATTGACCAGGTTAACGTTATAGTGTAACAATCCCAAGACCAGGGTTCAAAAACTAACTTAACCGAGCAGATTGTTACACTCTGACTCTGCTGTTGATTATATTTTGTTTATTTGATCTGAAGTCTTTTATCATAAAGTCCCACAAGAAATTGATTTTCTTTTTAGAAATGATAAAGCTGTATAGTAATGCTGAAAAAAAGTTTTCAATGTTTAGGTAGTTTTAGGTTTTGGCAGTGGTTAGCAAATCCTTCAAATGAAGATAATATTTTAAGAAATGAGAAAGTGTATAAGTTCTGTGATTCTTGGGTCTGATCTAAAACAATAAGAAAACAGCACAGTTGAACAATCTGGGCGAAAAATTGATTTACTGTAATTTTCTTTTCTAGTGAGAATAATTAAAACCACAAAGGATATTGCAAATGAGTTTGGACCAAAACAAGTGGTATGTAGACTAAATACACAACTTGCTATAATGTGTGAGCTTTTCTAGGCATTAATTAGCTTTTAGAGTAAGGCCAAATACATATAATGTGTGTTTCATGTTTAGAAAAATATCATACTTCATATCAAATTTTACAATACATTTCAACACGTTACAATCATATTATAGTTTGTCAAGATTAGGGTCAGACTCCTAGAACAGGAAGAAAGTACATTTTGATGGATGGTTGTGAATTTTACATGGCTAATAACTTAATCAAAGTTACAAGAAGGTGATCACATTTTTAGGGTTGACATGAAAAACCTGAAACACACACATTTTTGTTTTTGCCTAAGTTGATCACTGTGTATCTACCAATGTAAGAATCGAACAAATTGTAAACATACACCCATGATAGCCTTTTATCATTTTACACTATTTATGACAGCCTGGATTGCGAGGTCCCTGCCCAAAGTAGCAACTTCATGATCTTCTTTACTGACAGTTTTAACCGGATAAAGATAAAGAGATTTGCAAATCTGTGTAAACCAGACATTGAGATTTACAAACTTGCGTAAATGAGCCATAGATATTTAAACCTGTGTAAACAGAATTCTCGAGATAAACAAACGTTTGTAAACCGTATTGACAAAGATATATAAGCTTGTGTAAACAGAACTCCTGAGATATACAGACCTGTGTACACCATATAGACACAAATATACAAACATGTGAAAACTGTATAGACACAGATAAACAAACTTTTGTAAACCATATAGACACAGTTATATAAGCTTGTGTAAACAAAACGCTTGAGGTATACAAACCTGTGTAAATGAGACATTGAGATTTACAAACTTGTGTAAAAAGTCATGAATACACAAACCTGTGTAAACTACATATACACAAATCTACAAACCTGTGTAATCAAACCTGTTTGAAATAAACAAACCTGTGTAAAGTAGACATTGATATTTACAAACCTAAAAAGGTAGGTTAATATCAGACCCTGAACATCTTTTGCTTAATCCTAGTCCATAAAACTTACCTCAAAATGAAATCTGTGGTCTTCACATAAATGTTAGCTGTCTCGTTTGCACATTATATTGCTCTTACAAATACCTTTTTATTGTTTTCTTTCCAGAAAGAAAAGCTCAGAGCATTGTAAGTTCTTTTAACCATTTTCAATTCAATTTGTGTGAAAGTGTGATTGAAATATTAAAATTTTGAGCATCAATTAATGTTGGTATTTCATTTCAAAATTTATTGAATTTCCTTAAATATCAAAATACATTTTGAGTACTCCAACAAACGAACAATGTCAGATATTATGCTAACTGCCAATTCTATTTTGAAATTTAAAATATTGTCTTATATGTTTTAGGGCAAAGGCCAGAAGGGAAGAAAGACGTAGGGCTGAAACATCTGGTGCTTCGTCTATCAAACCAACGTATAACCCTCCTTCTAACCCTCAGAATGTGAATGATCTCAACCTGCAGAACAATGCACGCAACATACAGGCAGGCTCCCAGCAAACAACAACCGCCACCGTACTCCCAGAAAGGGTTCCCAAGGCAACATCCACAGCAACGTCCACAACAACTGTAACTACGGCAACAACTTCTCAGAAAACAGCAGCCACAACTAAAGAGAGTTCCAAAGACAATGGGCCTTCACAAATAGACAGACCTGCAGCTGTTGAAAAATCAAATGGGAGTATGTACTATATAATTCAATAAATGGTTAAAACAAAAGTTTAAGTAAGCATTTCCATCAATAACAAATACAAGTTAAACAATTCATAATTTAGCTGTATATTGTAGTGAAGCGGAACTGGACTGCTTTGATCGTCATTGACCAGGTAGCTCATTTGGTAGAGTAAAAATCTAGAGTTTGGAGGGTCACAGGTTTGAATCCCTGTCTGGCCATTGCATTTCTCCTGTTAAAAAATTGGCGAGCTTGCAAACCCTTGTTTAAATCACTGGGTGAATGCTTGGCAAGGAGATACTGGGCCGTAAATAGTAAATAAATTCCAGAGAGAAGACCAAGAAAAAGGAGGGAAGATTAATATAACAGAACTAGACTGTAGAACACAATTGTTGGCGCAAGCTCAATTGGTAGAGCGGCTAAAGTTCTGAGGGTCCCAGCTGTTCAATCCTGGACAGGCCATTATATATATAATTACATTTCTCTTCCTTCTGTTACAAAAGTACCACAGTATGTTGACAAGATTATTCTTCAAAAAGGACCATGCAAGTCATAGTTGTTACAACACCGATATGCCCTGCACTGATGACAAGTTATGAACGCTGTTTCTTTTCCAGCTTGCTTTGTATGGCAGTATAATGAACAAGGAACCTGGAAGAATTACCAACTAGACATACAGAAACAACTGGAGGAGACCTACCTCAAACGCAAAGAGAAGGGCACTGTCATTGTCCAGATTGATGGACAGTTGTAAGTGTTGTTTTCCTGTACCACCACAGTAACACAGGGGACAGGCCTACTGATTTGATGTGTCTTTACAAGCTGAAAGTAGTTGACTGCGATGGTTGTGTATCATGATTACTACCTATCATACAGTACATTGTACTCACTTATTAAATGCTGTCGATGTGTAAATAGCTCAATTTGAGTGAGTTTCGCCAGAGTAATCGCTGATAGCAAACATTAATTTCAGTTTTCTGTACTCAAATTTTGTATTTGACAATCCAAAATGTGTTAAAGAAGAGTTTGATCTATTATTTTGTTTCATTGTAAAAAAAAAGATGTTTACGATAGTAGTAATGTAATTGCAGTGTATAACCCTTTCTCCACTATAGACCATAATGGACTTATCCAGATCAATACATGGTAGAGTTTATTAAAGTTACATGTACATAGGGGTGAAAGGGTATAAACAATACTATAAAGACCTGTACATGATGTTTGCCCTTTGTTTTGTCAGTGAACGGGTTGTATTCCAATGTATGGAACAAAGAAACAATGTCAACAAAAAGAAAATAAAGAAAGTCCGTCGAACCGGTAAGTCAGAGCACAATTTTGTTTGCTTTTATAACACACAACGAAAACTGGAGGCCATAAAAGGTCAATAAGGTAAGGACAATTGGTTGAAAACAAAGTGACTGCAATTCTCCTCTGCACTGAAAATGATTGAATAGACTTTGTAGATATGTGTACATTTATGATCACTGGTTATCTTGCATTTCTCACAATCTCGTTGCATTGGTCGTTTTCCCTAAATGTCAAAGTTCAATGCCAGACACCAACTTTATAGTCCTGTATAATGATTGTTTGGGTTCTAATGTGCACAAAAAAATATGGCATTATTATACTAAACCCTTGAATGAAATTGATATCGGGAGAATAAGACCGTTAATAATTTACGCAGTACATTGTAACTGTTGTGGTAGATTTTATTGGAGGGGTGAGACGGGGTTATTAAATCAGCCACTGAATGACAGTTCTAATTTTTCTGCATAATTGATGTATTTAAATGTCATGGCTCCAAAGAGTTTTGAGCTAAACTTCATTCTGAGGCAGAGGAAAAGTATAATTATATTATGTAGAATAATTGCACATAATGTATATTATTTATATACTTCTATAGACATATGATTTCTTGCAGTTACAGTGGCTGATGCAGAGAGTCTTCGGTAGCTCCAGGAAATGTGGGCCAAATAATGTACCAGCATTCCATGTTAAGACACCAAACAGAATATACAGAAGTGTGACTATCTATCTCTATGTCCCAAACTGGAATTGTATAAGAATAGTTTGGATGATATAGACTTTCATTATTTCCAATCCTGCTTGCTGAATCATTCTTTACAAAACTTGTATAACTCCAAAGAAGACAGCAATAACTGGAATCTTCTCCATTGAGAATTAATGTTTAAATGTTTTTTCATGGCGGATAGCACGGCACTAAGCAATTTTAGATTAACCTATTTGAAAGCAATTTATAAAAGTTTAAAGCAAGGGGAAGGAAAAAATAGCATTTGATTGACTTTACAACACTGTTTCAAACAACGTTAGATAGATCTACTGTTGTGAACAAAAAATGTCCTTTCCATTGGTTAGATCATGACGCTTAATTAATTAACATGAAGTTGTAAATATAGTTACCTATGTATTGGAAACATTTGTCAATATGGCCTTCATCCTTTGGACCGACATACTCTTTATAAGTGTCACTACAGATTTCTACCTTGGGAATCGTTTTTAGCTCGCCTATTCGAAGAATAGGGGGGCTAATGTAGTCACCCGGCATCAGCGTCCGGGAACCTTCAGAGGTTTAAGTTTTTTCCAAACAGTGTTGGATCATCACACACAATATACAGTTGTCTATTATGAGTTAAGGTGATTAATATCGAGTGTAAGCAATGTGCTGGACCATATGTTTATATTGTATGGCCCAAAAACAGCTTAATTGGACTTAGTTAAATTTCAGGTTAAAGTTTTTGGGCAAGTTTTTTTGTGAAGTGTTGGACAACGACCATCAATAGGCTGTTGTCTGTTATAAAGTTGAAGTATTTATATGGAGTGATAGCAATGTTCTGGACAATATTTTCATATTTTAGGGGCCAAAAACAGCTTCATTGGACTTGATTAATGTTTAGGGGTAAGCTTGAGGTTAAAGTTTTTGGTGTTGGACCACCACCATCAATAGGCTGTTGTCTATCATAAAGTTGAAGTATTTGTATTGAGTGTAAGCAATGTGTTGAACCATATTTTCATATTTTAGCGTCCAAAAACAGCTTTATTGCACTTTGTTAATTTCTTAACAATCACTTCACATAGATAATTCCACACATTTTACAGTCCTTGAAATATCCTGGTGGTAAGTGAGGTGGCAAATAAAGCGACAGGCACTATATCAACGTTTTACTATACATGTGTTTCTATTGATATTTGCAGTATTATAATAACATACATAGGCAAGCTATGCTGTTCTACGACAGCTCTTGTTAAATATGGCCTCTCCCCAATGAGAATTGTAAAATTTATAAAGAACAGGTTTCAAGATTGATATGTTTCTTTGGTATTGTAGTCATTGAGCTTCTCCGTTTGACATGGTTCCCAATATGAACACCTCTGTGAGGAACTGTTGTCAACGTAGACTTCTATCAGGGTAAACGTTGTCAATTTTGATCTCACTGTTGGGAACAATTTCCGATAAGAGTCCTTCCCTATAGAAGTTGACAACCTTTGTCAATATGCGCTATGTTGTGATAGGAGCTTGCCCAAGAGTGCTATTGTGTCCTCTACACTAGGTGCCGCTCGGGTGCATTTTGTAGAGAAGAATTCTTCTGCTACTCGCGGGTCAGGGTTTCCAATCAATGCTGCAACTCAAGTTGTCTGATTTATCGTAATTTAAACCCTCTGATTATGCTATCTGCGACAGGCAGCTTGACCCTCATCCAGCAAAGCCCAAGATGAGGGAGTCTCTTTGTAGGAAACAGCTGTCAATATATCAACTTCTGTGATCTCTATGATAATGGCATTCCATATCGACCTTTTCTTTGGGAACAGTTTCTAATATGAGCCTCATCTACCCTGGGAAAAGTTTTCAGTATGGTTCTCAACCTTGGGATATATAGCTTGGGTTGATATAAGGATGTCACAAATATATGGCTGGACCTCATCATTGGGAGTATTTGTGGGTATGGACGTTTCCTTGAGAACAATTCTTACAACTGGTCAATCATTGTTTTGGAGAACTTGCTATTGACATCCCATAGGTAGAGTTCTTGTAGTGTCTTAGCTGTTTGAAAAAGTCTTGAATGTGATCCAACTCCTGTGAGTTTCTGACATTGACCTTAGTTCTAAGTTGCTGTGTTTTTGTTAGATGAGATTTTAAATTGTTATATTTTATGCCATTATAAATGGATTTTGTAGTTTTTAGATTGTACTAATGGTGATTTTCCTTGAAAAGCCTTTCCTTTATTAACAATCATTTTATGTTAATTGAACTTTAATCATAATGCAATAAACATTTGTACCCTATTCTTAAGAAACCCAACTTGGGTTGCATGTACCAGTTATTATGTACCATCCATCACCTTTGGAATTTTTTCTGCATAAACAGATCAGGATAACATGTCTGCAACAAGCAGGTTTGTACTGTTCTCATGATCTGTTTTGTCTTTCAAAATATTCATAATAATTGATTGACATTTGACTGCATGATTGAAGTTCAACACAAACATGCTGTGTTGTCATTTTTTCTACGAATTAATGTACAGTATAGTTTTAACACTATTTATTACATACCTGGTACATGTATAAATAAAATTCATTTTCTAAAACATTTATATCTGTATTAAATTTGAATTGAAAAGAAACGTCTGTGTGCATTTTATTTTTCATTCAACTATAGTATTGAAATACAAGGTATGTGTCGGGCATAGCTATTTGACTGGATCAAATTAGTGTACTTGTACATGTTGCATCCACAAAGTGGTGTAATACAAACAAAGAAAGTAAGAGAGCATAGCCCCTAGAATTTTGAGAAAGCAGTCCTAGGAGTTCTATTAGCCGATAATTTGGAGGTGCCCACCTCGAAATTGGATGGCAAAATCCACATTTCACTTTTGCTACAATTTTTCTCACTAATTCATCATACTCTCCAGGCTGAAGGATCGAGGACAAACACAGTAATTTAGTTGAAGGTGGTGTAGAAGTCTTGAAAAGTTCAGAAAAATGTCTCTGACAGTGGAAAACAACAGATTTCAATGGCTTGCTTTTGCCCTTTAAATTTGGACGAGGTAAGCTAAACCAAATAGCAAATCTTGTATTGGTTGTTGATCAAGAAAAAAACAAGATAAAGAAAGATAAACTTTGTATAACAATTGAAATGAGACATTTTGAAAAGTTTTATCCAGTTATATATATTATTCACTCTTGTTGGCCAAGACATTATTGCAGGAGCTCTTACAGGAGGACATTGAGTAGCCAGGAAAACCCATATGGTTTAACTACATGTATATAGACAAATGGATTTAACAAAAGTGATGAAATTTTAAAACATTTTTTTTTTACTTTCTTTCAATGTTTATTCAATATATCATTCACATGTCTAAATGTACTTGCAATTCATACATGTAATTCAATCAAGCCAAGAATGACAAACTAGAGGCCCATGTACACATGCTATTGTTTCTTTAAATTTATATGAAATAGATGTGTCACCCTGGTAAAATACTAGCCGCTTCCTACCACCTCGGCTAGAGATAATTTCTCTTTGGCTCATTCGGTAGAGCATAAGACTAGTAAACCAGAGGTCCCGGGTTCCACTCCTAGCGGAGGCATTAATGCAATGCAATGTACAATAACATTTATGTGATAAACTTGTATGAATGTTCATTTTGCAGAACTAGGTTTTTAATACTTATCACTGAACTTGTCATCCTTAGCTTGTTAGCTATGTACTGCAATTCAAAAATGAGTATATGTTTAATTAATCTCAAAATGTAAGCACTTAAGCTTCTTTATCGGACAATAAATATATACATTAACATCATCAGGATTGTTTTTGCACTCAAGGAAATAAGATTTCATATATATGTACCAATATTCTCCCAATCGGGCCCTGCCCTTGTACCAGCAGGGGAACATGCTCTCTTCTGTTTGCTCAATCCTAATTAAACTTTTCATGGTTCAATGCGAAAATGCTTGAATTTATTAGTAGAACTTGGGCAGGGTGCACAAATTAACCATGTTCCCCATCAGAATCACTATAAAAGTCCTTAACTTCAACAACTTGGGTTATAAATATAAATTCCTAAAAGGAAATGTTTGACTGCACAAAACAACAAAACAATTTAGTTCTACTGTAATTGTCATCTAAATGAATTTGTAATGATCCTCAGCTTTGCCATGAAATGGGCTTCTACATCTAAAATGTCGCTGGAAATATTTAAAGGAAAATGTGCCAACAGAGTATACGTACTAAGGTGTGTTTTATGATACATTTTTTTACATAGATGGTTTTTGCGTTTGTTGATTTTGTAAATCATTTCTAATAATTTGATGAAAAACACAGTCGAGTTGACTGATTCAGTGATTGGTCATGACTGTATAACAAGTGAATGCACTCTCTGAAAATTCAATACAACCATACCATATTACATACAGGTAGCTATAGTGTACGTATAATTATACTGTTTCATACACCTAGATATAACCTGGCACTACCGTATAATATTACACATGTACTATATGTATAAATTGTCAACTAGAAACCATGTGAATGGCCGGTCTAGAACCAATATTCAATATAATACATATATGTGGTACAGTATCTTCACTGAAAGCCTATAGCGAGCCATAATAACAGAACACTGATGAAGGAAGGAGTGAAATAGATACGTATACATGTACATGAAAAAGGGAAGAACAAAGCTAATTACATCTTGTAATTAAAAGGAACAGATTATAGCCAGCTTATCATAAAAGCAGTAAAAAGAGAGCTAATGGCAAGTTTGCAGTGAAATATATATGTTTAAAAGGTGAACTCATACAATGTGTATCTCTAAAAAAAACACGGGCAAATTTAAACCAATACAAAAAATACAAAAAAAATACACCAAAGTTCATATATAGCTGAAAGTATAAATTTTGTATGTGTATGCGTTCATTATCATTTGCATGGTTTTTAAATCAAAATCTGTAAAAAAAAAAAATCATAACAATATTTAACTCATTCACCCCTGAAATGTCATCATGTAATATTCCAATCTTTGAATTGGAAAGGTGCAAATGTGTTTTCAGGGGTGAATGAGTTAATGAATAATATATATTGTATCATGACTACTGGCAATTGAAATATAAAACAACCAACAATTTACAACAACGGCACACATTGATAGGTCATTAAATCGCTCAATATAACAATTGATATTTTTTCAATCTTAAAAATGTTTGATGCATTGTTACAATGATACATTTATGTGTATGTCTATTGTAAAAACTGAAAAGTCCTTAATCATATATAACTAACAAAGATATTCAAGTCTAAAGTTACACGTAAATTCACTTTAAAGACTACAGCTATATAACTATTGCAGCTCTTAGTATATATAGTGCACCGAACAATCTCATGAGTTATGATCATGATCATAATGAAGGAAAACGGAATAAATAAGGCAAAGAAAAAGACACATGCAGTCCGTTGTTTTAATTATACAATACCAATACTTCCTACAATAACGACTCTGAGGTTAACCATGGTACATACAACTGCAATTTATTCTGCATCTAAGCTGTTTTTCCTTATATCAACAGGCTTCACAAAAGCTAGTGATACATGCTACCAAGGGTTATAATTCAAATATCTAGAGCTTCAAAATAATCTAGGGAGAACCTTGTATATATATATACGAGGAAATGAAAATTATAAGGTGATTCAAATTTCATTATTGTTTCCTGTATACGTAGTACATGCATGTACAATTTATTAACATGAAAATATATGTATACACTAGCAATAGAAGGCAGTGAATTGATTACTTGGCTAGCGTTGCTAAAACAATTATTGCACACAATAGGCTATAAAACATCTAGATCCCTCTGAAGGGCCAAGCCCCGGGATGATATTGCCATGGACACAGCCTGGTCAAGAAGGTCAGAACTGGACGCAGATACAGATGTTGCAACTGAAGTTGCAGCAAAAGTTGAGTTCTGATCAAGGATGATGTCCTGTGTGTCTGCCAAACAATTTGGCTGGAAGTGACCTTGAGAGAAAACCATGTCTGATAGGTGTGTTACATGGGAGAGAATTGGTGCTAATCTAGCACCGCACACTGCCTGGTGCTGAGAGATGATGTCCTGACTGTCTAAAGTCTGGTGTTGAGGGATGAGGCCCCGACTCTGTATGGCTTGGGATATTCCAGCATCCTCTACATTACATTTTCCATTGACAAAACTGTCATTATTATTGTCTGGAGAAACCCCCATGTCCTCCAGTGTCTTATTAATGGCGTTGTCTACCACTGCTTTAGCTATATGACTGTTTTGGCGCTTAGCTAGAAAACTGTCGAACTGCAATTCGTTTGAATTTGTTGATGTTGTTGAAGAACGAGGATTGTATGCTCTTCTGCTACTAATCGAAGATATATTTGAGGATAGTCCAACAAATGCACCTCTGCTATCTAAATTTGTGTCAATATCTGACTGATCCGTTGCATGTAATTCAGGTAAAGCAGAACTACTCTCCTTTGTTTGTGTGATCTGAAATGTCTGCAGGGAATTGTTGGATGCTGTCCTGTCACTTACTACCGGGTCAACACAAGCTAAAGTTCCTCTATACTTTGGAGATTCAAAGGTGCCAGCAGGATGTCCATTATACAACGATACATGACTGAAATCTCCACATCTCTGTCCTTTCTCACTTGAAGAAGTGTGGCCTTGTGAAGTGAAATCTGGGTTATTAACATGCTTGATTTCACTTTGGAATGAGGCATTGTTACCAGTTATCAACTTAAGTTTTGTTGAGGCTGCATCCTCCTGAAGCTTGCTGCATGTCACAATGTCCTGTTCTGTCCTGTCAAGACCAAGTTGTACCTCAGTTGTACAATACTTATGAATTTTAGCATCTTTGCTTGACTCGCCCTTTATCTGCCACTCATACCGCGCCTTTTTAAACAAACTAGTTTCATTTGCTTCTTCTTTCTGAGCTTTCCGTTTTGATTCATATGATGCTGAAGAATGTTTCATTTCCATCTTGAAAATCCAGATGGTTGATTCATACTGCTGTTCTCTCCATTTTTTTTAACTACAACAAAACAATAAAAATGCATGTAATTACCAACTGCACAAACAAATCTTGTGTTCAAATGTTATTTTTTAGGAAAAAAAAGAAATATTTTTTTAAATATTTTTCAGGAAAACTGTGAGCCCATATATAACAAATTTCCTGTACAGCTAGGCCTACCTGACTGCCTGATATGTAAATGTAATACACGAACCCAGCTAGCAGTCCGTAATCTTCAAATGATTCAAGGAGGATTGGATAACTAAAGAAGAGATGATATATCTGTATCTTTAGAAATACGTTGGAAAACCACTTCAATTGTTTTCCTCTTACAATCCATCAAATTACCTTCTCGGTGGATATCTAGAAATACAAATGTTGGTTGTTTTCCACCCAGAAGGTAATTTGAGGGATTGCAAGAGGAAACAAATAACGTTGTTTTCCAACATATTTCTACATATACATGTATCTACCTTTACTAGATCCAATAATTTTCGTATAGCTTCCTGTTCTTTTATGAGATATTTTTGTAAAATGCAAAAGACTAAACTGTCAATCACAGATTGGTCCGATGGATTCTGTACTTACCTCAATTTTATTGTGTTACTTTTTGACTAGCTTCTATAGCCTATTGCGTAATGGTTTGACCCACTCCTCGGATATTTCATAGGTAAATCTGAACTATCTGACAGAATTTACATTAAACATCACAACAACAGCATTCAGTTGCAGACCATTTTTTAGTGCTAATCAACGTCACCCAAATGCTTGCTGGGCTCCTTATCCGTCCGGTCAAAGTAAACGTTTTACAGTCATTAAGATTAGTAAATTTAATAATATTTTCCTTAGTTAAAGTTTATTTTGTTCTTCGCTAGCTCTAATAAAAAAATAGTTATCAAACAAATTATAAATCATAAATAAAATTGATTGTTCTAAAATGAAATCATTAACTTTAGACGAGACTCTCACGAGACTTGTCAGCCATATTTGTTTTCTCTAGCGACTGGACCAACATGTATGGGTAAAATGTTATGAATCCTCCGATGACGGAACTAAGTTATCAAGCTATCCGCACAGCCAACCAGGCTCGGGAGGCGGTGGGTATTTTAATTAATGAGCATGGTCATTTGTTATCTATATCACGCATGCCATAATTGTACTGCAAAGGACACGTTGTTACAGAAAAGCCGTTTTCAGATCTGATCATCACATACACAATAACTTCAAATTAGGCTGCCTCTATAGCCTACATGTTACTTAACACAGGAGAGCCCTATATTTAAAATACTGTCACGACACTTTGAGGTTTACAATAGTTGACAAACAGACATAATTCCAGAGAAGCGCTAGCGCTCTATTTTTTTTTTTAGGTTTGACATGGAATGTCTTGAGTGTCATTTAATTTAAATGAAAAAGGGAAGCAGATTTTTTTCCCCTGGATAAAGCCCTGGTATCTATAGGTAAAGGTCATAATTCATGTGTTTAAGATAAGAAAATAATTACATTAGTTTGAGTGATGAAAGGTTAAGAAAAATCTAATGATTGATAATTTAAATAATACAAAACTGTATAACAAGTATTTGTCATATATGAATCTAGTTACAATATGGCACTGTTAAGTTAAATTAATAAGTTTATTTCATTCAAAAGTTTAAATTTCATTCCAGGATGAGCTTAGGACTGATAGCAGAAAAAAGAACTTGCTTATTTTGGTCCTGAATTACATGCATGAGGAAGGGTAAGTATGTTAACTGTGATATATATATATTGCTTAACTCATTCACCACTGAAATTTCATAATGAAGTTCTATTCCGACCTTTGAAATGGAAGAGTTCAAATGTGTCTTCAGGGATGAATGAGTTAATAATCATGCAACGTTTGTGCAATACTTATATATATATAACCTTTACTTTTGAGACAAGTACTAAAAGCTTACAATGATTTCATTACCGATTTACTGAATTTAGTAGTGAAGTCGATGATGGATTATAGTTGAAAACTTATCAATTTTTCATTTTCAAATCTGATTTTTGTTATAAATCAAAAGTGCATACAAATACATGTACAGGAATAATGTAGATAAACAAGGAAAATGCTATTCAAGTTGATTACTGTAAGATTTGAAATACAAACCCTGCAAAATAAAATAGTTTTATAATTTTAGAATGTGAACAGTTTTTTGAATGTGACAAAATTTGCGAATATCAACAAAATGCTGATTCCTTGGGGACAGATTTCCTGACACAGGGAAATTCTCATGAACATTCAGAATCAGTTTTGACTATTGGGTTTTGAAAGACATGCTATTTGACCATTGGGTTTTGACCCAAAAATCTCAAGGGTAAAAACAAAGCAAAACATGGGGGCTAGGTGGTTACGCCCTTCACCACTGGGTAGCGACGCAGTTTCGAGACCTATGTGGGGCAGTTGCCAGGTTTAACTGGCTGTACTGGTCGGTGGTTTTTCTCCAGGACCTACAGCTTTCCTCCTGGCACGTTCTTAAATGACCATAGCTGTTAATAGGACATAAAACACAAACTAACCAAACCAAACTCAAGGAAATGTTATTTCACTTCTGAAATTGCTAATTTAATGGTAAGGTTCAATCGAAAGTGGGGAACATTAATTAGATTACTGATTGTTATGAATGTTTGGAATTTTCATCGTTTTATAGATACCTGGATTCTGCACAGAGTTTAGCCAAGGAGACAAACATAGACCTGAGTAAATATGAGGTCTGTGACAACATCGACCTGGAGACAATCCTCATGGAGTATGAGTCTTACTACTATGTCAAGTTTGCCAAGTATCCAAAGATCACCAAGAAACTCACTCAGAGTGGTAAGTAGAAAAATGGAGTTGGCCTAATACAATTTTACGATCAACCTTGCTTGTGAAAGTTGGTAAGAGTTAGGTAATTTGAATAGTTGATATATTAATAAGGGTGTATGGAGCAGCCTCTTTTTTATGCATGTTGTGAACTTAGTATAGATCTCACATAGATTTTTTCTGTTTCACATAAAATAGTTTTGTTCAAAAATTCTACAGTTCTGTAATAACCTTATAGCAGCCATATTGTGTAAAATGTTATATATCAATGACTTTTACACCGGCTTTTGTAGAAAAAGTGATTTGACTAATTATGATTGATAATGTACTGCTATATATGCTCACCATGGCTATATATTTGTATGCATGGTTCGGTTGAGCTTACATGTTCTTTCAAGCTTTAGAGTTTAAAATTATTATGCATTATGTGTGCTTGTAAGAAATGTACTGTTATATCCATAAGTCCCATGACACACTTACTGCTTTATTATTCCTAAGAGCCTTTCATATAACAGTTACATACATTCTTTTCACAGGACATCCAGGTAGACGTTTCATCATGTGAAACACTGTGTGCCCTGAGTTATCCCCCTTGGTCACTATTAACATGTTTATCCGATATACCAGAAATAATTCTTACAACGAAGAAATTTCAATATTTTTCAATTTGCTGATTTTTGTTTCTTTAATAGATATATGTTGTAACTTGATATTATAGTTAATCATTACAAAATTGATTAACATACATTATTATCATACATGTATCATATGCTAAAACACTTCCAGAAATTATTGTGATTACCGGTAAGATATACAATGTATTATGCCAAAACATCACAAAAACTTTTGCTGTAGGGAAAACATATGACTTTAAAAGAAAATTGTTTCTGGTATTACCTGCTAAGACCTGTGTGATATATTATATACAGTATTATATTATTTGAATTCCTAACATTGGTGCATATTTATTTATTTATTCATCTGGCTCCTTTCAATAAACAATTGGATACATGGGGCAGAAGATAGGAGCTTGCTCATATATACTACATGAAAGACAGTAATATCTTGGCAAACATTTTATGGGGAAATAACTGAGTGCGAGATGAAATCTAAAAAAAACTTCAAATGTTTTTGAATAGAGAGATCTGGCAAGTATTTAGGTGTATTCAAAGTTTCTTTTTTAGTCCTTACATAAACTATATTTCCTCTAAAACATTTTTTTCAACCTTACTTATGATTAAGTTTATCAGTATTATACAATGATAATATCCATCAGATGTTTTTGCAGAATTAATAGTTAAAAATAGTAACTTGTTGTAGAATAAAACTATCCCCAGTATTATGTGTGATTTATGTGAAAGTGTATGATTTGATAACTTACACAAGTGTGAATTTGTATGCATCTACTCATACACATCTCAGGTATTAACACTGTTTCTATCTATTTTGTTGTGTTGGGGAACTTTGGTTTTGTTACTACTTTATTTCAATATTTCTTCATTAAAACAGAAAGATGAATGTAGACATACATTAAAGCTACATTCATAAGTTTATTCTCAATAATACAAAATGTTTAAATATAGAATTTTGTGATTGTATGCATATTCAACTGGTTTGATATAATTAAAAAGGTGAAATATATATATATACATTTGTAATTATCTATTTAGAGGATTAAGTTCATAAACATTTTTTCACACAAAACTTTAAAGGCCAAAAAAAATATGTTTGTTTCAGGTAACATGCCTGAAAAAAATAGAGTAGGTTGGTAGGCAAATAATTTCATGTTAATGTAATATTTTTATTTTCATGAATGAATATTATGCTTTATTTTAAATTTTGCCATGCATTTCCACACATTACCATGGCTATCAATTTGTCAAGAATAAGGTCAGACTCCCACAACAGGAAGAAATTACATTTTAATGAGTGGCTGTGTACTTTGCCTGGCTAATGAATTAATCTTAGATACATTCGTAGGTGATAAAATGTCTAAGGACGGCAGTAAAATCTAGGGTACATATAGGTAGAGATACCTGAAACACAAATATGTTTTTTTGGCCTAACAGTATGGGGTTATTGTATCCCTGTGAATGTTATGGTATATGGAATGTCCGTTACATTTAAGCATTAAAAAAAATAGCAGACTATACTAGCTATAGATTAAGCATTTTGTTAACATGCACTCTAGCTTTGGTAGACTTGTCCATGTATTTTGTTTGGATCATTTAATGGTTCTGTGCACTGACAATCACATGTACATGACCGTATACATTTAGCTGCACTGAAATGTATTGAAAACTGTTGGCTAGTGGAGTTTTTCACCACTGTTATATTTATTCTTTCATTAGCATAATGTAACGAAACAAATAGTTGTCAAAGTCCTTATTGCTAGAGATATTTTGTGTCAGTGTTAGACTGTAAGCATTTATAATCTAACTTTGTGTTATCTCCAGCAGGTGATGGACGAGGTCGGGCTCCACACAAGATGACACGTACAAACAGGTGGGTACGATCAATAAATGTAAACATTTTCAAGGTAACTCTAACCAACTGAAAAATTAGTCCTGAAAACTAGTTTTTCACCATAGCATTAAGAACATCACGTGGATGAATCAAAATGGATACCCTATAGGCTTACTTAACAAAAGGTCATTTCACATACTTAAACCAACATTTAACAGTGTCTGTAAGTTTATGTTGTGCATAACAGCATAATTATGAAACATTTTGTATACACTATAATTTGTGCATTTTGTCAGCCTTAAAATTGAATTATGAAACAGTACATTTATATTGCAGCTACTAGATAACAGTACAACTGCTTATACTAGTAGTAATACTCACAAATTAAGTCAATTGGCCATCCTCAATCCTTAGCAATCAAAGCATAAGGCCACACACATGATTTTTTAGCTTTTTAACTGAACAATTTTGTTCATAAAATTTATCAGATTCAATACTTTTCATTTCCGAGAATCTTGGAATACGTGTTTCATTTCACAAATTTAATTATTTTTATTATCATAATCATGTAACAATGAAGCATTATATACCTGAGATGATTTTCTATTGTACTATTTGTTTAGTAATTTGTGTGTTCTGGTACCTTTTTAAGAAACAATAAAGACAGGTAATACTTGCTGTTTGATTAACTTCCAGTGTAAATAACCCTGTCTTGTGTCCTATGGGTCTGTCTGATAGATTTAGATACCCTATATAAGTATCTATGACAATGATGAATAGGCATTTCAGTTGTCTATACCTACATGTATATATGCCTTTAAAATATTTTACTGAATTTTTCACTTAAGGATCACTGTACCACTGCCAAAACAAAAATGAAACTATTCATTGGAAACTGATTTTTATGTTGTGACTATTCCCTCTTTGCGTATTGCAGAGTTATCTTCTCTTGTGAGCAGGTATTGATTGTTAAGTCATTGGTTTTTGAAAGTAACGTCATCAATTTTTGAGAAAATGACGTAATTTTCTCACACAAACCAATGACGTAACAATCAATACCTGCTCACAAGATAACTCTGCAATACGCAAAGACGGAATAGCTTTGATCAATCTTTATTTGAAAATAAAAGTATACATTGTGAGACTTTTAAGAAAAAACATAATGGAGATGAAATAAACCAAATATAATCAACAAATGGTTCAGAGTGTCAAATATGCTGTGGGGCCAGACCGGGATTCAAACCCTGGACTTCAGATTGTTATACCATCACTGAAAACTGAATGAGCTACGTACCTGGACAATGGAAGTGTACAAACCTAAATGTGCTACAGTTATATACATAGAGAAGTTAATGGGAGGTTGCTGTATATAGCAAAACAGGCAGTGGGACAGGGATCCTTATAATGAAAACAAAACCTGTTTATTGAATTATAAATTTCATTTAACGAATTTTGTTTCTTCTCTAATTAATTATTTTACGTCTTCAGTAATAAGACCTGAAATGCAGATTCATGTTATTCTATAAAAAAATCTTTGTTTGATTCACCATTTGAAAGTGATGAATGTTAACATTTCTGTGGTTGATAAATGACCTCTATCTCACCTGTTTGTTACCTGAGTTTGTTCCTAACCCTGGCGGTGAAGGTTCTCCCACAGAGTGGGTGGGAAGAATCGTTTTCGCCATGCTCAACTCTTGATAACAATACTCCAATCCTGTTGTGTAATATATCTACAGTAGGGGTTTTATCAGTAGAAAACATTTGTATATGAACACTTGCAGTAAAATCATAGCTTAATTATTTTAGAAGTGTAAGCAATAATTACTTACCCTTATTTTTTTATTTATCAGCACGTTCACTGGAAAAACAATACACAGTAGTTAACTAATAACACTGATATAATCATGATTGTGATCAGTGAACCTCTAATGTAATGATACCCTCTCTGTGTACAACTTTGAATTCACTCCCAATACTCTGTGTTGTCCCTAGATGTTCGTTTCACAAATTCTCTCGTCTTCCTATCAGTTACCACAATTAATTCAGATCTCGATTGGTTTTGATTTTCATGGTTCTTATATATGATCCTAAACGAATGTTTGAGTTTTTTTCAGTCAACTTTAAATCCAGTATGGCCACTGTTGTGTATAATTGATTGGGAAAATTAATGTCTATGATAGTGTATGTTAATTGCTTGAATCTGATAAATAAGACAACATGCAGTTGTTTTCATTCAATCATGAACATGGATACATTGGTCATTTTGTGATTATATTCCAGAATTTCAAAATTTTATCAAATGACATATCATTGCCATAAAATTCACATTTTTTCATAATTTTATTATTTTTGAAATAAACCTAACAACAACCTAAAAAAACCACCAGACCCTTCTTGCCTATAAAATAATGCCAGTTTGAATTTTCATCATGATGAATATGACATAATTATTTACAAAATTAGATTTCACGTGCTGTATGTGAATTGTTTTCAGCATTTATGTGTACAGTGTACATATACCTTTAGTCAGCAGTATAGTTAACCATGATGCATACATAGCATTGCAGCAACACTGTACTAACAATTAGAGTTTAATTAGACTTGGTTTGTAGAGTTTGAGAAACATGTAATCTGAGTTGTCCAATTCTGACAGTAGCTAGTTGGTGTACTTGCTTAATTACATGACATTTTGTATAATACTGGTACTGGGACAACATGGGTGAATACATTTAATATGTAGTTTGTAAGCATTAACTGTTAATTCTTTAATTTCTATAAATCTGTAATGCTATATGTGATGAAATATATTTCATGATAATTTGTTTTGGTAATTTAATGGTCAGAAATGTAGTGTCGCACAACCAGACGCTAATCTTCACTCGTGTTTCGATAGAGGCAGTCTCTCTCTCGAGAGAGAGAGAGGGCGAGAGTCTGGGGAAAGCGAGACTATCAGAAATGCTACATGGATTGAGAATTTCCTGATTTTATTATATCTTTCAAGACAATGTCACACAACATAGTGTACTTTGTCTGACTATGGACCATACATGTACAAAATGACAAGTTTATTTTGAAGTGCAGTGTTAACTTCTAGAAGCGTCAGAGTTACTTCCCTTCCCCAATAATTTGTCTAACTTACCCGTAATTAAACCAGAACTTGTTGTACACAAATTTCATTGTTGAGAAATTATTATCATTCAGCCGGTAGGTTTTTGTGTATTATTCTTTTCAGATTCAATTTACGTGGAGTGATATGATTTTTCATCATTTCAAAATTTTAAAAAATGTGTAAAATATTATTACTTAAGATATAAATATATATGCTAACACTTTTTCATCAGCTGAGTATAGATAGTTACATTGTTGTGTTGACTGTGTATCACATGTAAATTCATTTACACTCTTACGCGTACACATAGTTGGAACAACACCTATGCTCATGGTACATGGTTTGTTGTTTGAGATAATATTCGCTAATACTTAGTGAGTAGAGGTGTAGACAACTCTTCATAAACTGTTACATTTTGTAGCATTAGACGCAGAACCGAGTCGGGTCACTCTGGGTATGTATAGCTAGAGCACTGACTTGTTTGCATTGTTTATCTGGCATTACCAATCTGTTTTTGTTTGTTGTATTCCATTTCTTGTTTTCATATATCATACAAAGTTGTGAAAAGAAATTACCAGTATTATATTTTACTATTCTACATAATATTTAATTTGACCGAAGTCCTTACAAAGAAAATACAGAGCATATGTTTTTAAATATGTTCAATAACATACATACTGGGACTGGTACCACATAATGTACACAGGGGACTGGAACATACACTTTGCGAAGGAGACTGATACATATACACTTTGCGAAGGAGACTGATACATATACGCTGTGCAAATTCAGACACTGGTACATATACTGAACACAGTGGACTGGTACAAATACGCTGTGCGAAGGAGACTGATACACACACTGTTCACAGGTGACTGGTACACACACTGTACACAGGGGACTGAAGCATATGCTGTACACAGCTTGGGGATTGGCACACATCTTGTACAGGGGACTGGTATACACACGCTGTATACAGCAGACTCACGGTACACACATTGTGTACAGGAGACTGGTATATACAGTATACATGGGAGACTGGTACATACAAGGTACACAGTGGACTGGTACACACAGTTAATTTGTTCATAAGTAACTGGTAAACATACACTGTACTGTAAACAGGGGACTGCAACACATTCTGTACACAGGGGACTGATATGTGCACTGCACACAGGGGACAGGTACACAGTCTGTTCATAAGTAACTGGTAAACATACACTGTACTGTAAACAGGGGACTGCAACACATTCTGTACACAGGGGACTGTAGCATGATCATTCCATGGGCATTTAAAATGTTGTATGAGAGTATCATACATGTATATACCCTTTTTGTCATGGTCCTGTATATTAAATGTATGTACATCATCTGTACGTCAAGTTTTGTCAAGGATTGTCATTGGTTGACTTGGCTGTTCTGGGTAATGGTTCTGATTTGTTGATTGGTTAACCCAGCTGATAGAATTTTAAAGGGAGACAATTTTTCTTATTTTTGCCAATTTCATATCATTTTCCTTATGGGAAGATTGGCATATTGATTGATCACGAATACATGACAATCTTAAAATTTAATTTTAAACAGGAATCAGAAGTAATGTTATTCTTTCATTTTTATGGTTCCAAGGTTTCAATAACATTGATTAAATTATATAAGTTTAAAATTTCCTTAACTAAATGCAACTATAAGTGGAATTTTTTTTAAACTTCATCAATTAGATCTATAAGCAGGAATTGAGTTTTGCTAAAATTTATAGTCATTATCAATAAATTATGGACACAGTGATGCCTAATGAAGCTACACATTTTTATCTATTATTTTTAATTTCCTGGAGAACATAAGCTTTTTCTAAAAAATATTTTTCTTGGCATCATCAGTTCATCTCGGTCGTCTTACCATAGTTGTAAAGTGGACCTTCACGTGCATGGTCGGTAGGTACTGGGGGCGTGTTGGCAGGATATGGGGTGTGTTGGCGGGGCGGAGCTGGTGGCAGCTTTAAGTATTAATCCTGTGTGGGCAGTGATTGGCTAGGTGTATAGATTTAGTGCTATTTTTGTTCTTGTTGTGTCCATCGCTCTGTACAAGTATAATTGTCTAAATTTTCGCCCTGTTTGACGTTTTTGTGTCAATTGAGTTTGAGAATGTATCAAAGCAAATTATTGTGTCCATATATTATAAAAACATCAGCAGGGCTAGACTGGGATTTGAACACTGGATTGATAGTATGGGGAGGTAATATAACTGTTTATACGAAAAACATACAGTGGGACAGAGATCCTTAAGTATGTTGCTAGGTTATAATGATTGAATGGAAATGACGCGGGTTTTTTAGTTTATTATGATATTATCATAATTTTTGTTTCAGTTTCATTCATGAGTGTACACATCTTATTGAAACGTTTCTATTGATATTCATGGTCCACACTTATTGGTAGCAAACAAATTACTTTTAACTCCCAAACCTGATTCTAGTACATGTATTCATTGGTGTAGAAAGTATTTTTTCATGCTCTAATCTGTTGCACTTTGAACTTTAGAGTTAGATTTAGAGATTAAAACACACATTTGCTGCACTTTGAATTTTGATCAATATCTTTCAGATCGTGATTTATAGCTAATTGATGATCATTGAGATTGTTCTATAAGCTCTTCTGACAGTTTCTTCATTTGATGCAACAAAGCTTATCTATAATATTCACCTTTTGTAATATATTTGAATGTGTGTGGTGTAGTCTGTAGGGGGAACAGAATCAGTTAGCCAATCTGTGTCACTGAGTCCATTCATAAGATTGCGAAATTCTGTTTCACCGAGTCTTTGACTATCACAAAACTGCAGATCTGTTTCACTGAGTGCTTAGATTGCCTTCAATGCATGGTGCACTCTGCAACATATACCTGTAACTAGTAGATATCACAAAAATCAAGTGTTTCTGCTAGATTGATATATAACATTGTCTTCTCTTTTAAAGCAGCATGTCATTATAGAACTGTAACAGCCATTAAGGTATATGAGGGGAAAATACTTCCTTACTGGCAAGCTAGCTTTTTTAGTGATGCAGTATAACCCTGGGACCCGCTCACTAGTTCAGCAACGTCGAGCGTGGTCAGTAATTGGATTAACAGTTTATTTTAATGGGATCCAGTAAGTTGGACTTGGGTACAGTTAGTTTTAGTCGGACTGGGGTACATGTACATTTAAGTCAGGCCAGAAAACTTACAATAATGGGACTTGAGGGCAGTTAGTCGATTTGAGGTCAAGTTTATTGAACTGGGGTACAGTTAGTTAGTCAGATTACAACCAGTTAGTCGGACTGGAAAAGTAGCAATTACCGGTAGTCTGACAGGGATACAGTTATAGTTGGACTGGGGTACAGAGACTGATGTGCAGTTCTACTAATTAGTTGGACTGGGGTCTACATATTGTTGCATGCCAGTAGTAAGACTGGGGTGCAATAAGTTAGTAGTTGTACCACAATTTGACAAAAAATGCATTTCAGGTTAGTCGGACTGGATTACATTTAGTTGGACTGGGGTCAAGTGTTAGTCAGTAAAATGTATGTGTAATTATACCAAATTAACGGCCCAATTACATGACCCATCTGATATGATGTACACGAGTGATTCCAATTCTCTCACTATTAATACTTCCAAACCTGCATAATAAAAAATCATCTTTATTTGATTAGCTGTACATTAATAGTAGAAGAGAATATATTGTGTGAACATTATCTGCAACCACAGACTTGGATAACAATCTAATTCCGTGCTGCAACACTGTATAGCTCTGCTTCAAATATTATGATATAAATTAATTACAGCTTATTATAGTCTTATAAACTTATTTATTTTTAACATTTATGGTTATTAATATCTATTGTATGTGGTGGGGATCAGTTTACCTGTATTTTGATATATATTATAATATATATATATATTATATATATATAATTATACACTGTATTGTCTCAAGTGGTGCTTTAATTGTGTTTCAAAAGATCCGGGATCCATTGGCTTTATAAGGAAAGGGCCATTAGTGAAAGGGACTGTATTGGCAGATTAATTGGAAAAAGTAGTACCTAATAATAATGAATATGAGTGCTAATCAGATGAGGACATTCACAGGGATGACAGATCTAGATTATTGCAGAATTTCTGGAAACAAAAATTTTGACATGATGATTGACAATACAATGTATTTTGGTTGTGGTAGTAGTCAGTAGATATTAATTATAATTGTAATTTGGCCAGGTTCCTAGATCTAAACAATTAACTCACAAGTAGAGTTCAATAGGAAAAGGAAAGCTATTTATTATTAATCTAATTAACTTCATTTAGTAATAAAATAGTGCATGCTTTTTAGGAAATTGTGTACCGATTTTCATTTATATTCTGTTTTTGTCACAAAAATTCCTTTGTTTTCCTCATGAATTTAAGGATATTGAAGAACTTAAATAGATAAAAATAAGCATGTTTTTCTATTTTCAACAGCTAGAGTGTAAGAGACATCGTACAGCCTCCTGACTTCACCGTGCTGGCTGGTATCCATGTGTGAAGACAGCCTTACAAATGTCTTTACAGTTGACACAAATATGCCTCCTTGGTCAATATTTTAATGGAATTTTCAATATTTCCCCTTATACAGTAACAAATCTGCATCAACAACACCGTCCCTTCCCAGAATCCCTCAGAATGCCCGCCCACCAAGTCCTCCAACATCTGGACGTCCGAAGTCGGGAGTAAATCGCCAGAGAGCAGTACAGTCGTCTACAAGGCCGAGGGCAAACGGACATGACAAGGCTGTGAGTCACCCTGTAACACTCTCGTATTGATGATTCTTTATTAATCATTTAACACAAATTTTCACCTCATACTAGGTGTCATCTGATCACTTGTGTCAAGTCCATGGCTATGGGTCAAGCTGATCAAATTTTACTTTAGCACGAATCATTCTATTTTAGGCATTGTATGGCCTCTAAATCTACAGCCTGCTGTGGTATTTATGTGAAGACAGCCAAATGTCTTCACTGTTCACACAAATATCAAATATCATCAGTATCATCAAATGATTAAGACAGTCAATTAAATATATATTTAACATTTCAAATAACATTATTTGTTCAGCTTTCATAAATTGAACATGCATCAAATTATGGAAAATGTAGGGTAATACTTACCATGATATGTTTAGGTAGAAACTTTATTTTTGTAAATTCAGTATTTTAGATGTAATATCACAATATCATTATAAGGTTGATAATTTGCTATAGATTATAAAATACCTCAAAGTTTTATGTCAGATTTTTACAGATAACCTGATAATGAACTGTTTTGTTCCCAGGTTAATGGAATGGCGAATGGAGACATGGGCCTAGCTTTACAGGGCCTTACTGTCCAGGGCTCCAACAGTAACCCCGACAACAGGATTGTCGAAGAACCTTCCAAAAAAGTGCGAGCAGTAAGTTCTCCTTACAAAATTCTTATACACAAGTTTTTAGGTCACCTGAGCTTTAGCTCAAGTGACCTATTGCTATCCGTTTTCGTCCGTCGTCGTCCGTCGTCCGTCGTCCGTCGTCCGTTAACATTTTACATTTCAAACTTAAAGTCAAGTTCTGCTGGGCCGATTGAACTGAAAGTTGGTAGGAATGATCGCCTCATGGTCCTGACAAAGTGTTGTTATTTTTCGGGTCGATCAGAAATCCAATATGGCCGCCACGGCCGCCATTTTGAAAACCTATTTCAAACTTAAAGTCAAGTTCTGCTGGACCGATTGAACTGAAAGTTGGTAGGAATGATCGCCTCATGGTCCTGACAAAGTGTTGTTATTTTTCGGGTCGATCAGAAATCCAATATGGCCACCACGGCTGCCATTTTGAAAAACTATTTCAAACTTAAAGTAAAGATCTACTTGGCCGATTGAACTGAAACTTTGTAGGAATGATCGAATCATGGTCCTGACAAAGTGTTGTTATTTTTCGGGTCAATCAGAAATACAATTTGGCTGCCATGGCCGCTATTTTGCTACTAAGTTCTAATAGGCCGATCTCACTTAAAATTGGTCTAGGAATGATCAGCTCATGGTCCTGACAAAGTTAAGTTAACATTATACTATTTTTTACTCAAATTGGTACATATTTCAACAACAAAAATAAATACTGTAGACTCAGGTGACCGTTTAGGCCCATGGGCCTCTTGTTAATATTAGGCAGTGAGTTAGCTGTCCTACCCAATGTAAGCAAAATGCCTGCCTCTCGGTCATTATGGAGGCAAAATGTCCCACTTTCATTGCATACAGAATGTTCCATTTACCCTCTGCAAGTAGAATGTTTTTCACTTACCTACTTGGGGCAAGTTTTTCCTCTTTCACCGACTGGAGGCAAAATGTCACTAATTTCCTTGACCCAGAATGCATATCAATGACCATGAAATAAAGTGAAATGCCCCTTTCTCTCCCACTGCAGGTCAGAATGTCCTCCTTTCTCTCCCACTGCAGGTCACAATGTCCCCCTTTCTCTCCCACTGCAGGTCAGAATGTCCTCCTTTCTCCCCCACTGCAGGTCACAATGTCCCCCTTTCTCTCCCACTGCAGGTTAGAATGTCCTCCTTTCTCTCCCACTGCAGGTCAGAATGTCCTCCTTTCTCTCCCACTGCAGGTCAGAAAGTCCTCCTTTCTCTCCCACTGCAGGTCACAATGTCCCCCTTTCTCTCCCACTGCAGGTCAGAATGTCCTCCTTTCTGTCCCACTGCAGGTCAGAATGTCCTCCTTTCTGTCCCACTGCAGGTCAGAATGTCCTCCTTTCTCTCCCACTGCAGGTCAGAATGTCCTCCTTTCACTTGCTGGATGCAAACTGTCCCTCCCACATGTACTAAAAATAGAATCTGTCTCATCTGTTGGAAGCAGAATAAAATTCTTGTTTTCCCACTCAAAGCAGAATACCTCTCTGCCATTGAAAGTAGAACGTTTTACTCACCAACAGATGTTATATGTTTAACATTCGCTGTTTGTTTATCCCAACCTCTGAAATTTTGAAACATAATTTGAGTAAATATACTTCATATAAACCATGAGCTATATATATGTATTTTTTAGAAGTAAACAGTTGCCTGCCTTTATTGTGAATCCCAGCAACATCCATTGAATTCAGAAACGTGTGTATTTGGAAACATCTTTCGCTTGATGCCAAAAGCCTGACATGTGTCTACTAAATTATTCCGTTGATATTACAGCCGGGCCAAATTATAGACATCAGGGCAATGATCAATGATGCTACCAGGCTGTCTGCTGAGGAGGGCACTGACCAAAACGTAAGTCACACCAATAATGTCAACAACAATAAGGAGGGCACTGACCAAAACGTAAGTCACACCAATAGTGTCAACAATAAGGCGGGAGGTGACCAGAACATAAGTCACACCAATAGTGTCAACAATAAGGCGGGAGGTGACCAAAACGTAAGTCACCATTAATGTCAAATGTTATTGAACTGCAGTGAGCTGACCAAATTTTCATTTGGCATGTCTGCCAAGGAGGGGACTTAAAAACTGCCAGTAGATGTTGATACTGTATGTTGACACACATTGCTATGTAAATTTACGACACAATTTGTTTATCTCGGGTCAGGTGAAATATTAGAAACTTTATCTGTCAAATATAAACTAGATTTAGGAAAGTTTCATTTACTGAATATAGACCTTTTCACTTTTTTAAATTCAACATTCTTGTTTGATTTCAAACTTTCTAGATTTCTGTTTATAGGATATACGTAACTATTATTAAGCTGAGTTTTTTTCTGGTTTGACAGTCACATAAGGTAAGTTGTGAGGCTGGCGATGACACCGCCATCTGTAGAGTGTGCGCATTACTGAGCTAGAGCTGCGTTATAGTGTTGAGGACTAGGGAAAATCAGAATTATGGAATCTTTGTATACATTCTTTTTTAAGCCGCTCCTTGCGAGAGCTGGGCGGCTTATTAATTCTGTCCAGAGAACGAAATAATAATCCATACTTTAAATAATTGCTGAAAACAAAATGTTCATCTCTGGTGCATTCTACGAGTGTTGTGGTGGTGAAATTCGTGCACTAGGTTTGAGTGTTTTAGCAACTCGGATTGCAGTCTGAGGAGTGTTACGCGTGTGAAACACATATGATACGAGAAAGCACATGTGAAGACTTTCAAACATTGACGCTTTCTGTAGAAGGAAGAAGTAAATGTATATACCTATAAACCGTATGAGTGATGAAGTATAACCTCTATTTTGATGTTTGAAACGGGAACGTAATATGACATATCGTGCTTAGGATGATAACGGTAATGCCTCTGAGACGAGACGATATGTGAACTGTGTACGTTTATCAAAAATTTCTGTTACACAGCATGCTATTTCTTGTGTATTGATTTATGAAAGTGCAACAATTTAAGAACATGACACAACAGCGGCGCCGTGTCAAAAATAGTATCCAATTCGGTGTAAGGGAAATAACTCTTATGTTGTTAAAGTCACATTGAGAAATATAATTCAAATATATTCCAAGAACATTTGTGAAATTTTGTATATTCAATGACGGTAAATATAGTCGCTACATATATTAATAATTATATATTGATATGAATAAAAAATAAATAAAAATAAAATAGTACACCTTAAGCCTTCAAATAAATAGAAAGTTAAACTAGAATTATGTCAATGTGACATTACAGCCGCTCACCACTTTAAATTTAATTGCTTCAGTAACACATTGAGCATCTATATCTACTATAATACCTCAGATATGTGTTCTGTATTCTGCTAATTGAAAATCAGGTCATGTGATGATGTTGCCTTCGGGATTTTCAAAATCAATCGCTTCTTAAATGATGCCTTAAAAACATTTCTCCCTCTCCTCTTTTTTTTCAACTACTGTTGTTGCTATGTAAGCTCATTAATGTATTCCACACACCATACCTTATGTATCAGCTAGCAGGCAACCAATCATATATATGTATATACATGTAGTGATTGCCGATAAATGTTGTTTATGATTTGGATTGATTTTATCTTGCCTATAACAGGACCGACTATTGAAGCCTCTAGCAGGGTATGTAGGTTACAACACGGAATGGAGGGAACTGGCCCAGGTTATAAGTAGGGTAAGTGTTTCAGGTTGTAAATTTCATTAACGAATTCATACTTGTAACAAACATGTACCTATATGATTTTTAGCTCACCTGGTCTGAAGGACCAAGGTGAGCTTATGCCATATCGCAGCGTCCGTCATCCGCGTCCGTCATCCGTCAACTTTACACTACTAGTCATGAACCACTGAGCGGATTTTAACAAAATTTGGTGTGGAGCATCCTTGTATAAATGGTGGGTCTGGCCCTCCAGGGGCCTGAGGGGTGGGGCCAAATAGGGGAAATAAAGCAAATTTTTCTTTAAAATCCTTCTTCTTCTGTAGGAATGAAAGGATTTGTTCCATATTCGGTGTGGAGCATCCTTGTATATATGGTGGGTCTGGCCCTCCAGGGGCCTGGGGGGTGGGGCCAAATAGGGGAAACAAAGCAAATTTTTCTTTAAAATCATTCTTCTTCTGTAGGAATGAAAGGATTTGTTCCAGATTTGGTCTGAAGCATTCTTGGGTGAAGGGGAACAAAGTTTGTATAAATGGTGGTTCTGGCCTCCCTGGGGGCTTAGGGGCGGGGCCCAATAGGCGAAATATAGCAAATTATTCTTTAAAATCCTTCTTCTGTAGGAATGAAAGGATTTGGTCCATATTTGGTCAGAAGCATCCTTGAGGGCAGGGGAACAAAGTTTGTATAAATGGTGGGTCTGGCCCCCCTGGGGGCTGAGGGGCGGGGCCCAATAGGGGAAATATAGCAAATTCTTTAAAATCTTTCTTCTCCTGTAGGAATGAAAGGATTTGTTCCATATTTGGTGTGGAGCATCCTTGGGTAGTTGGGAACCAATTTTGTATAAACAATGGGTCTGGCTCACCAGGGGCCTGAGGGGCGGGGCCCAATAGGGGAAACATAGCAAATTATTCTTTAAAATCCTTCTTCTTCTGTAGGAATGAAAGGATTTGGTCCATATTTGGTCAGAAGCATCCTTGGACGAAGGGGAACAAAGTTTGTTTAAATGGTGGGTCTGGCCCCCCTGGTGCCGAGCCTTGGGGCCCAATAGGGGAAACATAGCAAATTATTCTTTAAAATCCTTCTTCTTCTGTAGGAATGAAAGGATTTGGTCCATATTTGGTGTGGAGCATCATTGGGTAGTGGGAAACCAATTTTGTATAATTGGTGGGTGTGGCCCCCCTGGGACCTGAGGGGTGGGGCCCAATAGGGGAAATAGACGTAAATCTTCAAAATCCTTCTTCTTCGGTAGGAATGGCAGGATTTTTTCCAGATTTGGTCTGAAGCATTCTTGGGTGAAGGGGAACCAATTTTGTATAAACGGTGTGTCTGACCTAGCTGTTGGCAGAGAGGTGGGGCCCAATAGGGAAAATAGAGGTAAAACCTTTAAAATCCTTCTTCTACCATAGGGATTAAGGGATTTTATCCTTGTTTAGTATGGAGCATCCTTGGGTGACGGTGACTCAATTTTGTATAATTGATGGGTATGACCCCCATAGGGGCATAGGGGTGGGGCTCTGTTTGAAGTTTGTTCATCTATATCTCAAGTACTGGATGGATCTTTCTGAAATTTTATATGTACTAACAGCACCTACCATGGAGTGCTATATCTTTACTTCATACCAATTTCTTTAATTATATTCAGGTGAGCGATACAGGCCCTCTGGGCCTCTTGTTATATTATACAAGTTTATTATAATATTCTGCCCATTGCAACATGACAAGTTATTGCTGCAAGCATTATGACTTTGATGTTTTGCCAGAATGACCTCTGGTCATCACTTTTGTGTCTTTGTGGCATGATTATGACCTGGTGCCTCTGTGTAATGGTACAATGACAATTTATATATTGGTATGTGACCAAAGACTATATCTTTGTATGACCTGCCAATTTGACCTTGTGCCTCTGTTTAGCCTGATTATGACCTTGCATCTCTGCATGTAACCATTCGCTATAACCTGGTGTATGAACTGAGAATGATCATTCGGCTCAATGATCTGACACAGGCTTTGCGTCTTTATGTGTGACCTTACCATGACCTTGTTCCTCTTTGTCACCTGACCTTTGCCGTAACCTGATACTTTTTGATGTGACCTGACCTTGACCTTGTGTTTCTGTGTGTGACCTTGTGACCTTGTGCCTCTGTTTGACCAGGTCTTGACCTTGCAATTCTACTGTATATGTCATGTATCATATGTATTCCATATACATTCAGTTTATTTTTATTCATACAGGATATTTACTCACAAGACCCCAATGTAAAATGGGATGACATTATAGGTCTAGATGAAGCTAAGCGATTATCAAAAGAAGCTGTAGTATATCCAATTAAGGTAGGTACTACTACGTTACCATTCCGTCCTGTGAGTTCTGATAACAAACGATGTTGTGAATGACATTCTTGCACACACCTGAATTAAAAACTCTGTCAGGATGATTTTCATTACAAGTTACAAGGTCTAAACTTCAGCATTTAACTCTTTTTTTTCTCTTCGAAGAACTGACTAACTATTGAAAATTAAGTTGATATTGTCTCATTGCAGTACCCACAATTATTCAAAGGAATACTGTCTCCGTGGAAGGGACTTCTACTGTTTGGCCCTCCTGGTAAGTAAACAAGGAAAAGGCACCATGCTCTTTTGTATTGTGGTACACCATTATTATATATAAGACGGAAATAGACTTATCAATAGATATTTCAATTGAAAAAATTGATGAAGTAGAGGTCAATTTTAAAGGTCATTGACCAGGAGTTCATCGTGAGGTTAATGCAAATTGTTTAATTCAAGTAAACTGAAGGTGAATTCAGTTCTGGTCTTTTTGAGTACAGAACAGTTTAGTCTGAGGAGGTTAATTAACACAAGAAAATTATAAACAGTAAATCCAGAGGGCGAAAATGTGAAACTGTGGCAGAAATTTCCTAGTACAGAAATGTATACAGTATAATCGGAAAAAACAGGTTTTGCGATAATGATTTACAAGTGTCTCTCAAATGGTTCACCAGATCAGTAGCATACAAGTATATTTGTACATTCACTGTGAAACCCACACAATAGGTATTAATTATAAAGTGTAATTAACCATTGCATGTGTTACTTCCAGGGACAGGGAAAACATTATTAGCAAAGGCAATAGCCACTGAGTGTAAGACAACATTCTTCAACATATCTGCATCTACTATAGTCAGCAAATGGAGGGGTGACTCAGAGAAACTAGTCAGGGTAAGAAACTTTAATTTTATTTATTTTACATAATAATATTGCAAATTTATCAACTTATATTAATCTCTGTTGTTGGCCTGGATGGTAGAATGCAAGTAGGCCTAATGTAGAGCAAAACCAGGGTACCATACTTGAGATAACTTGGATGGTCAGCCATATGACCCATACCATTGAATGTGAAATCGGGGAGTTAAACCCTAGACTTCCTGATGAAACGAAAATGCACTGTTCACTTGCCACCTGACTTCTAACTTTAATATTATTATCTTACACTTTTAAAGATAAAATCTCCCTATGAGTACATATTGAGGGATTTAATTAACATAGTCATTTAGATATGGTAAACATACTGTACTATAGCTAGTTCTATTTTCATCAGGGCAAAGGTTAACATATATAAGTTCTATTGTCAACAGGGCAGAGGTGGCTCAGAGAAGCTAGTCAGTGTTGATGTAAGGTTAATACAACTTCTTGTGACAAACTTTCATTTTACTCTCCAGTCATTGTTGTCCTTATTGTTAACTTTCAGTATATTTATCTTGTTTTAGTGAACTTCTAATTATTTCAGTTAAATGATTAGTTTAACAGTAGACTACTGTTCTGTTTCTTTAGCTACCTAGTTTTAGCGCCGACTTTGACTTTCAACATCTTTTTTCTAAACAAGTATGTTTTCTTTACAATACAGGTGCTATTTGAAATGGCTAGATACTATGCTCCCTCCACCATATTCCTGGATGAGTTAGAAGCTATAATGAGCCAGAGAGGTTCTAGTGGTGGCGGAGGGTAAGTCTAAACATTGCCTGCATTTTAATTATTATTATTATTATTATTTTTTTAAATCCACACAATCACCATAACTGATATTGATAACAAATTAGAAGGAAGATAACTCTGTAAGCTTTCTGTGATGTAAAGCAATTGTTTCACTTCATTTCACATTTTACTGTTGGTGAATTTGCTAAGAACAACTTCTTGAAGTAAAAATTGCAATCAAGATGTAAGTGGTTTAATCATTATGGTCAATCTGCCTCAGGTCCCTGTGCAAAGTTATGTAGTAATGAAATTAAGACTTCAACATTTTCAGCTTGTTTTATTCAGTACACTAGGTGTGTTAATTAACCTTGCATTAATAACTGTGACTTAATGGTCATTTACATACTGTGTATCTTGCACATGGTGTGATGTTAATTTATACATTCAAAAATCCAAATGACAGACTGATATTATCAAAATGGGGTCAATATAATACCAAGACCTGTTGATAATGGATTCCCTCCCTTTCAAATACACAATATGAGCTGAAAAAGATATAAATTTTCGTTTTTGATGGAATATCATTCACACAGTTGATTTGACATGCATGTATTTGAATACAGAAAGATGTACAACATAAACTTTTTTTTCATAAAATATTTTAAAACTAACATTTTCCTCATGCAAATGTTTATTCAGACCTCGCAAGGCTTTGTCAAGGCTCGGCTGAAAGCAGCATTAGATTACTAGATCCAACCTTATTTCATAAATGAACAACTTTGGTCCAACCGGTTCAACCGTTTGGATTATGACAAACGAAAGCAGCCCTGATTTTACTGAAATTGTAACAGAAGAGGGAGATAACTCTGTAGATTCTATGACTGATTGTTCAATCAGACAGGTAAATACGTTTACCTGTCCGATTAAACACCTCTTTCATTTGAATTAAATTTTTATTTGTATGGGAAAGTTATTCTTACAATAAAATAACACTGTTATGTTTGGCACGTTGATTTTCTTTCATTGTCACAGTTTTAAGAAGTCAAATTTCAGTTTAATAAGAAAATTGTTTAAAAGATTAGATTTCTCATCTACGGACCAGAATTGTTTTTGGAAAAATTCCATATCTTGATCATTCTTAATGGTGAACTGAGTGTCAATTTATTATGTGATGAACCTCAACAATTAGTTATCTTCCAATTATTTATTTCTTCCAGAGAACACGAGGGTAGCAGACGGATGAAAACAGAACTACTGGTGCAAATGGATGGTCTGGCTAAGACAGATGATCTTGTTTTTTTACTAGCAGCCTCCAACTTACCATGGTAAACAGTCATTCAAGGGCATTTTGGTTCATCTTTTAATCAAGCTCTTTAACCACTAAAGTTGTTAACAATTTATTTCTCTCAGCACAAGCCATGTGTTTGCCTGGGATGCTGATGCAGCAATTTTGTTTTTGAAATATGGTAATATTGGAGGTGTTATGACTCGTTTTTGTCTGGAAATTGCAGTATGATTGAAAGGTGTATCTATCGGAGGCCTAACTGTGTAACTGTATTTAGCGTAGGATCATCAGGTTTGGTATAAAACAAGTTCATCATGCATGGTGAGTTGAAGTGTCAGGCATCAAAAGCAGGTCACTTAACTCTTTCACCCCTGAAATTTCATAATGCACTATTCCAACCTTTGAATTGGAAGAGTTTAAATGTGTCTTTAGGGGTGAATGACTTAACCATGTTTTGACTCTAATTGCATTACAAAGTGACCAACAGTTTCACCTTGGACCTCTTTTGTTTGAAGAGCATGTACTACTAATATTGCCAGTAAAGTTCATTCCTAAATGCAAGGAATTTTTCATGAAATGATACCGTTCATCCATTTCCTGGTTATAAATAATTATGAGAAACACTTTAAATAATTCCCCTGTTGCAAGTCAGTGTTCTTTACCAACATATACACAATTGGGGACATAGGCAAAAGGTTGCAAATTTGTTCCAAATCACCATAAGGGAAAGAGGGAAAAACTTATTAAAAACACATACAGGTATCATATAACTATAGGTATTAAAAAAGGTTTCAGAATTGTGTCATAAAATCAATTAAAGCTAATACTGAAACATTGAAAAGAAGATAGAATGTTGTGTAACTTAGTTGATTACAGAAATAAAGTGAAAGTGATATTTTATAAAAATGATTTTCTGTGGCTATAGGGAGTTGGACCAGGCCATGCTGCGGCGACTTGAGAAGAGGATTATTGTAGACCTGCCTACGTTCGAGGCCCGGAAGGCCATGTTTAAGTATTACCTACCACACATAGTGTGCCCTAAGGAAGGCGGGCTAGAACTCCTGTCTCATCTCGACTATGATATGCTGGCAAATGTAAGTAACACCACTTTAGGTCAGATGACCTATAGTCATCGTACTTCATCCGTCGTCGTCGTCGTCGTCGTCGTCGTCGTCGTCCACCGTGCGCCGTCCGTAAACTTTCAACATTTTAAACTTCTTCTCAAGTTCTAACATTGGGATTGAGCTGAAACTTGCCTGAAATGATCCTGAGATGGTCCTGACCAAGTGTTGTTATTTTTCGTGTCAGTGAAAATTCAAGATGGCCACCATGACCGCCATCTTGAAAAACACATTTTAAACTTCTCATCTTCCACCAGTGGGATTGAGGTCAAACTTGCCTGAAATGATCCTTAGATGATCCTGACCAAGCGTTGTTATTTTTCGAGTTGGTCTGATATCCAAGATGGCCGCCATCTTGAAAAACACTTTTTAAACTTCTTCTCCAGTTCCACTGGTGCCATTGAGCTAAATATTGGTGGGGATGTTTCGGGGCCTCGGAAGTGGAACTTAACTATAATTTTGCTTAAAAAGGCTATTCCTCCTTAATGCCTAAATAGATATTGCAACCAAATATGGTCTGAAATATCATAAGTGTGTAGGGGGGGGGGGGGGGGGGGACCATCGTTTCTTGAATAAATGAGGCTGGTTCGACCCCTGAGGGATAGAGAGGGCGGTGCCCCAAGAAAGGAAAGTACCTTCAATCCTGCTTTTAAACACTACTTGTTAATGCCAAAGGTAGATTACAACAATTTCAGTATGAAACATCGTTTAGAAACAATCATTTCTTATATAAATGAGGCAGGTTTAACCACTGTTGACAGCGGGACGGGGCCTTTAAAGGAGAAATCTATTCAGATTTAGGTTTAAATGCTTTCTGATAGCTTTACTGACATATAGTTACCCACTGCTGACCAAAACTACCATCATGGAAAACAAATTCTTAGAATATTTCATTGAAAGTTGAAAAGTTACCATTCTGCCTGCTCAGTCTTTGTAGTCAAATGACCGTTTAGGCCCATGGGCCTCTTGTTATAGTGGTTAACATTTAATTTAATCGTTCATATTTAATTTTTTCCCTGCAGATTTCGAGAATGGCTTTTGTTTCTGTTGTTTTAGAAATCATGTTTTGATATTATCTTTACGCAACAAATTCCTTAAGTTTCACTGTAAACAATAGATATTCTTAAGCATTTTTAGCACACAAAAACCAAGGTTCAGACGTGCAAATACTATGCATAATTGGTGAACACAAACTATGGTCTGATTGGTAGGTTTTACAAATCTTGACACAGGCTTTATTAATTTAGAACGAAATGCAATGACAGATAAATATGTGTTTTTTGCAAGTTTGCATGGCTCTTAGTTATTATAATGCTTTTGAAGGACTTTGCATTCTGTAGACAGAAAATGTAATTGTTGTACTTTTCCCTCAAAATCAATGTGAGATAACGTTGTAGCATGATTTTTATGCAGATTTATGATATTTCATATGGCTGTTTTATGTTAAAGGTGTAGTATTTGAAATATTTTTTTGTCGTTTCAGAAAACAGAGAGCTACTCTGGCTCTGACCTGAGGTTGGTGTGTAAAGAGGCAGCAATGAGGCCAGTTAGAAAAATCTTTGATGCTTTGGAGAAAAACGACAAAGATGGTAAGCATTTCAAATAGCACTTAATGTAGACTACCATTGTTAAGTTGAACCATTTTTGTGTCGCCTACGACGGATGTTGGAAAGACACATAGGGGCTGCTGCTTTTCTGACGGCGATGGCGTCGTCAACAATGTTAAGGTTTTGCATTTAATTTCAAATTTCTGGACTTAGAAAAAAACTCAACGTTAAGGTTTTGTGTTTAGCTCTTACATATTAGGCTGTGTTAAGGTTTTGCATTTAATTTCAAATTTCTGGACTTAAAAAAAAACCCAACGTTAAGGTTTTGTGTTTAGCTCTTACATATTAGGCTGTTTCTGACAAAGTATAAATGCTAGAGCAACCAAACTTGGGTCATAGGTGTATCATGGGATGTATAGCTGAATGTATTACACTCTTTACTAGCATTTCAACGATTTCTATATTTTTTGCTAAAAACCTCAAATTTCTGGACTTAGAAAAAACCTCAACGTTAAGGTTTTGCGTTTAGCTCTTGCATATTAGGCTGTTTCTGACAAAGTATAGATGCTAGACCAACCAAACCTCAAGCATACATGTATCATGGGTAGTAGAGCCTACTACTCTAAAAACATTTCATGGATTTCTGCACTTTTTCGTATAAAAACCTGAAATTTCTGGACTTTGAAAATAATTAATGTTATGATTTTGGGTTTAGGTCTGTTTCCTTATGTACTATGTCAAATGCTTATTATATTGACAAAGCGGGACAGGCGACACATATAATTACGCGTAATTCTTGTCTAATTTTTAATCTAGATCTCATTTACAAATTGTAAGTTAACATTTTATATATTTACCAAAATATCATCACAATTGTAACCTGTTTGTGCTACCATGTGTGGAATCCTGCTTGTACATATGAACTTTTTCTGTTTCCAGCAGACCAGCTCCATTTCCGGTTAGACACAATAACAACCTCTGATGTGCTTAAGGCTATAGATCGGACTAAACCCTCTGCCTCCAAATTAAAGGAGAAATACAGTGCCTGGCAGAGAGAGTATGAATCTGTGTGAAAATGGAACATAGAGCAGAGATGATAATGTTACTGAGAGCAGATGTGTAATCTGCGTGTCTGGTTACAGTCCATCTTCAGCACTGTATCACAACTAATTCAATGCATAAAATCTTGACATTCCGTCCACCTAATATTTCACAGAATGCACACATCTTCTGACCACTCACTTGTCTAGAGCTCTTGGTGGCCATACAAGGACACTTGTGATTCCTGCTTCTGAGTCCACCTTCGATAATATTTGAGGCTTACCTGTAAGTCTCACCTGTGATTATAGGTGAACATTACCTGTGAGACTTCATGTGAGGCTTAATATGCTAGTAAGGCTCAAGTGATGCTTATCTGTAATACCTGTGAAGATTACCTGTAATACTTACCTGTGAGGATTACCTGTGAGATTTACGTGCGAGAGGTAAATTGCTAGTAAAGCTTACCTGTGAAATTATCTGTAATACTTACCTGTGATGATCAACAGTAAGACTTACCTGCATAATTTTCAGAATTATATATGCTATTTATCTGTTATTATTACTTGTCAACTTACCTGGCTGTAAGATGTATTGGAAAGACTTGTCTGTGAATACCTGTTTGACTTACCTTAGTTTAAAGAATTAACTGTACTGATCTTTAAGGAATACCTGTAAGATGTATCTCTAAGACATGTCTGTGATTACCTGTCTTACTTACCTTTAAGACTTACAAGTAAATGGCACCTATCTCTACTGACTTGTAGTTATAGAACGGACTAATGGAAAAATACCACTTAACTTTTCTTAAGCGACTTCAATTTTTTTGCATAGAATTTAAATTATTCAAATTACATTATAATTGGGATTTCATTAAAAAGTTACTTGAACATTAAGGTGATAACTACCAATCCTTTACACTGTTGGGCACCTATCAGGACCAAGACTGATCGTGATCAGAGCTTTGTCTGTCTGAATCCATCAAGGTTCATGTAATTTTCTTTTAGAACAACATATATGTGTAGTTCTGGTATCTGTTATTAGTAAAGCAATTGGCTAGGTGAAATTTTTAAATTCAGTCCCTGTATATTACACACTCTGTTATACTTTTGTTCTATTTTAAGCTCAATGATCAACAACCGGTATATCAGAGTACTCTTCATCAGGTTTTTCCACCAATTTCATTTGTACAAAAATATCAACTGTGTATGCCATTAGCTGATAATGTAGAAATGACTACACCCTTTATCCCATATCTGTGTGAGGTTAGCATTTGTGTATATATACTATGTAAAAATAGTAACGTATATATCTGTAGGCTGTGATTTAATTACGATAATCATTATCATAAGTTGAAATTACCCAGTAGTATAAGGTAACACCTTAATATATAGATGGTGAATAGTTCCCAAACCCAAAACTAGTCAGTAGTAAAAAAAATATCTCAACTTTAGGAACATCTCATTGAAACAATGCTACTTGTAGTTTAAGACTTTTAATCTCACTGAAATGACATTATCTTGAATCTTGATTCATCCAGACTTTCGCCGTTGTCAAATATTTGATACAAGCGTATGATATGTAAGCATGTTTTGGTCAGTTTCCCTGTAGATGGGATACCTGACTATTGGTACATTGTGATAGGTACATTGTGATAGGGATGTTATAGAGAATTGCTGTAGCATTGATATTTATTGTGTTTGTTTACTTTGTTATAACTGTACAGAAACTGCCTGAAATTCCACTTTACAGTCCGTCCAGAAATATTATATTTCAATATCCGTCCACTTCATTATCTTAACTGTTACGAGTTTATTTGTGAGTGTTTAAATATAGATATGGTTATTACAGTATAATCATCTTTGTTCACAAAACACTGTTATATCACGTGTTTATATCTTTGGCTGTGATTATATCGCTGTCTACTGCTGGTACTTCTCTGATATAATTACCAGTCCTTTATCTCTCTACATACTGTATAACATGAAATATTGAGTGTATTTTGGTTGTCGATTGAAGTCATTTAGATGTAATTACGTGATACAAATTTGCATGGATAGAACCCCATATAAACAAACAGTAGTCAAGGATATCAATCAAATTTATTGCACTTATTTCCGTGGTTCCGTAGCAACAATGAAAACCATGAATGTATATACATAACAAACATTTCATGTTATAGAGTAACTCGTGCAACTGAATTAGATTATTATATAGGATCTGAACAATAACTCCGACGTTTTTCTTTGTAAAATAGACATCTTGACATACTAGTAACAGGGGTTGGTGATATGTAAGAAGTTCAAATATATGGTTAAGTTAATTAAAATTCATTTCATAATGAATCGTAGGAATACCCCCTCACAGCATTTTATAAGTCAGTTGAGTTGTATTCACATGATGTTCATAAGTCTTATTGCCTCAGCAGAGATGTAACATAATCTGTGTGTAGTGTGCTAGTGACTTTAACATTGGGGGAGGGCTGGTGACTTTTACCGGTGTGTGATGAGTATAATAACAAGTTGTACAAGGACAGGTGAACTTGTATATTAACGTAAAGTTGACTCTGTGTTCGATCTGTGCTTCAATCTATAAAATTTGTATATCTCTAGCCCAATCATTTTGTAAATTCACTTTAATTATTTTGTATAGATAGGAAAATAATCTTAAATTAGAGTTATCTTTTCTTTTCAACAATCCCTTTGTTTTGAGTTATTGACCTATTTTACCTATGTTTACTTGTAACGGTGTTCACCAGGTATGGTCATGGTCGATACATCAATACTTTAATACACAAAACAATCAATTTTGATGTGGTACTTGTGGAGTGTAAGTAGTTCATTCATTCTTTAAAGCTACGACATTTTTAATCTGGTTAAGTAACCATGCATGGCATTTACGTTTGTATTTTTCATTTAAGGATGATCGATCTCCTGTACCGCTAAGGTTAACCAGCACACATTGAACTTCCTCATCCTCAGATCTTCCTTTACTTTCAAATCTCTAGAGGTTTTGCTTCCTTGCCTGTGTTTTTGTTCAATATATATTTTATTTATATTAAAAACGCTCAAAATGACACTGCTGTATGAACAGTTTTCATTAAGTTTGTGTTCCACCCTAGTACAGGTCAGTGATGCTGAACAAACTCTGTCACTGCATTTGCACATTCAAAACCTCTAAAGAGGTATTTGAATTTCGTTTTAAATTTGTGATAAAAGTAAGATACATGCATTTATTATGGGATAGGTATACAATGTTTATGAAGTTTTCAGGTAATGATTGGGTTATATTTATCTCATGGTGAAATTTGAGGTAAAATGTTTTTCTCAGACACAACTCAATAAAATGTTTTTTCACTGTAGCACAACTATTATGTATCGGGGTAATCTGCTTTTGATACACCTACTGTATAGTTATAATGATGAATTCTGAAAAAGGTAAGTGTATCTTTAGCCAAATGTAAAGGTAGCATACATTCTTGAAAATGGAACACAGTCATTATATATAAACAAAATATTGTTTTGACAATTATCTGATATTTTTTATACATTTCTGGACCATCCTCTCAATGTGTGAGTTGATATCTCAACTATTAGCTACAACTTCAATTTCTGTATCAACTTCTGCAGATTCAAGAATGTGATTTTGATCGGAATGTCATTGTTTCCTGTAGTAGTATTATATTGCAAATATATTGTGATAGTTATATATATAATGTGATAGTTAGGGACAATGTGTAAAATAATGTTAGTAATTTATTTTATATATTTGTAGTAACTGTTATACCCTGTGTTTGCGTTATAGATTGTTTATTGTATATTATTGTGTTGTTTATTGTATATTAATGTGTTTGAATATCTGTCTAACAGATTAAGTTATGTACTTTGAGGCATTTAGATCAACCACTGCTTTCTTGGACAGTGAGACTGACTGTGATAGTGCACCAGGGGAATATTATTGGATGTTCCATATGCTGCATCGGTAAAGACAGCTGCCATTTTTGTGACATACATATTTAATCTAAACATTTTGTTTTGTGGTGAAAGCACAGTTTCCTGACAGAGAACCTGTATCCTACCACAGGAGTACTGATTTATCTGAAAATACAACCACAAGGATTTTATGCTGTATCAATACATATACAAAATGTACATGTATGCCAATTAATCTCTATGAATCATATAGGGTATAAGGACATACTGTATACTGGGAAATGTTTGTAACAATGTAATTCTGCCTTTTCTGCCCTGCAATAATGATGGATGTATCATTACAGCGAAGATTAATTAAATCTGGGCAAATATGGATTATTCTGGCAAAGGGCAATAGTTTGACTGGGCAAGAATTTCCCAGTATACAGTATAATTCTAAACTATCAGAGGATAGCATAGGGAGTATATACTTGTATGGTATAAATATATAGATTTAGAAACTATAATATATATAGATACAACATCAAATTCCTGTGGTATTGATACAATGTTCTATTGGGATACAAGTAGTGTTTTACCTGTATGCAAGTACATACAGTACTGTAATTAGTTTCCCTCCCTTTATAAGCACTGCTCCACATTTTAGGCAGTTATAGAAACGATTGAAGCTCTTCCTTACCCAAACACCCTTCCTAGCTTCCAGTTAACAAACTACGGTACTATGTACCATTTATATCTGACACTACAGTCTTGCAATCTGACAAGACTTTCCCAGTGTTTAAGATAAGCAAACAGTTAATGAAATTCTTCTTGGGAATGTATCCAACAGTTATGTTGCCTTCAGCATCTGACAAAGAACCTATCTTCTGTTATCTTAATAAACATCCCCTCCAGCCAAGTTTTGGTCTACGTGTGTCAAATACGTACGGTAAAACTACAGTTTTCTGTCAAGGGAGATGAGTACAGTTTTGCCTATTCACAAGCTTATATACAAGAGTTACTACACTTTTTTTTCTGTCAGGAGACGTATTTCTTTATAGGACTACTGTTAGCTGTTAGATATAACTATATATATGTACATACATGTACGTGGTGTGTGTCACTGAACGGTTATACACTTGTCCTGAGGTGTACCGTTACCTGTTCTGATGACGTTTGACGTCAATGTTCCCAATACATCACTACGAAACCACACACTCATTCTCAATAAATAGTCGCCGACAGTTAAAGAATGTCTGTTTTATTTAAATGGATACACTTTTTTGCTCTTTTAGTCTTTATATATACTCTCCCCCCACAATTTACCTACAAACGTCTTTCGGGACTTGGCACATGGTTATAATGAATTAATCATCAACCACAAACCACAGCTTCTGTTTTAGATCAATTTTACAACAATAAACTTTTGTGTTATATTGATATACACGATGTATCTCACATTCCAATTTACATTTCATTAACTGATTTACAAACTGGGAGTAAGATAAACAAGCATGTTTATCATTATAATGGAGATGTTTGTGGTTCTGAAAATAGATGGAAGAAAATCAAATGTTTTATGTTGAGTGTAAGTTTGGGAAGTGCTGCGGTACTGTGGTTGTGAAACTGAGATTAAAATAACTGTATGGTACGAAACAGTAGATTTTTGTCGGTGCAGTAAAGTATGCTAACATACTACATAATTGTACAGTATTAAATTTGTTCTAGGGTTGGGGACAAGGTTTAAAACATACTACAAGGTACCTGTAACTGCCAAAAACGACATATTTTTATGACAATAGAAGCTTGGGCATGATGTGTAGTCGATCGTTCTGTCCAAACTACATCCTAGTTTCGATTTAGCTCCATGAATAATAGCAGACCAGTGGAGTCATCATACTGAATATGTGGGTACTTTGCAAGGAATTATACACAAATATGTCAAATTCCGGTCACTGTAGCCATTATTCCCCTTCACCGAGTTTGGTTAGACTGTATTTTGCTCCATTTTCAAAGATTTTCTTTTTAGTTATATGCAGCAAAGCACATTTACGATGAACCAAAAAAAGGCTGAAGAAACAGTGTTTACTGAATCAAACTTTACTTCTGGTCGTTAAAATCAAATGCGTTCTTGTTTTACTGTTGGTTGCCATGTCAGTGAAGCGACACTAGTAGTAATACCATTGTCTTTTGGGGGTAGGGCTAGTCTGTCGATCATTTTTCACTGATCAATGGTCTTTATTTTGAATTTCTCTAATTGGGAGGGGCTTGACGTGTCATATTTCCGATATATTTTATGTTAATTTCAAATGCACAAAATGGAGAATGAAATATATAAACAAAATAAAAATAAAATCGATGAAACAATCTTTTCTATTGTTGTTTGTTAAAGCACCAGTAGATAGCGGTAAAGAGATAAGAAGGACCTTGAGAATTTTTCAAGATAATGGAATCTAAACGTGTTGAACTATTCCAACATTTCCCATCAACCATCTTGTATGTAAGTGCTATCAGCTTTGTTGAAGCACGGGATCTATAATTCCGCGGTTGAAGTAAACATGAACGCACTTTGAAGTCTTCAAGCGACTTTAATAAACCATGCTGTATAGAAGGACATAATTAAACGGCTAATTACTTGCTCGAATATTGTGCTCACAGGAGTATTCACACAAACCTCACCGAATAACTTTTAATGACGCAGGAATAAGGTGTTTTAGAACTTCAAATTACTTTTTGAAAAACCATGATACACATAATTATGGTATTTAACCCATATCTTGCTAGGATAAAGTCCTGTCGGATTTGTTAAAATGGATGATCTAATATGAATCAGAATTATTCAAATTTTCCAACAAATTTTACTGATGAGTCCTGATGCCACGAGTGATGACTTGTGGTGTGTCACCTATATATAAGGTATTAGGAATATGTCACTGTTCTCGGCTTGTGATAATTCAATATAGATTGCATTTTTGGAAAGACGTATCTCGGGCCGTATCGAAGCAAATTAATTGTGGATTAGTAAATTTAAAAAATCTCGGCATGATTGTATGAAAATACTAAGAATGGACAGTTCACAGTCGTGTAGTCATAATCTTATCAAAGTTTTGTAGCGAGATAACGGAAACGAGTTTTGCGTGCTCAATTTCAACTGCTATGTGTAACAGGATGCTTAAAGTTCTCGAAATCAGATGCAACATGTAAGAATCAAACATGTGTTTTCTTCCTTCTTAAATAACATCGTTGCTCAATATACAAACTTCCACTCTTGTTACCATTTAATCAGGGATGCAGTCGTGTTGTGAAAATGTAAACAGGAGAAGTGGAATTAATGAAATGTGGATTTTGAAGTATTCATAAAACCTTTTGATAGATCTCGAACATCCATGCCTTAAAAATTTACTTCTATCAAAACGTTTGCCTTTTCGACTATTTACACTACCATACGATATAAATGTCTGATTATAAAGCATTTTAGAGTACATTTAAAACACACACACACACACACACACACACACACACACACACACTCACACACACAGAAAGGGCCAAAATGAAATATACTGACGATATAATTGTTAGAATGATGAAGTTCCTGGTTGACAATACCTTTGTTGGTTCGATGGCAATATTTTCAAGCACACTGGAAGCATTCCTGAGAAAATATTTATGACCTACTTGTTTTAATGAGGCTGAATTATCCGGACTGACAGCAAAAACATATCCAATTTCACGTTCAGTTATATCAACAATGACATGTTTTTAAATAACAATTATTTGATTGACCACGTCCATCATTATTATATTATATACCTTCATGGGCTGGAAATCAACGACACCATATACGTTTCTACATAGCCGCTTCCGGCTTACTACCGATCTTGTACTTTTACCTTTCTTGAGAGTAACATCCCTATCCACAACCTACGATGATTTCATACCGTATTTTATTCGAATTCAAGAGTTTGCACCGAATATAAGGACTTTCGTCATATATATTGTTTGCTAAAATACAAAGGACAAACACAATTTTCTGGTAGGCATCATGATTTCATCGGAATATGCATTGTGTTTTTTTGTGTACGATATGAAGGTCGCTGTTTTTGATTGTGCTCACTAGTGTGCCTTGTTTGTTTTGTTCTCCACTTCTCTGGCTTTCACTGTTTTCCACCGAAACACCTGGTTGTATTCATCTTAAAAAATGTCTACCACCGCCATTTCAATCTTTCTGTTGTCCATATTTTGGCATAATTTATTGATTTTGAGTTCTAATTACGGTTCTTTTGACACTGATCTGTTTTACTCTACCCTGTTTTTAACCAGATCCTCTAGAAATGGTGCACATTTTTATTTTTTTATTTTTCATACTGGTAGTCTGTTGGTATAATCTGCCGCTTTATTTGCCGCTAAATTCCTCAACAAAAATGGCGATAAAAAATGTATCTTTCGGATATCATACTTTGTTGTGTATGCTCTGTTCTTTCCAGCAATGTAATATTTAACTAAATAGCTTTCGTTTCTATTGACAATATGATAGGTGTATCTGCATTTGCCATTTATAAATAGAAATACTCAATATGCCAAATAGTTTAGACATGATTTAGTTTACCAAGAGAATGAGTGAAATAAATCTTGAGTAATCTTAACAGACGTTATCAAGTTTCCCTAATCGTTCTTTAAATGTATTCTTTAACAGCAACGACAAGAAAAAGACCGGTGTTTTAACCTTCATCACCTTCCTGAATCTAGACACAAGTTGTGATGTAAGACGTTACAGATAAGAAGACTTTAACAAAGCATTGCGCTATTGTCGTCATAATCAGATTCTATTATTATCTGCTTTTGACAAAAAAAGGTACCCCGTGCGACAATCACTATGTTTCGATCATGAGTCATATATTTTCCTGATAGATTATTAAAATATCTTTGCAAAGTCATGACCACAATTATACAAGATAATAAATGTATACGCAATTATAAAAAGCGTGAAGTGTACTGACGTGACAGCTTTGCTATCCCGATCGATTAGTTTTCTTTTCCTCAGTAATAACATATACCAGTCTTCCTGACTAGAAATTCACTGTGCACAATTGATTCATTACTTTAAAGTCTCAAAGTGTTGGATTTCATGGAGGGATATGCATTTTATTGACCAAACAAATTCTTATCCGGTTTTGTTTTACATGTTACGCTTCAATCTACGCTGGCTACATCTTGCAGTCGTGGATATAACCCGATTTTTAACTGCACAAAGAAATCAGTGTCTACTATATGCAAAGTCTTGTAGATTTAGTCTTAGATCGGCGGTGACTGACATAATTAGTTTGGTGCAGGGAATGTTCGTCTTTCCAGGGCGTATTAGTCCGTTTCTGATTTTTTTTTTATTGAACTCTTGATAGGCTTTTTTGTTGCCTTACATACAATTTCTTTTATGCTTTCTAATTAACTGCGAGGTTTGAGTTTTCCGTGTTGTATGTGTTTTTTCCTCGAATATACAATGTACCAGACCCTATTTCAGAATTGAAATTTTCTAAAATCTTAAATTCACTTTTATGGGAATGTGAACCTGAAATTTTAATCGGCTATGATTTTTTTTATATAAATAACACTAAGTACGCTTGCTTTTTCTATGATGAATACAGAAGAGACTTTCCTTACGAAGTATCTGCATACCAACTGTATTAAAAAAAGGTTTGTACCTTATATGTTTTGTCTCTCGTATATCAACGTCGTTTTTTCAGATTTTTTATTTCATAGTTTCGGGTTTCGTTATTAATATTCTCAGATGGTTTGGTGTATCGTAATTAATGTTTTCAGATGGATTGGTGTATCGTAATTAATATTCTCAGATGGTTTGGTGTAACTTGATTAATGTTCCCAGATTTATTGGTGTATCGTAATTAATGTTCTTATATGGTTTGGTGTATCGTAGTCAATGTTCTCAGATGGTTTGGTGTATCGTAATGAATGTTCTCAGATGGTTTGGTGTATCGTAATAATGTTTTCAGATAGTTTGGTGTATCGTAATTAATGTTCACAACTAGTTTGGTGTAACTTGATTAATGTTCGCATATGGTTTGGTGTATCGTAATTAATGTTCCCAGGTGATTTAGTGTATCGTAGTTTCAGACTTATCTGTCTGTTGGTTTGCCACATACAATACGTTGACAGATCTTTGGCCAGGGAAGACAATGATGTCCTATGCTATTGGGTTCCAGCTAATGTGTCCGTCCCAATTTCGGAGGCTGCCGGTCTAAGTCCCGATTTGTTATCTAAAGCTTGATTCACATGTCACGGAAATGACGACAAAGAACCCTATTCGTATACCTTCTTACCGTTTTGAACTGTTTCAAATACATTATGATGGTTTATAAGAGCATGCATTTCGATACTTCATCCATCTTTCTTATCTCTGATTTGATTAGGTGATGAAATGTAGATAGAGTATTATAATAGATTTTGATATATAAAAAGGATGCATACACTTGTCCTTTCATTTTACCTAATCCCGTTCATCTTTTGTCAGTATATGTGTCAGGTATTTACAAATATAATGATATAAAGGAAATGATTTTGAAAGGAGCCTCCCTAAAAAGTCATAAAGCTCATTTGCATTTTCTAAGAATTTCACCGTAAGTTCTATATTTACATTCCTAATGTTGAATTGATTGTGCAATATACCTCAGAAAAAAACATCCATCAAAAACAATTAACACGCCCATCTCAATTTTTTAAGAATTTTAAGATAAATTCTACATCTACATTCCAAATGTAGAATTGATTGTAAAAAAAACCATCCCTAAAAGACCAGTAAAAACGCCCATTTCCATTTTCTAAGAATTTTTTAGTAAATTCTTTATTTACCTCAGAAAATAAAAGTCCTAAACCCAGTAAAAACGCCCATTTCCATTTTATAAGAATTTTATAGTAAATTCTTTATTTACCTCAGAAAAAACAAGTCTTAAACCCTGTAAAAACGCCCATTGTCATTTTCTAAGAACTTTACGCTAAGTTCTTTATTAACAGTAGAAAAAACACCCCTATTTTCTAAGAATTTTAGAAATATTGTTTTCTCATGTTCCCAATAGAGAACCATTGGCGAAATATATCTCAAAAAACATTCCTTAAAACAGGAAGTTTATGATAAGTTCTATATATTCCAAGCTTTAGACATTATTTCGCCCCTGATTCACCCGGAATGTTTTCTTTATTTGGTTATTTTCATAATTTTAGATTATGTTTGGCTGCGCATATGACAGATGATGCAGTTAGCTAAGATTTAATGAAAATATACCATAGCCTACATCCGTGTTTGTTTTTGTAACTTACAATGACCAGTTAAATCAAACTTGAAGTTTGACACCGAAATTATCATTAATTTTTTTTGGAAAAGAAGCACCTACTGAAAAATTAAATAAGATGAGGTCCATTTAGTACTTATTCAGTTATATAGGTCAAACCAATGAAAATACATTTTTAAAGTGTTCAGAAAGATAAGTAGAAATAAAGCAGTAGGGAAATGTGCAATATAAAGCCTCATAACGCAACTCGTGAAAGAAGAACACCATGTCTGAAGAATATCTCCCTGTTATAAAGAGCAGTGATATTAAATAAGATAGTAAAACACATTGTGCTTACCTCCTGTTATTGTTATTATTGCTTTTGTGTTTTTGTTTTTATTAGTGAAAACACTTTGTTTATCAGAAAGGTTAAACATAGAACATTCGATATCAAAAGCTTAATGTTTTTTTTTATTAAAGACATTTTTCTTAAAAAATTGTTGTTGATAATATAATTGACGTCCAAACGGAATATTTCTTATTTTTGCGCAAAATGTTTATATTCTAGCAGTAGAGAGTACTTTCTTCAATTCAGAGACTTTTTGGAGGTCTGAATTTTTCTAGTTGTGTTACCTACAATTACAACAAAAGTAACTCCCTTTAATTGTTTCAACCGTCTTAAAATGTATTTTGAATATATAAACTTAAGCAGCAGATTTAAAGTAGAGAACATTTACCGTATCAAAGGAGACATGCCAGTTGGTTTAAATCATATACTAATGTTCAAATCCTGAGGTGCCTAAAATACTTTTGAAAATGTTAAAACAATTAATTTCAAACTAGTGTTGCATGTAAACAGTGTCATTTAAGATGTTTGTTATTTCAATATTATGATTAACTAACGCTACCATCCTTACAAGCAGCATTCACAAGATATGAAAATAACTAAAAACAATCTACAAAAATAAAGCTTTAATTTTCATTTATCACAGACGGAAATTGCATTGTTAAAAAATGTATGGATGGCGTGCCACTTCTGTTGGACGATAGCTTGAACAAGCCTTCAGTCGAGTCGTCCTTGTGTGGGCATTTTATGGAGGGAAACGATACCGCCTTCTCAGTGGGCGTGACCTGCAACTCACACAAGTCATATGATCGTGGTGTAATATACCTAGCGGACTTCTCGCTGGAAGATCATGACCCGTGTCGAGGATATGTACCGAGGTGTGACCTAGGAGCATTTGAACTTTGCCTTCTAAGGTGTGGCTCTCTTATCCAATCCAAGAACAGTGTGAAGGGAATTCGTGAGCCGCAAGGTCAACTGGAGGCCAGTAATCCACTGTGATGTTCCAAATGGCGATGTACTGGGTTGAGTAATGTTGGAAACAGCTGCCGAATCCACACGTATTCGTGTCCCTAGGGAACAAAAAGAGCGTTGACACATAAGTTTTATTTGAGGAAGTAAACGCCAAAATAGTCACTAGCATATGCACATGACGAAGTCAATTGTATGACGTCACCAGTTGGAGTTTTATTTATCGTGTAAAAAGCATTTATGTGTTTAGCCATTCATTTCATAAAATACTCGTAGTGCTATATGATTATGATTTTAACTGAGATAAAAGAAAGTTTTTCTAAAATGTTCTGTTTATTTGATTATTCTTGAATTACAATGATTAATTATGGCCTTACATTACCCTTTTTTAACAGTTCCTTTTTAAACGCTTAATACATTAAAGCATCGACGTGTTATAAGATCATATAAGATTTATTAGGTACAGTGCTTTTCTTACAACGAAAAAGTTAGATTTTTGCGTTATATAATTTTACAATAATGAAACACTATGTTCTCTCATTCAGTAATATGTCTACTTCCAGACTAAAGTATCGCACACTTACGAGATGTACGTATACACAATACACACTATTCCATGACTGATATAAGCCTTCAATCACCTGTCGTAAAAAAGTCCAGAAAAAATCTACGATGTCGATGTGGTTACGTGGTATGATAGAGTGTCATCTGCAGTGTGTATCAGACGATATAGTGACGTCAATATATATGACAAACGTTACTTCACCACCTGGTGGGTTAGATAGGTCAAGACGATTCTTAGACCACTCATAGTATATATCGTAACAGGACATCACCAGGTTCGACTTATCACTATACACGGCAATATAATAGAATATGTAATTGACTTATTGCTGTATATACTGTTACAACCAGTCCAGAACTATTCCAGGAGAGTATCCTGTGGGAGGTCAGGGCTATATCTATTGAATGTCCACGTTAGTAATTACATACCTTATGATAGGTGATAACTACGTATCTTTGACTATGACAGCTATTGTGTATGTTGTGGTATGTTAGGACTGTGACTTAAACCAGTCCTTGAGTATCTTGTGGTAGGTCAGGTTATATGACTTTACCAGTTATTGTATATATTGTGGTAGGTCAGGTTATATGACTTTACCAGTTATTGTATATAGTGTGGAAGGTCAGGTTATATGACTTTACCAGTTATTGTATATATTGTGGAAGGTCAGGTTATATGACTTCACAATCTTTGAATATATTGTGGTGGTATATCATCTTTTTTACTTTACCAGTCTTTGATTTATTGTGGTAGGTTGTTATTTTGACTTAATTAGTCACCGGCTACATTGTGGTAGGTCAGGTTATATGACTTAACCAGTCATTGTATATATTGTGGTAGGTCAGGTTATATGACTATAACAGTTATTGTATATACTGTTTTAGGTCAGGTTATATGACTTTACCAGTTATTGTATACATGTGGTAGGTCAGTTTATATGACTTTACCAGTCTGTATACATGTGGTAGGTCAGGTTATATGACTTTACCAGTTATTGTATATATCGTGGTAGGTCAGGGTTTTATGACTTTACCAATTATTGTACACATGTGGTAGGTCAGGTTATATGACTTTACCGGTTATTGTATATATCGTGGTAGGTCAGGTTATATGACTTTACCAGTTATTGTATATATCGTGGTAGGTCAGGGTTATATGACTTTACCAATTATTGTACTCATGTGGTAGGTCAGGTTATATGACTTTACCGGTTATTGTATATATTGTGGTAGGTTATTGTATATATCGTGGTAGGTCAGGGTTATATGACTTTACCAATTATTGTACTCATGTGGTAGGTCAGGTTATATGACTTTACCAGTTATTGTATATATTGTGATAGGTCAGGTTTATTCACTAACTTCAACTATAATATGTTTGTACTCAATGTTACACTGTCATACGACATTGTAGAAAACTGCACATTTAGTAAACCACAAGCTCAGTGGAAAACCCCACTTGAGCAATGTCGTATTACATCATGCATTACAAGTAACTGAACCAAATAAGATTAATGACAGCACGTTTAAAACATTCGTTATACCACTGTCGTAAAAACAACTATCAACACTATCTCATTCTTTTTAACTAAAAAATAACAAATCATTTTGTGAAGAATGCCTATTTGTCGTTTGAGTTTAAGCAAAAAAGGAAAGTCAATGGTAGAACTTACGGGCAAAAGCCGACATTTATAAACTGCTTCTCTTCTTCAAGGTTGATGACCGAGTACGTCGTGTTGTTTATAGTAACGTTTTCATAGACCACATGTAGTTTCTCCCTGTAAATATCAAATAATTGAAATAATCGGAGTTAACGGAACATTCACATCCTAATGTAGTATAACTATAACATATATATACTGTGTCAAAGTAAAAAACAACTAGCTGCACCTTCACGAGAATGTTCACATCTTTATACATTATCATAATGAGCGACGAAAACTTTTAACAAATGTGTACTGCTATCCATATATTCTCTCCCTGTAGTGTATAATAGGATTATACAAATACTAACAGGTACAAACATCAAGTTCATTGTACAGCAGGAGTTTGATATGAAGGTTGATGTTTTTTTGATATGCTCATACGACATGACATTTTTTGGATTCGACCGTTTACCCTTCTGGAACACATGATCTAATTATTCTTGTTCTTTTTCAAAGATTTCGACTTTTGTTTGTCATATTTCACTCTAGTTTTATTAATTTGATAATAATTGTTCGCGTGATACTTGATTAACAAAAATAAACAATAGCTTACTACATTACGCTTTCATGATTATGCATGCACGCGGAACACATTAATTAACAAGTGCCATTTTGTATTGGATATAATTATATATAGCCCTATTTCTGGGATACTGGGCCCGTATTCATGAAACCGTTCTCATTATCAAGCATGGATTCTGTGCTCAAGCCAGCTTTCTTGTAACTCGCCTAAATCATGTCAACGATCAAAATGTCAATTGTAGATATTGCAAACAGTATTCGGCTTCAAGCCTCTTCAATTTTTATCACTTTGACAAAATAAAATTTTAAAATAATTTATAACCAGAACCAGAATTTAGGCTTGAGCACAAAATCCATTCTTGAGCATGAGAACGGTTTCATGAATACGGGCCCTGGTGTCAAAGAAGTAATTCTAGTACTCACGTATCACAGCAGGTCGGCTCACACCTAAAGGCTCTTGGGTCCATCGGCCGAGCCGCCTGTCCAGAACTAGCCTGCGGAAGGGGTTGTATGCTATTGAACTGATTTCTAGATGAAGACAGTATATTGGAATCTGTGTTGCGTTGTATGTTAGTGTCTAGTATTTGACTGTTGGGGAACGCCGATCGTTGCACCTCAACTGTGTTACCGTCAAGTCGAAGCGCCTCACTATCGGATAATGTACTGGTGTCCCGAATTTTGCTGGTGGGGTTGAATTCCCATTGTTCGTCTCTACGCCTCTGTAGCCTCCGGTGTCTCCGCTCCCTGTCAGAGTCGCGGATACTCCTCTCTGACATAAACCTGCCTGGGAACAGCTTTGTAATCTCCGGCAGCATCGTGTTAATTCCATACTGTTTATCACAGAATCCGTATTGCCTCTGATTGCGACCCTGAGGAAAACGTTCTATGACCCAACGGGGCAGGTAATCCATATTGTTCTTCACCCTGAGATTCTGCAGGTTCTGTGGGGAAAGTTTGACATTGTTTGTAAGACGCGGGATGTACGTATGTGAGTGGCCATGGTGGTAAATGGTCTCTGTGGCTGGTCTATAGTTAAATTGGCGTCTGAGAAGCGGGTGTCGGAAACCGCCCCTAGCAGCATGCTGTTGTCGTCGCAGATCGGTGTTCAGCCTAGGGCGTTGCACCGGGGCAGTTAGGTTTACCTCCGAGACCAAAACTGACAGTAACCATACGATGCAAAAACTTACCGAGATGTTCATTCTGGGTTGAAATATATTTCTGAAAAAAAAAGAAAAAAAATGTCATCTAAAATAAATATATGATAGAAATAAATTAACTAGTACGTCAGAACATCACGAAAAAATCGAAAGAGAATTCGAAAGGACAAATCATCGCACAGAAAATAGGTAGTTAATTGTGTTGACCATTCAGTATTTTGCTTTCAGATTAATGAATTGAAAACAATTTGGTTGAAACACTTAAAGCACCACGTTCCGATACCTTACTCGAAACGTCACGATAAACGTTAACGCAACTTAAGATATTACTTTTTATATATAATAGTAAGTTTAATACTCGTCGTTATTTTACCTATTCTTTTGGAAGTCAAACAAAATTCAGTCTTAAATGAAAATGCTTCCGTATTTATACGTTCTGGGACATAATGTATACTACATTGAAACGCCAACGTGCAATGACAGGCAATATTTTCCAGAACAAGCATTACTATTTATAAAAAATTATGATAAATACACACATTCAAACGCCAACGTTCTATGACAAATCCCATCACCAACTCACCTGAAGTATCACAGTCAAATTAACAAATTGTGTGTGTTCCTAACCGCAAACTAACGTTTTATCTTATCCCAACATCACAACACACTACCGGGAGATATATGTACCTTGTAGGTATATTAGGACCGTCCTACGTAAGGTGGTATATAAAAACATCCCGTCAGTGGTTGAATTTGTACCAGCGTCACAGACTGATTGACAGTGTAAGGATGTTGGGCCAATGTACGGCCACCGTTCATATCCTCTACATTTGTACGTCGGCAGTGTTGACACTGCGAACTAATGGGCGGTGACGGAGGATGACGACAGGAATTCACTTTTATAATGCTACATTGATTGATGACAAGCTCCTGATTGTTTTAATAATTGTGTTTGTAAGAGTTTCTTGATTGACTCAGATATATGTTTTAAATGAAATAATTGTATGTGTGTAACATGTCTAACGTACTGTTTAAAATGTACAATCGTTGTATTATGTATACCATTGTGAGTCAACGCTGACATCAGAGGATGAAAGCAACAGAATCAAGAAAACAAAACAACTAGAAAATCATCGGAAGCGAATTGTGCAAACTTTATAAACCAGGGTTCATCGAGTTCGCAGCGCGTTTCTAAATATTTGTGTAATTTTTTTTACTCCTCTCTTAAAAATAAAAATTGATATAATGGAGAAACATTGAAAAGTAGATACTTATTTGGATGTTGCTGATTATCAAACATGTCTTCGTAATTGTGAAATCGTGGCCGTTGGTAGGATTCTTTTTGAAATGATAAGGGTTCCGTCGTATTTGGAACAAGCTAGATTTAGTTATGTTTGGATTGGTTAAAGACCCGTAATGTTTAGGATGGCTTGATCTACGTTATGTACGGAATGGCTAGTTACCGTTCTATTTGGTAAAGCTAGAGTCACGTGTTGATGGGAGAAGTTGGGACGCCTCGGCAGGTTTGAAGTGACATGAGTCCCGTTTATTTACGGAAAAGAGTCATGTTCGAAGTGATTGGAAACCAGAAACGATTAACATGGCTGGAATCCCTTCGTGTACGACATGGCTAGAGTATATCACCGTCGTTTATTTAATGACAGGAGTCCCGTCCTATTTTGCATGGCTTTATAGCAAATGTGCAATGGCACATTGGTGACCATAGTATGTTTAACGCATCCTCTTGCCAAAATATGAAATAAGAAAAATATGAAAACGTAAACAAGTCGGACAGTAGAAGACATAGTTTATTCCTACCGTCTGCTTGACAATTTTGCCCCCTATCACAACAACTTGTCAACCAGCAACTCAATCATTCTGACAAATTCATTCTACAAATATTTCATTTCGGCATTTGTTGTGCTTTTCACAAATTATGCTCCAAAATAGTTTACCATGATATATCAATATCACCTTTCTCGAGAAAGAAAACTAGCATAATAGGAGAACGAATGCGTCCCTAGTTTGATATGAGTTATGGTAGTGTTAAGTGTTCAAGTCCATATTTTCTGGCTTTTGTCAGAAGGACCATTTTGAAAGGAAATTATGCTCAAAGTTCTCAGTCCGTGACTTCAACTTCCGGAGTTTACAGCGTCACAATATGACTGTAACCTTGATTTAATGCTACTGAACGGTAGTAAGATGCTCGGATAGTAGCTGGGATAAACAACTAGTAGAGCCAGCGAGTAAACGTTTAGTATATCGAAAAACCGAGACAGATCCGTATTCTAACCAATAATGGGTTTTAAGGAAAAATCATAATTCAAAAGCCTGATCTATTATGGATACGGTTTGGCGTCGTCTCCCTTTTTACCATTTTGATTTTGGCTTCATTGCAAAAAGTTCACCCATGGCCAGGATTTAACAAAGTCCTTCAAGCGTTTGTTGTCATTCCCTGATAAACGTTCATCATCTAAGGAAAGATGACAAATATTCTTATATGATGGCCCTAGGGTCTGACCCCACCCTTGGAGACTTAGTTCCTGGATCGTAACTTTGAAACGGTTGAGATCTCCACCCCAAAACTATATATACAATCGCTGGACATAAAGAGACAAATACAATCATGATATTAGCATTGACATTTGCATCTCCAAGATATTCAGGTGAGCGATACAGGCCCTCTGGCCTCTTGTTTAGTGAGTTACTGTAGTTTTCTTAAGCCATATCAGATTCCCGCTATCACAAGGAGACAGATATATTAACAAACCGCCTGCAGCAGGTACACCACTCAATTACCTCAGGTGTTCATAGAACGTTTAACCCTATTAGCCTTATCCGTATGTTTGGAATAACTTGAGCCCGTCGTTAGTAACATTAAATTGTTGTTGATTTGTTTGCTGTCTTCTCTGTTTAGTAATTCATTTAAATAAATCACCGTTTACTCGACTTTTTATTCTGTCTTGATAGCTTGATATAAACTGTTATCTTATGAACTAGTAGTCATGGTTCGCTATTATTTAGGCTTGTGTCTATATAAGAAAACACAGTTATTTTTATGTTTTTTTTAACAGCCTTCAAACTTCATTGTATACTAATCGTTTAGTACCTACACATTCTTTGGATTAGATCTGAGACATCATGGAGGATTCCATATGTGGTAAAAGAATAATAGAATATCTCACCCCCTGGCGGGTCTCAACCCGAGGGGGGAAATTCTTAAGTTGCCAAACACGAGGCTTTGCCGAATCTTTTTCCGGTGGGGTGAGATTCCCCTATCTCACCCACAAGGGGGTGAATAATTCTTTTTTTTCTTACCCTGTTCTCCCATTGTGTATCATATACACAATGTAAAGTTAACGTCTCAGGCTAAATTCAGGGGAATCCCCTCGTCTCAACCCTAGGGTGAGACAAGGAAATACCACACCGGTAAAAGTGCGGATACACCTGTCCAGGGTAAGAGAAACGCCTTTCCCCAAAAGATATTCAATATGTTGTCTCCGTTCTTCGTGTTCATTTACAAGTGTTGTGTTTTTGCATCTATTATCGTTTAAATTAAAAGTTTGTTGTGGTTTTCTTAAATGTGTGATCTATTATTATTATTGTTATTTTTTACAGTTTGGTCCTAATTAATCCCAATACAAATAAAATGTATTTATAGCCACCATCTGGTCACTCCAATTTTAAGAATAGAATAAACTGATGACTAATTCAATAAAACCTTGTCATGCCTATGATAATGAGTTATTGCGTGTCTTTGCAGAGGTCTGTCTGGCATGTTACATACACGGGTTTTTTTATAACAAAGGCCACTTCTACAATCTAGAAAATCCATTATGTCTCTGTCATAAATGTGTTTCCCATCTAATGAAACAAATGACCTACACTGTCATGATGCTATTTTTGGCTGCGGTATATGATCTACAACAGGAATTGGCACGTTTCAGTGGGACATCCGGATCATAATATAAACTGACAAAGTTCGTCATATTTTTACTTGATGAATGCTAAGACGTAACGGTCCCAGCGAAATCATGTATTTCTTGTGCCTTTTCTCTTTTTGTTCTTTTTTTTCTGCAAAGCTGACGATAGATGACAGTAAATTATACAAAGAATTGGAAAAGTGACAAAGAAAAACTTCCTTGCATAAATAGGTCATTCTGGTGGAGAACAATTTGGTCAGTTGTTTTGTTAATTATTCCATATATATCTGTCTACTCTCAAAGCTTTATGAAACACATGATATATGTATCTGGTTTCACATTAAAGACCCGGTTAAGGTCAACATTTAACGATTGAAGTTGAAGTTTGAGACCTCTGCATTTTCTCAAACTTCAGGAATTAACTTACGTGGTTTATCTCATGATCATAGTCTTTCTTCTTATCGCTTATATTTTCTGTTTTCTAGATAAAATACAGAGACAATACAAATTAGTACAAAAGTTCTAAACGCACTCAAATTTTAGCATATTTTCGAATTTTAATAGATTAGCGCATTTATGAATTGGCGCACCACGAAAATATGGAATAGAAAACAACATGCAAGAACTTTTATCGGTACGTTCATAAATTAAGCGCGAAATGCACCTAAATATGTACATTGTATTTTAACAGTATTGCTTCTCTGTTTGAAGACACTCGCCCACATACCGATGTCATACAACATAGATGTGTTGTGAAGTTTGTCGGGTAATTAGGAAAAACCAATTAAGGTGTAACATTCCTCTGCATTGCCATATGCGTACATCCTTGATACTAATGTAAAACAATGCGGACATTCACGTATGTACAATGCACATTGTGTGATTGAAATTTCCATCGTTTCATTATTGGTACTCGGTTTCTGCATTAAGTCAAACCCAATATTGCAATGTGTAAATCAGACAAATGATTCCAACACGTAAACACTCAAAGACAAAGTATACCAAAGCACCAACATGCAAGGACAAATACTATTAAAGCGTCAATACCATCAACACACAAAGACTAACTAAGGGTGGTCGGGTGGCGCAATGTATAGCGCACTTGCCTTTTACCAAGGCGGCCGGGGTCCGATTCCCCGATCGGGCGTGAAAGGTATGGGTCACCTGGCCGACAACGTGTGTTTTCCCCGGGTTATCCGGTTTCCTCCCACAATAAGACACCTGCACACTGACATCCGGGTCAACAATAGTGATTAATATAAGTTGAAAGAAATTGTTTCATAATTGTTGTAAAATAAAGTTTATATTATTTTGAAGAATTAACGCAAAAACAGACCATGGCGTTAATTAACATTATACATATTTACGACGTCGTTAGCTAACCCAAAACGGAACAGTAATACCGTCAACATAAAACAGACAAAACCGGAACAGTAATACCGTCAACATAAAAAAGACAAAACCGGAACATCATGTTGATTTCTCATTGCGAAATGAAAAAACCAGGAACCGAAGGGAGAGTGAAGGAAAATGTTAGCCATCGGAAACTCCACAAAAACAATCGGAGAGGCTATCAGTTAATGCGAGTTGACGTACCGAATGTAACACTCTTCATGACGACCGTTGACAAAACGAGGAAAGTAAAGAAGCTGCAACGCAAACGGAAACTTAGGTAATGCATGAACTAAGTCACCTGCATTTGTCTTAATGAAGACAAATAAGAGAATTTTATAGAAAGAACAGAAAATGACATACATGTAACAAATAACTGTAGTCTATACCTACTTACATAAATTACCAGTACAAATGCCCTTTCACAAGATTTTGAAAAAACCCATTAATCCTCTGGAAAAATCCCCCGTCTTTCCAAAAACTACATTACACATCAAAAAAATAAATACATTTGTCATAACAATAGATGAAGGGGAACCCCCAGCAATGTTATGGTCGTGTCCTATAGGGGAAGGGAGGTAAACAAAGAAAACTTCACTATTTCTAAACATTTTCTTCAGGTTGCATTGGTAAGTATGGATTATGAAAAGTTCTTTTTTACACAGCCAATAAAATTGTCTATGTGACGTTTCGATGACCAGTACGATATGTACACTATCACCTTCAACAAACAAATGACCAGTGAAGCGTATGCACACAAAGGTGTAAAATGTGTACGAGTTGTCCACAAAATCGTTGTCGATTTCGGCTACGCTGTAAGCGTATGTACAATAGTTTTTTTTATATATGTACCTACAAGAAAACTTCACATACTCTGACTTACCATGCAATATCACATTAATTTTATGATAAAAAAAAATAAACTATAACTTCAAAATTTACCATAACTTGGAAATAAATCACTGGACCTAACATATAGCAAGATATTAGAAATAGTATTCAAAGATAGAAATATTATTGTATAAAAGACAGGCAAACACGAAATTGAACTGATATGCTAACTGTCAGCAATGCTTTTAAATATAAAAAGACAACCAAATATTAGATATAATATGTCAAAACCGATATAGGAGACACAAAACACCTCATTTTATCGTTGTTAACTGTCAATAACAACGTTAAGTAAGACAACGAGACGACTATGAGTTGCAGCCTTGTTAGGTGTTAATCATGATAATAGAAGTAGTGAGATACCATACATAAGGCTACTCCTTCCCTTGCCAAAAACTGTAATTATGCATTAGATTCTTTTTTTTCCGGTTACATTATAGTTTTGATAAATCTTATCTGGAAACAGTAAATACATTGCTGGAGAAAAAAGATAAGAAATTAAAAATTAATTTTAAAAAAGAAAGTGCGACAAAAATGGATCAGGCCAGGATTTGAACTACATTGTATATACTTCGGATCATTAGAGTGTCGCTCTAACAAACTGAGCTCCTATAAACTTTATTTTGTTTTACAACAATTATGAAACAAGTTATTTCAACTTATATTAATCACTCTTGTTGGCCTGGATGTTAGCGCGTGGGGGTCTTAGTGGGGGAAGGAAACCAGAGTACCCGGAGAAAACCCACGCGATCGGGCAGGTGACCCCAACCTTTTCACGTCCGATCGGGGAATCGAACCCCGGCCGCCTTGGAGAAAGGCAAGTGCGCTATCCACTGCACCACCTGACCATAAAACTGTGTTGCGTGGTCAACACTAGTGCCCTGCCCCAATCGCAGTACAGTTATATGTAAATGTATAAAACATAATGTCCAATCTACATGTATGTCCAAGTTAAGTGATGATAGATGACCTACAACATTTTTTGGTCCCAAATTCTATGAAATGAATAAATATCAAGTTGGTGTTTGATTAACCAGTGCAAGTACTAGCTGTTGAACACCGAAGGCTGAGACAGTGTTTTTTGCAATTTTCGTAAAATATATATATATTTTTTAAAGAGATTTATAAGTACATTAACTTCATTACTATTAATTAATTAATTAATCAATCTATAAATAGTTAATAATAAACATTGATTTCATCAATACTTATTAATATCAAATAGCATTAACAATTATAAATAGTTAATAACAACAGTAACAATCACAAAAGAGCCGTGTTTGTTGACACAACAGTACTTAAAATATTACTTGTTGACTGATATACATTATATATGGAGGCCAATACATAAAAACACAACTTAAGTCAAGGTAGCCCTAATCTAGTCAATGGTCAGTCTGGAAGTGTCTAACCAGCGACTGAGAAGTTGTTTGTGCATGTGTTTATACTGAAATCGATCAATAGTTTCATTAAGCTTTACATTCAATGTTTCTTTCTGTGTTGGTTTTTAACTGTTTGCGTGTATTCCAAGTTTGTATGTGTTGGAGTCTTGTTCAGTTGCTAGCATTGTTGAAATATCCAACTGTTTGTTAATAACAGTGACCATTCATATCGATCATTGGAAAACCGTTGTAGTGATGCATAGAACAGAACTAATGCCTAGCTGTTGGATAGGGAAATATACAACTACTAAACATAATGGATGATATCACTGAAACGTTTAAAGCTTTGACGAGTGTTACCTTAAAAGTGCTATAAACGGAACACACGAACTTTAATAATCAATTGTCATTACTGCCTGTGGTGAACCTTTCTGCACACACTTTGTTTTCTTACTGCTTTTTATACATCGATCAACTTAAGTACATTTGCAGACAGCATTCGGCATTTAGGAAGTAGCGAGGTAACACTGATACACCTTATCACAACTTACTATACAGATCGATTCGAAAATTTCCTTCTGCCAGTTCATCTCATAAAATTATAATTTATGTTCTGTGTATGGTTTGAGGTCATTAAAACATATCATTGATCACCAGGAAAGCAGTATAATCTAATAAAATTAATAGAAACTAGACATTATTTAGGAACGATGATATGGACGTTGCGCGCAATTCGTTTTCTCCAAGCATCACATTTGTATATCTAGAATTCGCTATGAGATGATACCAAAATAAAACAAAAATATTGTTGCTAATTAAACAACATCAGAAATAGTTACTGAAAACGCACAATATAATACTCATTACATCCGATTTTGAAACTTCATTACCCTGGGCGTGGGTCCCGTTAACAACGTGTTTCGACATGAAAACACGCAGACGGCATTACAGTGTCATGTTACAGATGAAATATAATTCCTGTGACATAAACATAACTTGCAGATAAGATCTTTAAAATGATTGTGATCGTAATAACTATGTATTTCCAAATTTACTTCCGTTATGTGTCAAAGGGTACAGTACTTACATCAAATTACGCTTGAGAAATTGATGTTTCTTTATAAATTTATAAAGATTAGCCAACTTTAACCCATGTCTGTTATCTTATTTTCCAACTGGCCCCTTAAGGTGTTTTTTCCAATAACAAAATCTACACCAAACACCTTCATTACTACTTTTTACCTGGCACGTTCTTAAATAGCTATAGCTGGTAATAGGCCGTAAAATGCAAGCAAACCAAACCAATACATTATTGAAAATATCGATATAAAGACAATATACTGAGAGGGTGGTTGTCATAAATATGTGGTAAATCATTATTCGTTGACAGTGTTCTACTTTTCCAGGTACTTCATCAAGTAGGGTATATACCACTGCATTATTTATATGACAAACCATGTCTAACGTAATATGACTAAGAAGCCGGTTACTATAAATCGTTGTCTACCGACATAATTTGCTTTGTAAACATGGGATGATTTTATATTGCTCTTTTGATTTTCTTCTTTTAGATATTTGTCCTTAGATGCTTCAATTGCGAGCCATGTAAATAGGTGACGAAAGTAAGAAGCAGTGTGTCACAAGATCTATGGCCTATTGCAGTGATTGACATATCCGCCGGCCTACATTGTAAGAAAACCATCAATCGCATAGATGAATGGACAATGATTGGTCAATCATTTTTTTCTTAATATGTCGATCTACTTACATTGCTGTAAAACCATGTCCACTTCCATCCACTAAACACTTGTCTTCTTGTGTACATTGTTCAAACAAGTGGTAAAACACTACTAGATTCATCGGACAGCAACGCCTCCTGGCGACAGTGTTATTGTAACACAACATTTAAGTATAAAACGTTCATTACCATTTGTGACCGATTATAAGACAAACACATGCACACAATTGATATGATTCGCTTTATGCATATGTCAGCCAAGGCGTATAATTTACCGCAATCTATCATTTTGGAAAGGTGTAATCTTTGTCGTCGGGTACTGTATCATATTGCTAGTTTCTTATCAAAACAAACGGCGCCTACATATAGAATCTTTCAAATTAAATAAAAATGTATGAACAATTCATTTTATTATATTTAATTTTCAAGATACACATGTTTATAAATAAGTGTTAATACATAAAAAATGTATTCCGATGTGTTATTCACATGTAACATAAAAATGAAAAAATCAATGACGGACTGTATTTCTAATAACATTTTTACAGAGGCTAGCATAAGCTTTCTTCTCTAGTACCTAGTGGTAGACTTACAAAAGCGCTAATTATAAACAAACGTTTGCTCCATGGATATGAAATTTGAAATGGATAGCCGTGTAATGTTTCGGTCTATTTCTATTGATGCTGAGTTGGTCTTGATACAGTCACCACAAGCTACTTTGTAGGTCATTAACTTTGTGTCAAGTCCGACACAATTTATCATCCATTAAAATCGTCCAAAGCAAAATTTAATCCTTGATGCAAGAATAAAGAAGGTCACAATTACACTGTTACTTTTGTGTACCCTTATAAAAGTCCTTTTACAACCAATTAGAATATTACCTCCCACAGATCATTATGTCAATGTAACAAGGGGAGTAACTCTAATCATTTTGGCCATCAAAGACATACACAAATTTCCACCATTGGCCATTTCTTTTTTGAGAAATAAGGTCATTCTAGGCAACGCCATAGTGATGCTTGAATATTGCTGGAAGCAGAAATAAACACTTTTATAATAAGAATTCACTCATCTTCATTAAGAAAGTGTAATATTTATATCACAGATATGCATCAGTATTATTACTCTATTACTCTGCAAATACCGTGCATGGTTATATTTAGTTTTTTTGCGTGTGCCACAAATCGCACAAACATTAATTAGACATTTTAAAGAACCATTATTATCAAAAAGTGTGTTTACGAAATGTTATAACTTACATGTGACAAAGTCTGGGTTAATCAATATAACTGGTTCATTTAAATGTCATGAATAGATCTGGTAGGACATGTGACAGACAAACATCCTTTTCTTCCTTCTTTGACAAGGTGCACCAACTATCTTATATAATTATAAACTCTGTTAATTGCATTGTTTCCTTACTTCGACAGGATTTCTCTATTTCTTGAAGTATTTTGAAATATAATGGAGGACATGTTTGGCAGCAACATCGGGTTATTTGTTTCTAACTACTCGCATTAATCGGAACACAAAATCGTCATTGACAATGCACTCACCAATACTATTGTACTTTTTGGCACCAACAAGAGGTCAGGTTTTCATGGAGTGACTGTCAGGACTGAACAAAATGAATCTTATTTCCTTATTATCAGATAACCGCCAGAAGGAGGTAATATCGCTGGCGACACAACCAGGTGACAAAGCGAAAGCTAAAATGTCGTCGGAAATACAATAGCTTAACGATCCCTTTCCCCATTGTACTGTGTTGTTTCAAATATACTGTAGCCTCCCCTCCATTTCCTTTTTCGGTATAACTGTAGCGTAGTTGTGTCAGGACACTTTCGTTGACTAGGAACGTGTAGCTTAGTCGGTTAGAGCGATAGTTTAACGATATAGAGTCATGGGATCGAATCCTGGTCTTGCCCCAATGAATATGGGATTTTATTTCGTCTTTAAGCTTTTTTCATAAAAGTCCCCCAAGGTATGGTTTTCTTTTCAGTATTATTTTTCAAGGCTATAGTCATGCTGGAAAACAGCGGGCACAGTTTGTTCCTAAAGGAATGCCTACCGTCGGCTGAAAAATCTTGCCACCGAACAACTCAACCATTTTAACAATATCGTCCTCAGTATACTAAAGTATGTCGTTTGGGCCTTTATTTTATTTTTCACAAGGGATTATCCAACATAATTTTACAACCATGGATTTATGTTTTGATAAAAGATTTTTCGGAAGATGTTCGAGAAGATCAAAAGATGTTTTTAAGGCATAGCTTCACATATTTCAAAAAAGGAAAGTATTATAATATGGATGTTTTAGTTGAAAATATACCCTTGCTATTTGTAATTTTGTAATTTGTTGTTGTAACGGTTGGTTTGGAAGGAATACATAACGAAACGTCTGCTACTAGCTTTAATAGTTTAATGCCGACTGGTGTGAAGTTATTTATTTGTTTGGGATTAATTGTATATTCTTTGTTGCAGTTAATGGTGCTGAAGCCTGTAAATGATCCAAATCGCAATAAAAGGGTTTCACATGACGTCACATGCCGTAATAAGTAAACAAGAGAAATATATATTTATTATAAAACACTTACATCATGTATAGCTCTCTGTGAATATTTATATAGACAGCATATGTTTAAACATGAATACTTGAAGAAATTGTGATATGCGGCACATAAAGACGATTATATTATCTTCAGTTATGTTTTAAACAATAGTTCCTTTTTCTTGTTGAAATATACATAATTGGCATGATAGGGTGATGTGAGACTCGCATACTGATCTTATAAAATTGGTAATAGATGCAGTATGCCAACAATGTTTAACACTGCTCCATATTTCAACATAATTCTTGTACATTGAAAATAATTTTCATACGGACTAACAATCTCATATGCTTTCTATGATCTATTTGCAACCTAGATCCTTCTCCAAAAACCAATATACATATATGTATATATATCTGCGGTATTCTCTATAAAACCAGCACTGTGTTCTAGATTTGATTTACTGCCAGTTCGTTTAATATAATGCTGGTTTGATTAGTTTATTAGGTGTGAAATGAACATACATACACAGGACAATGTATATCTTAACCATTTGTCAGCAGTCTATTTATAATTGTATATTTAGTGGTGATCCATCATTGTCGTGGAATATGGCCTACATTTGTATCATGGATCCAATAAAACACGTAGACTGATTAACTCATCAGTCAAAACTAGCAGTTTACAATCATTACTAGTATCTGACCAAGGATGTTAATAAGCACAGGTGTTTTTTAATACTAATAGTAAGATTTAATATATAACATGATTTCATTGTAATTTACAATCTTACATATCCAGGCCATTAAAACATATATATTGGTTATTTGAAAAAGTCTATATATTTAATTACTTATCTATTTCTTAGTGTATATTTACTAAACTTCCTTGTCTGCTTCATACACACATGAATAATGATAATAATATACAACATATATAGCGCCCTATATCATTTGTAAAATTTCTCTAAAGCGCTTTACAACTTTTGGATAATAGTATTAGTTATAATTGTGAAACAAAAACAAAGACTTACAATCACTTTGATACATTTGAGCAAGCAGATACTCATCGCAATGTGCACATAAATGAACAAATAAAGGGTGGTATTTACATGAGGTCTTTGCAAAGAACCAAAACGCAGACGTGAAGAGGTGAGTTTTGATGTCCCTCTTGAATTTGGCCAGGGTATTTGACTTTCTAATAGCAGATGGTAAGCTATCCAACAACGTGGCCGAAACCCTCTCAAAGCACCGGTTTCCATAGATCACAGAACGATATTTTGGGACACACAACAATGATTCTGACTCCGACTGCAGTGATAGTGACAGCTGATACAGGGTAACAAGCTCCTGTAGATACTGAGGAGCCTGTTCCATTCAGTGCCTGGTATGTGTACACCAACATTTTGTACTACGACCTGTATCGTTCAGGTAACCAGTGCAATGAATATAGCACAGGTGTGATGTGCTCTTTCATTCGAGTAAGAGTAACCAGCCGTGCTGCAGTGTTCTGGACCCTCTGCAGACGACTAGTTAGTTTGTCAGATATACCACAGAGCAGGGCGTTACCATAATCTAACCGAGAGGTAACAAGTGAATGCACCAAAATATTCAAGCATCTGCAGTTAGAAACTGCCGAATACCGCCGATGTTCCTGATCTGGTAATAACAGGATTTGGCAATAGCATTCACTTGTTTCTCCATGTTCAGTGAACTATCAAAGAATACACCTAGGTTTTTAACAGCTGGGACAGTCTCAATAGTTCTGGTACCGACCTTGAGCTGGAGAGCCATTGTTTGCTGTCACTATAGTTCCGTCATTTCCTGAATAAGCTTTAGCATGTTGGCGTTCATCCAGGTACTGATATCTGTCAGACAAGCTTCCAGATTTTCTGAAATTGTATCCCAACTGTCCTGTGGTTTGATGACCAAGTACATTTGTATGTCATCAGCATAGCAATGAAAGCGAAGGTCCTAACACCGACCCTTGAGGAACCCCGCAATCTAGTACTTTGTCATTTCAGGTGGTAGAACCGACTGTAACACACAGTCGGCGTTCACTCAGATAAGACTATGTCCAGCGTAGTGCGGTATCAGTCACTCCATAAGAGTATTCCAGACTTTTATAATACAGACGCACAAGAGTAAAGAAATATAGTAGCACACCTTACAATCAGGATTTTCTAAATCATATTTTGTTAATAACTAGCTAGTAACGCCCTCGATACATTAAATGAATACTTCTAAGATACCAGACATAACAAGAGGCTTAAACTAATTCTTGAAATATATTTGATTGAAAACACCATCAAATCATCAACATCCGGTCTTGTAGTAGTGGCATGGTTCATTATGTAACACTCAACATTATATTTAATTTGAAATAAACCAGTACTTCTTTTAATTTAAAAATTCTTTAATTAACGGATTTTACGCACCTTCCACCTTTGTTTCAACATTAGTGTGGAAAATTTGGATTTCCAACGTTTTTGCCCCCTAGAATCACCGATAATGCAAAGAAGGACGAATCTCATAGGTGCAGTCACCTGTTAGTGTGTTACGTTCCTCCTTTAGCATATCTACATAACAAATAGCTAGCTTAAATCAATAATATAGCGAAATAGGCGCAAACTGACCCTAAAAATATCCGCGTCATGGTGTTGGTAAACTATGCTTTCAAAATGAATAATTCAGTAATTTATTGAAAACAGAATTTGCTAGAAACCTAAAAGCATACCCCAACCTCCTCAAAAAAAATACAAATAAAAAATGAATAAAAAATAGATACAGTAAGATATCTGAAGTGTTTATGTGTTTGTTCCATCAATTCGGATGCTTTATATGTTTAACGACATCTTCAATAACTGATCATTAAAACACAATTACGCTTTGCCTCAACATTAATAAATGCACTAATACCTCCGGTGGTTACACATAGTCACGTCATTTGCCAATATATTTATAAATCTACCGTAAAATGATTCAACACTGCGAATGAATTGCTTCAATGAATTTCTGTCGACGTCATTGAAGATCATTCATTATTATGAACAAGTTAAATTTTTTGTGTAGGTGTACATGTGTGTGTGGATATTAATCAAGTTTTGGCAATAAACAATTGATTTTCAAATATATATATATATATAAATGATTGACTACACTATAGACGTAGGTGGTTATTTGTCAACCTTAATTACCATAATTTACTATTGAATTATCTTGTTATTGGTTTTCTTTCACTAAGAAACGAAACATTTCCAGAAATATTCCGGAACTATAACTAACTATATTTTCTATTATGTATTCTTATCATTATCTCATATATTTCATTTGGCAGGTTCACATGACCGACATACAGGGTAAGTGTAAATATGTTGACAACAGATGTAACATCCGTATGATACATAACAGAATCTCTGAATATGATTATATATTCCCTGTTTAGGTGTGGCATCTTAATATCAATCACAAACTGATAATTATATATTGTATTTTTTATTTTAACATTTTAAGACATGTAATCACTAAATGCTGAATAAAAATGCAAAATAAAAGTACAAGTTAAATTATATATTAAGCAGGTTTTCAAAAGCAGTTTAATATTATTTTCAAATAAAAACACAATTTGTTTTATACATTTATGGTTCATGTAACCAGATCTTGATATAAGTACATGTAAAATATTGCTGTGTAAAGTTATGTTTAACTTCATATCGTAGAATGGTCTACACAAAATACTTATTTAAGTATACATTATATGTTGTAGCCTTAATTTGTAAACTGATAAATCATTACATTATAAAGGGACATTTTCCCTTTTTTACGTTAATCTACATTGTACATATATTGTGGAACACTTTAGACATAGAGTTTGGATTCTTGTGACCTTACGTCACACTTTTGTGTCTAAAATGGACGAGATAGGACAGTGAAACGGTTGATTTGTTTAGTTTTCTGCATCTAGGAAACACATTTTTTTCAATTTTACTGATATGTTATAGTTCTTTTTCTAACAATTCTAGCAAACCTCTTTTTAGTTAGTATACGCATCTGAACAAGTCTAAGAGAAACACCAAAATATTGACAGCGTAAAATGAATAAATCTTTGTTTTTTAAATTCTGATGAAAGCAATAAAGCAATGTTTCTAAAGCTGTAATTAATGATAAGACATAGATTGATGGCCAATACGACTCTTAGCCTGCCCTATATAGAGCTATTCACTGCTCGTTCATCATCTAGACATTACGTCAATGTTTCAGACAATGGGCTTTTTATTCTTATAATTACCTAGTCATTACAACTAATAGCTAAACAACTAATACCATAGACAATATAAAACGTAATGATCAATTACGTTTCATCATAGAAAGTATTTGATAATGTAGTGCTTAAGAGGACTTATTTCAGATTCATAAGCAAAAAGTGAAATTTAATATTGATAAGCCCTTTGAAGCAGCATAAATAAAACCGTTATTTGTTTATAGCTGATTTTGTCGTACTTGTGCCTATTTAATGTATATATATATATACTTTATCTCTTATATAGGGTATTCTACCAGAGAGGCATCGATATACACTGGAGGAAGTTTATGACTACACTGTATCACAATGACCTAAATCTTAACGCAATTTAAGATCTGTTAATGTGTCTTCGATCGTTGATCGATCGTTGATGACCTACACAGTGTACAATCTCTCTTAGATCCTTCTAGAGTTATGCTTACATTTCCGAAACACTATGCCTCACCCTCGGTTAACCTCTGAAGTTATGTAGGGATGAATGCTATTTTTCATATTTGTTTTGATGTCTTTATGATTATACCCTCGCAACGAAGTATAATTGAATCACTCTGTCTGTCTGTCTGTCTGTCTGTCTGTCTGTCTCTGTCTGTCTGTCTGTCTGTCTGTCTGTCGTCCGCAGTAACTTGTCCGCAAAACTGCTCTTTAATTAATTGGTGGATTTCATTGAAACTTTGCATGAATGATCAGTATCGTATGCAGCTGTGCACCAGTATTTTAATTTGGGATTTCGACCCTTTTTGATGGAGTTATGCCCCTTTTTGCGAAATACTTGTCCGTGCAACTCCTCCTTTATTAACAGGTGGATTTTATTGAAACCTTGCATCAATGATCGGTAACTTATGTTGTTGTGCACTGTCATTTTAGTTTGGGATTTCGACCCTTTTTGATGGCGTTTTCCCCTTTATGCGAAATACTTGTTTTTTTTTTTTGTTTTTTTTTTATTTTATTTTTTTAATAAAATAGTGATTACCATTACTGGTGGGAGACTATATTGATTTGCATGAGTAAGCCTTTAGCGTTCAGTTCTGGTTTATATAGGAGCGGGGGTATTAGTTAGCCTTTGGCGTACAGTTCTAGTTTTAGTGTTTAATGTAGACTTTGAGTAAGGATCTCTGCAAAGTGTTTTTCATAATTTATTTTATACCTTACCTTAATTCGTATAAACAAACCTATCCTGCATTTTTTTGATAATAGCGGAAAGTGTTTTTTGATATCTTATACATTTCTCCAAGCTTCGTTGTATTATAAATTGAAATTCGATAAATTTTAGCATTATTTTAGAACATTAATCATAAACTGCCAGACTGGTGCACATTTTATATACGCCCTTTAAAGTTTTGATGTAGCAAGCAACGTGTTGTTGAAAAAATAAACACGGAGAAAATGTAATTAAAAATTGTTTATTGACAGTGGTCACGACATCTCGACAAATTATGATTAAGATTTGGGTTGAGTCGTCGATTTCATATGCAATACGTGATATGAATACAATAAAAACTGAATTGTTTTGTATCAACCAGACGACTACATACATAATGAAAGTATACTTGCAAACGCAACAATACGGGACGCATTGACAAAAGAAAGTGAACAGAAACAACATGACTTTAAGTAAACAAAATAGACTAAAGACATATATGAATCTTAAGAGACAATATATTTTAACTTTTTGGCATTATTATAATCATTAAAAGACCAACAAATAGTGAAGGTTCAATGGTAGCAAAATTCTAGGGGGATTTATAGATAAATATATAAAATGGAAACCAGATATAAAGGATAGCAGGAACATTGAAATGTTCAGCTGATTTTTTTCAAACACTTAGAATATTAGATGTAATTTTAGCCGAAAGCCGAACATACTCATTAAACCCTACCAGATCGAATCACAACATCTGCACATATGTGACATTGACAAGTGACAATCATAATCAATACAACACATTGCCGATGACATGTTACATGATGCTCAAACATGAGCCAAGCTACGATGATGGTCACAACTATGTTGCGAGTGACAAAAATATGTATTGTAACAATATCGTGAAACATTCGGAGCTCGTTTTTGTTTCAGATCGTAAATTAAATCAGTGAACAAAAACCTATTTATTAGGTATTTAACTAAAAATGTAAAAGTTAAAATTTACTCCCTTCTTAAACTGATTGCAGCGTGGACATTTTCGGGTTTGCAATGATGTTTACATCTGTTTACTCTGCATATCTATATTTTCTATTAATTATACATAATTATTCGTGTGTAGATATTTTCGTGCTAATTTACTCACCGCAAAAGAATCCGCTTTTACGTTATATTACTTTTAAAGGATCGAACACTGCTTTGTAGTAAGACATTATCAGTTAACATCTATGCGAATATCATACATATATATATTTATAGCTTACATTGAACTCTTAACATAGTATGTGTACAAAGCATAAACATATATAGTTTTACGTAATAAATGGTAATATACATGGTATAATATTCGCGGGAGACATCGATATACATAAAACGTACATGTAATATGCATATCTTATCGGCGAGTGACATATATGCAGAGTGTAACAATAAGCAGTACTAAATTATAGTGATGTAATTTTTACCATACACGCTGCATACATATATGATTTCACAGCATAATAATAATACATTTTATAAAACAAATACGAAAAATTGGCATAGCACATATAATTTAATATTTTATCATAGAATAGTTGGTTGTAATAAAATATTACACAACATACAAGTTGGGACAAGTTTCATACAAACTTGGCTTAAACTAATGGAATTCGCAATTGCCTTATATTATAAGCGTCCTTACAACATCATATTAAGTATCCCGTACTTAAGTAATACAGAACCAGACAAACTTCCGTGTGAGTTGCAACGTAATAAATATTTGAACTACTATCACGCATTTTTACTTACAATGGATCCATTTAAAAATATTTAAAATAGGCAATATTATTCATTCTTCAAGAAGTATTCTTTACGATAGCCATCCTTTTAATGCATTAGTAGTTTTCCTCTGTGACACAAACAGAGATCTGTTGATATAAATCTCTCAGAATATGTCCGTAAGCATAGCCTGCTCCTTAATAAAAATCATTGCCTCGCGTTCAAATGTCACCGATAAATTCCCAGTACAACTACTGTCCCATCTGCAGATACCTAATTTGCACATTGTCAACAATTATGTATCAAATACATATTTTATCATATCACAATTTGATTTAAAGCATATAAAAGCAATACGCGTATGAGTATCTCACCACCGGCTAGTCCTGTTACACACGGTAGCCTATACTTCTACCAATAGGTGTGGGCTCACGTACCCTTGGAATAGTCATTTGACCACTAAGCTGCGTGCGTTGAATCTAATAAGCGTATATCTGCCCCGAAGGGCCTTTTTTTACGTCAATGGTTATCAAGTACGCAAAACTTCGACGTCAGTAAATCTGCATCCAGTCACGCATCACTGACGTCAGTGGTTAAGAATCGAAACACGCAATCCTTCCGACATCGGTAAATTTGTATTCAAGTACGCCATAACCCTTGACACCATTAAATATCAGCCCAAGCACGCTATACCCATGACGTCACTAATTGTTCATCAAAACGACAGTGCATTTTGCACTTAAGATGAGGATGTACTCCTTCCCACGTTGACACACTCACAGTGGGAGGGTACTTCGACCGGCAGGAACGTGACGGGCGGGTAATGGGGGAGGTTATCGTCCCATACTAACATCCAATGGTGACGATACATTTGTAAACACTGTCCTACTCCGCAGCTCACATTTGACCTACAAACCAACGGTTTACCATTAATCAAATAATAAGTCTACTTGTTTCCGCTTTTATGTTAATCTCTCTTTAAATTTAGTAGCCGAGTAAAAAGATTGAAATACAGTGTCGAAGGCCAAAATATAGAATTAGTTATAAGCCTTGCTTATATTACGATATTATTCAAACTAATTTTGCATATATTTCTAGTATATTTTTTCCCTGTTAAGATCCAAAACAGCATATATTAAACTGATATGATACTTACGCACACCGTCCAGTTGGCACAAACTGAAACGCATTTTTAAAGTGGACGACATTCAGCTGGAAACTGGAGCTTACGGTCGTATTGAATACCTCGTACGCATAATCTCTGGAAATAGATATGGCATGTCAAGGTTTACATTTCCACGTAATTTTGATATAATTAGTGATTCCGATCAATTAATTACATCATTGTGGTTCTGTGTAACTTGAAAAATAAAACAGTACTTATGTTTACAACACTGTGTTGCAAAACTCGATACCAAACATTTCATTTTCAGACTCTGTAAAATTTTTGGAATTGTTATTTCTTTCTTTCATATTATATTACATAGTTTTGTTAGACTATAATATAGTTATACATGATTCATGGCTCTGTTTTATCCGATTTGTACAGTATATTCTTCCTTTTCATACATGAGTATTACAATATTACATTATGTTCTTCCTTTACCAAAATATCCGAGAATAACATAATTGCGTTATATTATTACTTTACAAACACTTATATATATTCATTACATTATATTCTGACCTAACTTATAACTTACGTAAAACAGCAAGAGTTCTTGGAGTTAGGAACAGGACCGGGACGAGGCCTTATTCCATCTACGTAGGAGTTTAAACCATGACCTCTTACACCTTCCGGTTTTATGACCGGAAGTTGACGCAGGTCACGAGGGTTCATGAACAATCCCCGGTACATACTGAGTACACTGTCTCTAAAGCTTTTTCTAAACTGCCATTTAGACCAATTGCGACAGTGACACCCTAGCAGGTACCATCTTTGATGTTTTCCGTCCGCATGGATTAGGAACACAGTGAGGAGAAGCAGAAATTTGAGCAAACACTTAACACTTTTGTATGACACCAACATCTGGAACGAGAAGAAACAATAACTTATTGTGGATTGAAATCGCCACAAAGTCAACACACAGATACAATATCTAAACGAAAGTCTATTTGAAAGGTAGCACTGTAAACGAATGACGTAGCGTACAAAGTGACGATCCTCGTACAAAGGTAAAGTCGCCAATCTGTACTTGGAAGGATTTACAGTTTCTGCACCAGATGTAGAACCAATTAAGATGTTTAACATCAAATCAAGAAAGTAACAAGGCAGCAAAATGTTCCAACGTCATATGTTTTATATTAATATGATAATCTGATCAAGTGGCCTGTTAACTTTAACAATATGTCAGCATTCGGCTCAAATTGTGTAACTGCATTGTCGGCATCTTTTAATAGTTTATATTTTTGACTTTGAATATGATATCGTCAGCTCTAATGATTGTGAATTTCAAGCAATGTTAACTATTTATCATCCGTCCTTTCAACAGCAGCAACCTTCAGACGCCTGTGGTTATAAATATTAAAAGATGTAATTTGTTCTTGAATGTCTTGTTATACTTTGACAAAACTCTACCAATATATTTGACTGTGAAGTGAAAGCATCGGGAAATTATCTGCCTTTGTGGAAAAGCTCTGGTATACATTCAGTTACTGACATAGAAGACGATACAAAATATAATAAAATATTTTATTCGGTGTAAATGCAGGAAGGATATATAACTATCTTTTTCTCTATCATAAATTATCGTGTAGTATAGTATTATACATATGCTAATGTGAAACATGAATTTAAAGCCTCGTTTGCAATAAATCCTAAAATGAACTTAATAAACATATATGTATACATTTAGGAATATATATATATATCAATTACAGCAATAAAGAAAACGGTAATGAACATTCAAAATACATACATTACAAATAACAATTACAAAACGGTAATGAACTCTTATAATGTTATTACATTATTTATTGTTGGATTATATAGTATATTTAATATCGATTTCAAGAACAACCCCGAACGCATTACAATACTTTTATAGTTTTCTTCTCACAACCCACATTTCACGCTTACATGACGGTATATTTCCCGGAAACATAGCAAAGCAACACATGTATGTGTATTTCACCAAGTAGCTCGTTCAGCTGCTAACGACATTTCAGTTTTGTACCATGAACGACGAATCAATGGAATAATTAACAATATCACCGAGCCAAGGTACTAACAGGTATTTTGGCAAACAACGCTCAATACATCAATGCCGGTTGCCATTTCGGCTGTAACAATATAAAGAAATGTTCACTCGATTATTGATAATGAAGAAACATACTAGAACATTCTAAACGCCTAGAAAGAGAAATGTTGAAAGAAACAAAGTAAGCATTACTATTTCAATTAGAATTGAACAATGAAATGAAATATGTACTTACCATGAAACAAAAGTTCCGTGTTGGTTATAATGGATTTAAAATGGATTTCCTATAAATCTGACGTTCAGTCACAATACACAGGCACACTCAGGAAATTAAGCTTAATACGTTATGTCCGTCCATGCTGTGGGCTGCTAGTATACATATATGCCACATCCGGTCTCGAGAGATTCATCTGCAATATACAAGGTATTTGAAAAAATAAAATTTCCAAGAAAAGACTCGTGGAAAAGATTAAACAGAACTGATATAATCTTAATAATGTTAGAAGCAAATACTAGCTGTACGTACACAAATGTTGTTAGAAGACACCATTCTAGCAATGTGGAGAGTCTATGTCCAATGTGACCACAGTTACTGGCTGTTTACCGCACACTGTTCCTGTAGCGGTTCCGTCTCCATATAAACGTTCATAGTATTCTAATTAGTTATAGGTGAAGCCGGTACGACTACCTGTAGAGAACACCTGTTCAAAAAGGTAAGCAGTTACGTCCTGAGTTGTCATATGTCGTCTGCGGCACAGCTACTTATAATCTTCTGCTTAAATGGTACAATTGTTACTCGTTTTAAACACCAGTGAAGTTTCGCTATTAATTGCAGTTAAATAGGGAATTGTAAGTGAATTATCTGTAACAAATCAGATGCTATAAGAAGGCCGATCTGTTTTGGTGTTGTATCGAGCGTCTGTCCTGTCAGGCGAATACAATCAAACCGTCCCGCCTTGATTGATCGGTCGATTCGTAATCGGCCTCATCAAAACGTATTAATAAATTAAAGAATGATGCAACTGGATTAAAATTCATGATTGCATATTTGCAATAGAATATATGTAAAGTTTGCACAGAGCCTGAACAGAACAGCCATTCATTAGTCGGTGGACCTGCCATGTTTGTGATAAAATGTTTCATTAACAAATGTAGCAATTTATAAACATATATGATTTTTATTGTTACTAACCGGACATCAATCTTCCTCAAACACCTACCTGTTGATATGAATGTTATCATTAAAGTTAATGTATTAGTTATTGTAGTAGTAAGGGGAGACGACCTTACCAAATATATAGATATATGTCAAATAAACTGCTCAGCTTTTTTTAATATTCATGGCATGGAATGAATATAAAATCATGTTACAAATATCAATCAAAAATAAACATATACTGAAATTTACGCAAAGTGGAACATTGGAATATACAAATCCTTATCGTTAACCCGACAGGGGAATACACTCAATAGTCATGGTCGAAAAAAACATGAACATTAAAAAAAAAAAAAAAAAAAAAAGGTAGTTCTAAAGACAACATTTGAGGCGATAACAGATGTATGGTAAGCGTTTTGCCCACCATTTCTTGGTCCCGTAACAATATAAACGGGATAAAATCTGGATGATTGATATAAATAACAGGTATGAAACACATTTTTAAATTAATGAAAACAAAAGCAAAATCTGATTTTGTGCACAACTGATTCAGATATTAAAGTAACAGATTATTTTTCATTTAAGAGATAGTTTCTTACAAACCTGAGCGAACTACTTTATTTCCTGACCAGATCCATTAGAAAAGCAAATCCATAACGAGGTCTGAATAGGAGAGATGACCTACAGCACAAATTAGTAAGCGGATGTTTAATAACATACAGGATGTGTTTTGCCAACTATTGCAAAATAGATAGCATTGTGAGTCACCACTCGTGGCTCTGGCGCAGGTTACTGTCAGAGCTCGATAGGTCATTTCGTCGGCCCTAGGTTACGATGGACACTCCAGGTGTTATACTGGGAAGCATTTATTTGTCAGCTTGACTCCAAAAAATGGTCCTATTTTCTCAGATTTAATCGGTAGCTAAACGTTCCTTGAATAAATGTCTTCATAGTTTTTTGTAAGAGGACTATTTATACACAAATCTATTTAAGATAAAGCTGTTGTTATGTTGATTCGATTAAGTTACCTCACGATAAACGTAGAACCTGACATATGCCGCTCATTTAGACAGGAGTAATTAGTTATCTGTGATGACTACTGCATGTGACAACACACCTGTAATAAGTGTCTTAATTTACGACTGTCCAGAGTAACATACTAAGTACATACTCATATGCAAATATGCAATTTCATTGCATCAAGAAATAACGGGACATAGCAAACCAAAGTTAAACAAAGTATGAAGATGTGAATTTTATCAGTGTTGTCTTTGTATAATACGGCAATATTGATGACAAAACTATATTTTTTTCAATTCTAGAAGCAGTACAAGGCTATAAATAAACTTCCATGTAATAATTGCAACATCAAAAACATACACTCTCAGTAATGCAGAATGATGCACGTTACAAAATTAACTTATCATTCTTGAATAAGAAGCAAATTTTGACACGATTTTAAGATCACAAAGTCATTTACATAGTCTTGCTTTTGATTTACAGAATAAATGATTAATTAAATATCATGGAAAGTAAATTTGGGATATAAGGCTTGATTGACATTCGAAATTGGAACGCAAGATGAAATATTAATACAATGCCAATAGATCTATCATTAAATAAAATTATATCATATCTGCTGAAACAATAATATTTTGTCCTTTGATAATTAAATTCGATATGGAAAGGCACATGAAGAATTTAAATACGTAATGATAGACACACTGACAACTTAACGGAGGGTTGTAGCAGGTTACATTCATATCAACTTACATAATATGGGTATATTAGAGATTTATATGCATTTCATGACTTTTTAAACGTTTTTCATCACACTTCAATGACTTAAATACATTAAACAATAGTAAGTGTGAAAATATAACAGTAGAAAATAAATGCACATTGACATGATTTATCCGAAAAGAAAGTAGCACAGACGGCTTATGCAGTCGTATGCAAGAAAATGATATTGTATGCATAACATTAGTTTCAGGTTTATTCCATATGTAATGATGTTGGGTAGTGAAGTCCTTTTTCCTGATAAATACATAACCGATGTTTAATTTGAGTTCAGTGTAAGGTCATCGACGGTAGGATCCTTCATCCGCCTGCTATTATCTATGGATAAACATTATTCTCTTTGACGGTCGATGCCAATTTTCTTGTAAATTTCTTTTCTCCGCTATTTGTGCGGGTAATATTATTAAAAGAAACAAGAACGATGCGTGCCGAAGAAGAAGAAGAAGAAGAAANAGAGAAGAAGGACAGAAGAAGGACAGAAGAATGTTCTTGCCAACTTCATTATTTTTATTAAGCTTGCAGTTTTTCAGCCAGCTATCTCTATATACTATTGTTAAATATTTCCTGACAGCGGTTATGTAATAAATCTATTTAATAAATAAATAGATGAATAATAGAAATAACAATTTGACAGGATTGTTCACTTTTCGTTTTGTTCATAAGCCATGCGATTAGCTAATATACAATTACAGTAGGAATCACATGGGCAAAGCTTATCTAACAGGGCCGAATACGAAGGAAACCTATGTGTTAATGATCACACACAGTTACACCTAAATCGGGAGAACTACATTTTTCTAAATCATAACCAAGAATTTATCAAACCAAATCGTTCAAGTTAAGAATTGGCTACATTGTGAAATGTGTCGCTATGTCAACTTCCAGGACACAGTAAATTACTGAAATTACTTCATCACAACATATACCAGAACAAATGTACCCCAGTTTCAATAAACAAGGGACAAAAGAAACCACGGCGCCAACACTTCAGGGCGTAATAAACAAGGGACAAAAGAAACCACGGCGCTAACACTTCAGGGCGAAATAAACAACAGCATCAATAAACAAGGCACAAAAGAGACCACAGCGCTAATACTTCAGGGCGAAATAAACAACAGCATCAATATCCAAGATTGAAATATGCCATACCTTTTACGTCTAAGAATATAATGAACGAAAGTAAACGAAAAAACAATTTGGGAAAAGGGACAGTTAGAAAGAAATTCTGACGTTCTTGGCTAAACAAAAGGATTATTACATGCCTAATTAACATAACCCTTGTAATAGTGACTGCATGTATCACATCTTCCGCCCCGCCTGACACAGCCCACACAAACCTGATTATAATAAATCCAGTCAATTAAACAAATAGTTTATAAAGAAAGGTTTGTAAAAAGTTAAATATATATGCATATAATAAACATAGGCCAATTAACATTCTTTTTTTGCATTATTGCCTGCGTTTTGTAATGTTTTAATATATAGATGTAAATATATAACCTAACGCCCGGATATCCGCCCCCTTAACAATAAACATGGAAGTACACCTTTCCTGCATTAGCTAGATAAAAAAAGTATATGCTGTTCATTCATTTTATTTTTGTGTCGTGCAGTGTGTAGATATACAGGTTCTCATGTTCTCATCAAGAGTTGCCGCTAGAAGAACAAATTAAGGGAAAACGCCAACTTGTGTGTGTAGTAGAACCATTAAATGAAGACTACCAAACATGCTAAAGTAAGTGAAATATCACAGGCAAAACACCAAACGCGTGCATGTAACACCATTTGAGACCATTGTATAGTAGAAGTATTCAGGTGAGACTACCTGTATACATGTTATAACAACACCATTTGAGACCATTGGACTGTGTTAGTAGATAGTAGAACTATTCAGGTGAGACTACCTGTATATCTGTTATAACAACACCATTTGAGACCATTGAACTGTGTTAGTAGATAGTAGAACTATTTAGTGGCACCCCAACACATTCATTTACTACTCACGTTATTCATTACTAATAACAACACCATCCACAGTAGGTAAAGCATAATTCACAAGGCAACCATGTATTCCTGCCCTCCAAAGAAATAATAAAGCGTAAGTGTTCTTTGACATGACATGCAAATCGAAGCATGAAAGAATGTAAGAGAGGTCATCTAGATATACGAGTATATAGACACCATGAATGCAGTACAATATACATGTAACAATATTCAGTTAAACCATTTATTCATGCAGAATGAACCATTAAGCGGGTCGCTATCAAGTATAGAAGAAGAAATATAACCGTTCTAGCGAGACCTACCCTCCACGTCATCCTAATTCAAAATTCAAATGAGAACTTAGATCTGAACTTAGACTCCAGATTGGACCTTCATTGTGAAATATTCAAGGGTGCTCAAACTCAGTCAATCGTTCTGTTTCTGATAGTTGATATATCATTGATCAAAGTTTTGTCTCTTGACAAAGCGGCAGATTACCTTAAAAAAAGCAATTTAGTTATTGATCCACTGCTATTGAATTCATATATATATTGTTACAGTATAACATTGTTACAGTATAACATTGTTACAGTATAAGATTGTTACAGTAAACATTGTTACAGTATAACATTGTTACAGTATAACATTGTTACAAGTATAACATTGTTACAGTATAACATTGCTTAAATCATTGGAATTTAAGTAGAACTTCCCATAAAAACACCTTCATAATTTTCATTATAAATAGATCTGCTATTTCTAGGAAGAACTATATATGCATGGTATGTATAATGTCATCAGAAATGTATCCATACTGAATTAAACATTGTAAATAAATAATTAAAATTAAATATAATTTTA